CTTTGTCCCATCCAACACCTCTTCCGGCCCTGTGCCTGTGCTCTTTTACCTCGCTGGTCTCACCCGCACGGAGGACGCAGGTGCTCAGTTGGGTGGCTTCTCTAACAAGGCCGGCGAGGAGGGCATTGCTCTTGTGTACCCCGACACCAGTCCTCGTGGCGCCCAGGTTGAAGGTGAGGACGACGACTGGCAGCTCGGTACTGGAGCTGGCTTCTATATCAACGCCACCAATGACAAGTGGAAGAAGCACTACAACATGTATGACTTGGTGGTCAAGGAATTGCCCGAGGTCCTCAAGGAAGCCGATTTGGGCTTGGTGAGGATCTCTGCTTGCGACTCACAGGAGCCTGTTGATGGACACACAGGACTTTTCTAGGTGGTCAATCATGGGGCACTCTATGGGTGGTAAGCCATGTATGCATCTTTATATAGAGAGAGCTGAATGCCTGCAGGCCACGGCGCTTTGTCTATCTACCTCAAGAACCCCGGTCTGTTCAAGTCTGCCTCTGCTTTCGCCCCCATCTGGTGTGTACTCCGTCCTCAAGTCCACTCTAAATTGAGCTGATATATTTGACAGCAATCCTTCCGTCGTCCCTTGGGGCATCAATGCCTTCAAGAACTATATTAACGCCAGCACGCATTCCAACCCTCCCTCGGAATGGCTCGAGCACGACTCGACTGTCCTTCTTGAAAGGTTTGAGGGCCAAGCCAACATCTTGATCGATGTCGGCACGGACGACCACTTCTTGAAGGCTGGTCAATTGACTCCCGAGTCTATTGAGAAGCTCGGCAAGCCTGGAGTTGAGGTACGAAGGCAGGAGGGTTATGACCACACCTACTTCTTTGTCAGTCTTCTAGAGAACCAACATTGACTTGCGCTGACGTCTTGCACAGGTTTCAACTTTCGCACCTGACCACATTGCTTTCCACGCAAAGGCCCTTAAGGCATAGGGAATCAGATAATATGGCATATATGCACAACTTGAAACATGTCATACAGAGAGCCGTCTGCCGGGGCGTATGTGCACATGCGTTTGTCGAATATCTATGGTGCCAAGTGAAAGATGTGCTTCTCCATGCATGTCTTTGACGCTATCTCGCCCATCGATCCAATATCTGAACTTGCCTCTTGTTGTTGTGCGCGCACTCAAGCCACCATGCCCTCGCCTGCGAGCGGGGGCGGGGCTGTGAGGAAGGTTATGGTGCGATGTGCGGAACGGGAGAAGAAGGCGGGGCTGATGTTGGAGGCGGGGAGGGGGAAGAGGTGCATGAGTGAATGAGATGCGATGAAAGAAAGAATACCTCGCTCCTCAGCTTGTGCCCACATCTCGGAATTGACTCCAGGCACGATCGGGTATACATATTGTGGCCGATGGCGTTATCGCACTGGACGTCCTTGTACGCCACTCTGCGCTGCATCTTGTTGTTATGCGCGCAATCCAGCTACGATGCCCTCGCCCCAGTCAGAAGACTCCACCGGGTCACTCCCCAAGGATGCAGCCGACAAAAGGTTCCGCTGCTTACACCCCGGCTGCACCAAAGCATTTGCCCGTAAAGACTATCTCGAGGTATGTACAACTCGTCAAGTATCATCTTGCATAGCTAACATATGCCCGTACGCAGCGTCATGCTGCAAATCGTGATTAAAATCGCGCTCTCCCTGGGATTCCCGCTTACATTCAGGCTAGATCTGACAGCACGGCCTTTCGTCTGTCCTACATGCTCAAAGGCTTATGCGCGGGCAGACGTCCTCAAGCGACACACCACAAATCACCCAACAAGGGGACGGAAGTTTAAGGCAGCTCTCGCTCAGCTCGCAGTCGCAGGAGAACGTGTCACTCCTCCTGGTCAAACCCCTCTTCCCGATCATGAGACCCAGGCGGTGAGACCCTTGAGCGATGATGTTTCGAGTAACAGCTGACGACGGTCTCAAGACATTTCCAGTCGATGCTCCAACATCACCACCCCTCAACCTCCCCGGTATGGATATCTTGTCAAAGCTCACCTACCCCACCTCTTCCGACCCCCAAGCCTTGTCCACATTGTCACTCGAGAAGATCGACAACGACAATGCCCCTCTCAACGAGCTCTACTCTTGGTTCCTCGGCACAGATATAGCTTCAGACGATTTGACATCAGCTGCTGACGAAGCGCCGTATGATTGGACTACACTGTTCGACTTGTCTTCGGTCAGTACGCCGGAAGTATCGGAGGAGATTGTTAATACGGAGAGCTGGCAGGGGTTGCAAGACTTCATCACCGTACGTCTCATCTTGTAATGTTTCGAGACCTATACTCATGGACTGCATGTAGAGTATTGGCTGCACCCCACCATCTGAAGGTCTATCCGAGGAAGAAGCACACCAATACGTCGAACTCTACTTCCAGTAGGCTCCCCATTCCATCCTTGCGCAATAAGAACAACAAGACTCATCACCTTCAAGACATTTCCAGCCCCTGTTCCCTATCCTGCACCGCCCAACTCTCCGCTCCCGAGGTTGTCATCCCATGCTACTCCTATCCATCATCCTTTTCGGCTCTGTCTACGTCTCTTCCTCCTCCAACACCCCTTCCTCTTCTTCGTCAGGACTTGACAAAGTAGACACTATGAACCTCCAACGCCGTCTCCGTTTACACCTTTTCGACGTACGCCTCTTTCCATTTGTCCATGCAGACTATGTAGGATTGTGAGCTGACGAGTGCGCGTAGATCCTCGAAACGACCAAAAACCCACCATTATACGTCTTCCAAGCACTCTTTCTAGGGAATTATTATGGTCGGATGTATGCTAATGCTGCGAGCCATGATATCAACCAAGTACGTGCCCCAACCCTTCCCCTTCTACCCCGACATCCATTCAGCCTTCTTCGATTCCCACTAATGAAAAGATATTGACGCCGAGTGTAGATATACCATTCCGCCGGCGTAACAGCAGCCCGATTTCACGGCCTCTTCACGCCCCCCTCCTCCCTCTCCTCTTCCTCTCCTTCATCATCCTCCTCATCTAGAAACACCACCGAGGCCTCGGAGGAAGTACCTCAAGAGTATAGATGGATGAAATGGGCAGCAGAAGAAGAGCGGATAAGACTGGCGTGGATGGTTTTCGTCTTTGATACGTTCAGTGCGGGGATTCTGAGGCATAGTGTAATGGTATGTCTTATTCTTTTACGCACATATGCTGAGGTTGGTTGCTGATCGATTTTTGCAGTTGCAATGCTGTACGCCCTCGGACCATCATTCTCAACAGGTAGACTGACAAAGCACAGTCTCTCTATCCATCCGCCTACCCTGCGCTTCATCCCTTTGGCAAGCCCCATCTTTCCACTCCTGGTCTTCCCTCCACCCCACCACCCCCTCCCCTCCCTCCCCCGCAGCATCGCTCCCCTTCCGCCCAGCGATCAAGCAAATCCTAGAAGATTCTCGTATGGACGATACGATATCGCCTTTCGGGAGATGGTGTATTCTGCATGGTCTTGTTTCACTTACGTGCGTTTTTCCTTTTTCTCTCCTTCCGTTCTTGCTCCTTCAAGACGGCGAAGCTAACTGAAAGAAATCAGGTGGTCTCTATCAGTCCAAGGCGCCGACGTATTCACCCTCGCCCGCCGTGCCCAAATCACCGTGTGGAAGGGGATAGTGTATAATGCGTTGATGGGGTGGCAGCATCGGTGTATGTCGGATTTGTCGGCTACGTGTGCTTCTACTCGCGGCGTTGGAGAAAGAGAAGGGGAAGGGGGAGGGGAATATGGGTTGAAGGAGGTTACGCAGGCGGGGGTACCGCTTTGTACTATTTGTAAGTGTTATCTTGCTAAAAGGAGAGCGGCCAAGGGCAAGGGCTGATAGTGGGGTGATAGGTGTGATCACGCTGTTGACAGATATGGACTCTGTCCGAATACTCGCCGGTGCCCAAAGTACGTCCTCGCTTTCTTTCGATCATGTATAGCCGAGACTGATGGCAAGTCTCAGAGATGAATGGGCGTGATATATCGGCAGAAGATCGGACGGCGGCAAGGGCTTCGCTGGAAACGTGGGCTCAGTCGTCTGAGGGTAGGCAGAGTTGTTGGTGTGCTGTTGGCAGTACGTCACCTTTCCTCTTTGCTCGCGGTAATGATTGACGAAAGTCGCACAGTGCTCCAGTTGGTGTATCAGTGGATCCAAGCAGGCGAGATCGACTCGATGCCGCCTTCCACTCTGTGGTGTATCGTACGTCACTTCGTCATCCAACATACTCGTACAATGCGCTAACGTCATCTGCAGTACCTCGCCACCCTCGTCGTCTGGATATTCACAGCCCTCATCGAAGAACGCCCCATCAAAACATCCCCCTCCCTCATTCCCCTCTCCACCCGCTGCCTCATCCGCGCCCCCCTCGCCCTCCAAACATCCCAATCCTTCCTCGAACGCGTCCTAGCCTCAGAAGATCCAATCAATTTACCGGCAGTGTCGAATTTGGAAGATTGCACGGCGTTGGTAGCTTATGCGGCGCATCTGTGTGGGGACAAAGAGTGGGGAGGGCTGGATGGGGCTACGAGGGTGCTTTATGGGCTGTTGAAGCATGTGGAGTTGACGAGGAAGCAGTGGTATGCGAATTGCTAGAAGATACGTGAATTGTAGTGCTCGTGACTGTGCAGTCGTTCGTGTATTCACTATCCATGTACTCGACTGTATTGATTCCCGTCAAACTGTGACCGCATGATGGTGCTGCACCAGAGTTCCGTGGCCCGCGTTCAACTGACTCACTTACATGGTCGTCGATCGATCTGCAACGTCGACATTGCCGCCGGCGCGATTCTTTTCGCGTGCCTGTCCTTTCTCGCTGGACTTATGTTTTTTACAAGGTACTTCAACATGCATCAAGGGTTCACGACTGGTCGCTTTGCCTGACAGGATACGGTCCTCATACGCTACAATCTGCTTCTTTCGCAAACTTGCCGCCATCCCGGCCCTTGCTCCTACTAAGGCTGGTCCTCTCACTCCGCATATATCCACTCCGGTCCGGCGTTTCAGTACTCGCTGAAGGACTCGCTGGGGCCTCTGCTATATTTCGTCGAGGTGGTAGCGTCGGACGTAGTCGCCTGGTCGGAGAGGCTGGTAGGCGAGCCTGACTGAGAGTCAGATTGGCTTTCTATTGAAGTGGCTGGCGTGGAAGCATCCATGCTGTCGTCCTCTGAAGCTCGCGGAGAAGGGAGGTGCGTCTCCCAAGACGGGGGAGAGGGTTGATTCGATATCGGCGGGCTGTCTTCCGATGTGGTACTTGATGGAGTCGGCTGCTGGGTGATGGTGCGCTGATGGGTATCCGTGAGCGTTTGATATGGTGCAGATCATCGTCGTCTTCATATTAACCATTGTCAGCATGCATTCCTTCATTGCGATGTGGTATGATATACCCGCAGACTCGGACGATGAGGAGGAGGAAGACTGTGGTTTCACCGTACCGTCGGAGACAGCGGACTGGGAGGAGGAGTCGGAGGAGGAAGAAGGGAAAGAAGAAGAAGAAGAGCTGGAAGGAGAGCTTGTGAGGGTACCGTCGGTTGCTGATCCAAAGCCAGAGATGACCGATGCGGACGACGCAAAGGGATCAGAATTCTCGAAGGGATTGGTGAGGGTGGAAGATCTTGGGGTTGAAGTGTTTGTGAGGGAATTGTGACCGTTCAACAAGGCGGCAGAGGAGCCACGCCTCGTCGCTTGCTTGTGAATGGGAGACCCGAGATTGCTCATTGACATCTCCCCTCTCAGTTGACTCTTCTTCCCATACCGGTACCCCAATGAAGGCGATACAAACACATCCTCCTCTTCCCCCTCCTCACTCGCGGACTCCATAATCTCATCCTCACCTGTGCCCACCTCCTCCCTATTTGGGGCGCTGGGGACTCTCTCCAGTCTCGCGCGACTGTTTCGTTTTCTGAGCCTAACTTCTCTTGAAAAGTCTTTGGATGCGGCGGGGGACGGGGGAGCAGGGTAGGGGCGAAGGTTGGGGTTGGAGCGGTGCTTGGAGAGCGTTGTGGAGGTGCGCGATGGGTGGAAAGGAGATGAAGGTGGATGGCTGAGGGGCCGGTCTGGGTCTGGCGGGGGCACGAGGAATGTAGAGCGGGGGTTACGCGTCGGTGTGGACGGCGATGAGAGGTGTGCCATCGCTACTTGGTCCGCTGTTGTCGGTTGTGTCAGTAGGGTGAAGTGGGTGATAATAGATGTGTATCACCTCAAGAGCTTCCTGGCGGCAGAGAAATAACGACATAATGCAAGAATGGATGTAGAAGGCTGAGAAGAGATGTTGGTGCCAAAACCTCGGCGCTGCCTCCGGCACGTCCGTCGCGGCACTCTGTCTATACGAGTAGGTCCTCTATGAGTTTACTCTTAGCCTCTATCCTTGCTATTGCTCTGTGTATGACTCAAAGCACTGACATATACCTATCTCCCATGGGCCTCGCTACTCTAGCAGCCATCCGGCTCGACCCCAGGCCGTCGTTTTCATACCCTCGTCGTCGTTCTTGTTGACGGACAACTCGACAAAGCGGCGCTCGCCGCATATCATCCGCCGGCTTTCCGAATCGTCGTCATTGCCTCGAGCCAGCCTCGAGTAAAGCTTTGTGGCATACATATTCTTCTACATTCACCTTCCAACAAACCCAGACAGCAAAGCACGTCGAGATGTGCGCATCCCAACGACAGCAGCCCTCAAGTCAGACAGACCTCGACAGCTCGAAGACATCCTCTGATCCCTCTTCGACCGATGATAAGAAACCTCTTTTTGATGCGAGCCAGGTGACTGTGGTCTTCGTTCTCGGCGGTCCTGGAGCAGGTGAGTACCAAGCATCCTGCCATACATGGCTGCAGTATACTGACAAGAGGTACAGGGAAAGGCACACAATGTGGAAAACTGGTCGACGATTATGGATTCAAGCATCTTTCGGGTACGCGCTTCCACGCCGTATGATGTGGAAAGCTCGACTGACATGGCATAGCTGGCGACCTCCTTCGTGAAGAGCAATCCAGAGAAGGTTCAGAGCTTGCAGAAAAGATACACGAATGGATGAATGAGGGCAAGGTCGTTCCTGTCGAGGTTATCATGACTGTGAGCCCCTTCTTTCCCCTGCTCTTTTTGCCTTATGTCCTCTTCTGAATTAATTTACAGCTGTTGAAGAAAGCTATGGAATCCTCTCTATCCTCCCCACCCTCTTTACCCGGATGGTCCTCCACCCAAGGCCGATTCCTCATCGACGGCTTTCCTCGAAAGATGGATCAAGCGACAGAGTTCGACGCCGACATCTGTGAAGCCCAAGTCGTACTGTTCTTCGAAACAGAAGAGGAGATCCTGGTGCAGAGGCTGAAGGGAAGAGGGAGAGAGGATGATAACGAAGAGAGTATCAAGAAGAGACTACGTGAGTTTTCACCTGTACCAGGCGTCGCCGGCTGCGACAGAGTCCATCATCGTTGGGAGTGAGGAGGATAATGACTCTGGCTACTAGGTACATACAAGGAAACATCACTACCAGTCGTGGACTACTACCAAGAGAAGAATAAGGTCCTCAAGATCGACTGCTCCCCTTCCCCCGACCAAGTTTACAACACAGTCAAAGAAGAGCTTGGCGCACGTATTCCTTTGGAGAAGTACCGATAGTCAAAGTAGTCGGCCAGTATACTAGTTGTACACCCATCATGATCGCCAGATATCTTTGTAAAGGGAATGAAAGACGTACTAATGGTCCAAAGGATGAATCTACTACAAGAGGTTTTGTGGAATGGAAGGAGACGCGGAGAACATCACCGGCGGCTACGTTGCTTTGAATAGCAGCAGCCCATTCACTGCATGTGACCGCATTTTACGTCCGTTGTCGTCGCCAATTCATTTGAGTCACCGAATACTGAAATGCGATAGTAACGTGTAATGGAGGATGATGTTACACTCCGAAATACTGCTTGAAAGGAGATACACCCGACTTTGACTGAAGGCATGCGTTTCCACTCGCGAACTCTAGGTGCTCGTAGAGATCGGGGATGAAATCGTGATAGTGCAATTTCGAAAAAGTGAGCGAGGATGAGAGTCTGGGCTCGACGGGTAGCAACACAGAAGAAGCTGTTGACGCGGTTTCTCAGCTCCTCAGGTTAATACAGCAAAGGATGAGATGTCGTGGGAGGAGGGAGGCGAGACGTTGGTGTTCATGATTACGGGATGAGCTTTGGACATGGCGAGAGAGAAAAGTGATGACGAGAGTCTGTTGTAAGAGCGAAGTGGACGTGCGATGGGAGAATTCATGAGCCGAGCTTGTTGCAAGAGGAAGAGGAAAGAACGATAGTGACTATTGCAGAACAGTTTGATCGCACGATTTATCATGAAGGCTGGGGATACCGACGATGTACATGTACAATATGTGAGAACGACACCACTACCGACCGTTCCTCTTCAGCGACTGTATCTCTCACTCCTAAGATTCGCAGATGCTTTCAAACAATACCCACACTCATCATACCCGCGCAACACATGGATCTTATCCTCCATGCCCACCTTCCCCGGCGCCCGCACTCTCAAGCCCTCCCTCACTCTCTGAATCACCAATGTCCTTGTCTCTTGGACCACAAGCTTTGTGGCGCTGGGTGTCAGAAAAAAAACACGGCCATCAGGGGCGATCGTGCTGCCGAAATGGGTAAAGATGATTGCTTTTGGGATCAAATCGAATGCCCTGTTGCAGCCAGCATTAGAGAGAGATGTCTGCGTTCGGATGAAGAGGAGAGAAGAAGAATTCACTCTTGATTTTCGGTATTCCAGCCAGATATGGTGCTTACGCAATAACGGACGATATAGTCGATATGAACCTTGACCGCATCCTCATTCCTATGTCCTCCAGATGGCCGATGTATGACCGAACCCTCCTTTTCCTCATTGGCAGTCTCTTCCATTTTGACGGGTAAAAGCTCGACGACGAGCAAGTCGCGTCCGACTAGGACTTCGAGCCCGGCGCCGACGGATTGAGGATAGATACAATCTGCCGGGGGGAGAAAGCGAGTCACAACGTTGTCGGACATCATTTTGATCCCCATACCAGGGGGAACGACGATGGTGTTGAGCTTATCGTCGGTCCTTGGCGCTGCTTCTGGATGAAGAGGTTTGCGAGATAGGCCGACAATACAGAAAGAAGCATGAGGTTGATAGTTACCACCAATCTTAGAACCTTCCCCTTCTCAAGGAACACCCTCAATACAGTCCGGCCCAAATGCCATGTGGAATACACGGTTGAACGGACCATCAAGTTTTTGTTGCACTGATCCTTCGGTTTCTTGTGGGCGGTTTTTGACGGCCATGGCCCAAGCCTGGATCGCTTCTTTGACAGCCTCCCAAGCGTACAAGGATGCTATGAGCATCGAGGAGCAGCGGCCGAGTAGATCCCGCTTATGATACAACGATCCTTTGGTGTGATCAACTCCATCATCCAGGAGGCCGTTGAACAGGCCTCTGAGGATGGCCTCGTCTGATACTCGGATGTGCTTGTATAGAAGGTGGATAAACTCGTGGAAGTGCTTTTTGGACAGACGAACGATGGTGTACGTATTGCTTGGGCAGGGGATGGCGGCCATAAAGTCGAACACGATGTCCCGGAGCTCAATCGGGAGGATGGAAAGGGAGGAAATGTCGTAGAGATGGGGAGGTGGGACGTTGGCATCTGGTGGGGTTCCGGTATGCACTTGGGACATGGCCACAGAGGGAGAGGAAGCAAGTGATTTAAGGATGGCGAAACGATAAGATGAGCTGAAGGATATACTTCTTGTACGGAATGATCAGGTAGCGCGGAACTCAAACAAACGAGCGCACTGATGCAATCCGCCTGAGGCGAGATCGAGGAGAAATTTCCAACCTTAAATCCTTCCCGGAATGTGGCTAGTAAGGCCCTATTGATGTCCACTTGTGAGCTCTGCGTACAACCATCAGCTCAATAGGAGCGGATTTGCTTCCCAGCTCAGGCCCAAAGAAGATCATTTCTTGTGTCTGTCAACATCTTTCTTCTCATTCTATCCGTTGTGTAGTCTTTCACAAGATAATCAAACATGCATGACCGTACTCCTACAGCTGGCCATCCTCTACAGCTCATTACATCCTCTGGTAAACGATAATCACCACAGGAAACTCGTACCCTTCCAATCACCTCCCCTCCTCTTGCCCCAACGTGGCATCAACGCAGCATCTGTAACATTCGAGAAAGTTGCCGAGACAGAAGAGGCTTCCGACGTGGTTTCGCGTTGGCGTATTTGTCCCTCTTGATCCGACTGCGCCTCCTCCTCATTCTCTCCGCTTTCCTCCCCAGACTCTTCTACTCCCAAAACTTCTTCATTAGCCGCCCCCCCAAGAGGGGGCTGTACTACAGAGCCCGTGCCAGACACCGCTTCATCCCGTTCACCGCCCGTTTGCGATCGCTGGTTACCGCCCCATGGGATCTGGTTGGGATTGATGGTGCTTGGTGATTCCGACGTCGGGGTAGCTTGGGGGACTTGACCCAGGGATGTAAACGGCGGGGGGAGGGAGAGGATTATTGATGGTCAACCGGGTATTACGAGATGTCGAGGAAGCGGCCGATTGACAGAGACCGGAGCCGGAGTAGGCACTGTCCCTGGGATTTTTACATCTGTCGAGTGGTACCCATGTAAGGGGGGAGAGGACGAGGGGCGGTGGAAGACGATTGTCCACGGTCGACAAGCCTTGACGACGGAGGTTGTTGGACGGCGGGCTGGGTCCTGTCCAACAGTTGGGGTACAGCACGGTGCCCTGCGTCGTATGGACGCTGCGTGGATGCCTGCTACTGACTGAGTTAGCAAATGCAAATCCCCAGAGCTTTTAGAGTGTGACTCACGAGATCACGCGCTGGCCGGGGATGTCGTGGACAAGCAGGTGTAGCTATCCTGCTAGATTCACCAGCACGGTTGTTGGGGGCTTGGACGACCGCGGTGTTGGTAGAGCCTTCTGAGGGAGCGTTGGCTTCGACAGATGGTGTGTTTTGTTGGTTGTCGGTGGCATCACCCGTCTGGTGAGAGGCGGAGCGAGGTCGTTCTTCCTCTCGGTCGGTGGATGGTGGGGAGGGGGTGGGAATTGGGAAGGTGGAGGTGGGGGCGGCGGGTCTCTGGATGGGGGGCGATGTCGATGGCCACGCCTGACCATGCTGGGTGTCGCAAAATGGGCGAGTAGAGGAAGCAAAGGATGAGGTAAAATTGCTCAGGAAACAAAACGAACGAACACGCTGAGGCCGGGACCTGACGCGCGTGTTTGTGTTTTGGCCCTAATCATTCAACATGCAAGACATTATCTCATTTTCAGTCGTTTGGCAGTATCTGATTCATCCACACAGATCATTCCGACTGCATGCATGTTTAGTATGGCGATGGTAAGCGAAAAAAATGGTCTATTGCAAGGAAACCTAACAGACAGACTAGACGTCAGTACAGGAGTGGTGATGGTGGATCGTCCCCTCGCTCGCTCGTAAGAAACATCATCTCGCCAGCTAATCGCCTTCGTACAGTCCGAGCCGACAGAGCGTATGTACCACATCCCAGGGCTACAGAGACATATCTCTCCAGCTAGGAAGGGGGAAGAAGGGCTAGAGACAGACGAGAGTTCGCCGTATAAGGGGCACGTTGTTTGAGAATGTGATGATATAGTGTGTTGGCCATCTGGGCGCTGGGGCATATTTTGGGGTTTCTTTGAGACATGCGGAGAGGGTGTGCATATAATATCGGTACATGACAATACAACGTGGATATGGCGAGCATTGCGATGCATCAGAAGCTTCAAGAGGAGCGAAAGAGTAGACTGAAGCCTCGGGCGACGACAAGTGTCGAGGAAGAAGAACAGTGCGTTCGGGAAAAGGTGGCGGCGCGCTGAGAATAAGACATCATCGTTCAAACGCAGGTTGATGGTCTTCCGAGTGCACTCGATGAATGGTTACATACAAAACCTTGAGCGATACACCTCAGCCGCCTTTCAACAGACTCAAAAAGTAACCCAAACGCCATCACCCTCACCATCCTACCACCACCTCGCCGCGGTCGCTCCTCTCCTCTTCTCCGTCGTATGGAGAGTATACCGCTTTGTCCTAGAAAGACAGACATGTCTTGAGATCATGGGAGAAGAGTGTAAAGCCGGTTGGAGAAGATACGACGGAGGTGGAAGAAGATGATGAAGAAGGTGGCGGTGGTGGTAGTGGCGGGACGAGCGTATACATCGGTGTTGAGGCATTCGATGCATGCGGCCCCGGCCCCGTCCTCGGGGGTTTTGTAGACCCGGATGGTCTGCTAGATAGAGTGGTAGTCTTCGTACTTTTGATGGCGTACGATAAGACCCCGAGCTGCTACTAAAGCGAAAAGACTCGTGACCCAAATCCAAAAGCCACAAGCATACAACATATCCCAAAGGGAGTCCAAACAGACGTACTCTACTGTACGAGTACGCCAGTCGCCAGCAGAACCAAAACCAAATAAAAGCCGGGGAAGCCGGGGAGGGGGAAGCAAAAGAAAAATAAATTAGGCCGAAAAAAAAGCAGTCCCGCCCGGGAAGTCAGAGTCTGTCAAAAACTCAAAGCCGAGCCCGTAGGCCGTAGACCGTAGGGCATGTTGGGCTCGACGCGTACATGTACTTGTATACGCGCCTCAACTTTTGTTGAGCCTGTTTGTTAGCAGCTTTCGGCTTCAAGGGATATTGGGATGTACGGTCTCGTGAGGGATTTGTGGTCTTGTGATGTGTACATGTGAAGATGGTCTGGTGATCCTGGACAGTACTCGTAGTCGTAGAATACGAGTACAGCTCGAGTAAACAAGCGCCTAATACATTTTCACCCCTCTCCCCCTCTGATGCTGGTGTTCAACAAGATGACAATGATGATATAAGCTACATGACATGGATTATATACAAGTAAGAATGGGATAATATGTAGCGTTGGTGCGTTGGTGTGGTACAGAAAATGATGATAATGCTCGAGTACCAAAAGAGGAGAGTATAATACTTTTGTTCGTCGTTGTGAATAAACTTGTGTGGAGGAGAATGTCCCGTGGAGAAGAAAGGGGTAGAACAGCAAAAAGACGATTAAAGTACGAGAAACAGCAAGACCAAGTATAGCAGCGAAAGAAGCAGAACAAGAAAAACGTCCTTTATCCTCCTTGTCGCCTTAACGCCTAGCCAACTCGCTCGCACTCATATCCAACGTAAAACTCGTCTTGAACGCTTTCGACGGTACAACCATCTTCTGCGGCTTCTTCCCTCCTTTCCCCACCCCCCCTCCCCCACCCAGAGCGGGAAGACCCTGGCCTTCGGCCATACGTGCAAAGAGTGCGCGGGCGAGGGGTTGGGCTTTGGGCCCGGAGGGGCGGAGGGGGTTGATGAATGTTGATGAGGAAGAAGAGGACGATAGGGAGGTGGAGGAGGAGGGGGAGGGGAGGTGCGGGTTGATGGGGGTGAGGGGTGTGAGTCCGCGAGGACGGGTAGCGCGTGAAGATACAGGCGCGTGGACGGGGTGAGAGAATGAGCGCGATGGTGAGGGCCTGGTGAATGTCGGTGTCGGCGCAGCCTCCTTCCTCTGCCCGCTTATCCTTCCATCTCCATCATGCTCCTCATCACCATCCGCCTCGGCCTCATCCGAGCCGCTACTCGAAGCAGACTCGGCACTCTCGCGCCGTTCGTCCAGGCCGCCAGCAGCCGAGAGATGGCCGTCGAAATCGAAAGCGGGGTACTCGGGGAAGAAGAAGTCCGAGTGTTCGGAGGAGGGGGAGGGGCGGGCGGTGTGTGGGGGGGCGAAGAATGAGAATGGCATGGCGCGTTCTGTGGATGGGAGCGTGGATGTTGGTTGGGTTGACTAGCGACGCGGTCAGTCTCACTCTCTCCGTGGCAAGCGTGCTACTCACTGTGTCTTGTTTTTCGCCTAGTAGAAGCGCTCTGTTGTATATCTGGTAGCAGGGATGGATGGAGAGTGGATGCAGGGCGGGTTGAGAATGGCGATGGGATTATATATTTGGAGGGATGCGTGGAAACAGGAGGACGGCGAAAGCCGAGCGAGCGGTTGGGGTTTCACAAATTGCTTGGGGATGTCGCCCTAGTCCGGGGACCCGCCCCTGAGAATTACTCCCGCCCAGCTAAAAATCAGCCACGTGACTCGGGCCTGGACTCGGGAGGCATCATCCTGCGTCGCGTGTTGGAGTGTGTACGTGTATGGGATTGGGGGTGTGAAATGTATGGCCTGGCAGGATGGGGCGGGAAAGTCAGAGGTGCATAGCGGGGAAGAACTTGCCCGGGCCTGGGCGTTGGAAAGCTGGACAGTTGGGGGGCGGCGATGGCCGGGGTGAGTCACAACCTTACGTGGTTCCGTAAAGCCGAAGACCGGAAAGCCAAGTTTATTTTCCTTTGGAATCTCTTTTCGCGCCTGTTGTTGAGGAGTGGAGGCCGGCGTGCGCTTGGGTGTTGATGTTTTGACTGTGTTTTGATGGAGGGACAGTGATGCAGTCAGCCACAAACACGCCCCACCTAAACACTGAAGATCGTCAGAACCCTCAAAGCCATCACATGCAACACGGTAGAAGGCTGTATAGCAGCGCCACGCTGACCACTATAAGCATGGCACTGCATGGCCCCAAAGCGTGAGTATACTGCAAGCTGTGCCCACCGCCCCGTCCTGGCGCAGAAGGACGCTCAGGCCCTGCGATCGCTCTCGGGAATACACAATCACTAGCTGGGCACACTGTGTATCCCAGTGTGCCTCTTATCACGCGTCGAGAGCGCGAGCCAGGAGGGGGCCAGGGGATGGTCCAGCTTCCATCCTCTCCCTTCCCCATTCATCTATCTCACATCACCCGCCACTTGCCTCAATTACCTCCGGGGGAACACCCAGTCTTGCTACGCTAATCTCACTTTCTCATCAGCCTTTACCCCACCATCTTTTCGTCAAATCACTCTCCTTACTATCACCTTCCTTGCTCGACACCGGCTGGTCCATCCGTGTCGCCCTCTCAGACGAAACCCACTCCATCTCACTATCAACGGAACACCCTCTCCCATCGAGGTGTTCATCGATCTACCCCTTTTACTATCACCACCTTCCTTTCATCCCTTCCCCTCGCTTTACACTCCTTCGTCTCTTCATCTTTCTACATCACGTTTTCCAGTGGGTCTTACACAAATCATTGGTGCCCCCCTTTTCGACAGTCGTAGTGTATCGACGCCTCGAACGACATCAAGGCGTTCTCAGGCTCCAGCAAAACCGGCAGTGTTCGTCAAGGTATCGCCTCTAGACTCTGCCTCTGCCGGGACGAGTTCCTTGACACAAGCCTTCTTTGCGTCTCACGATGGAAAGCCTCGGTCAGGGTATAGTAAAGAGGGATGACTCTGAAACTGCATTCTTCATACCCGACTCGTACGTCCCCTTCTCCCCTTCTCCCCTCCCTCTCCCCACTCTAGTCTTCATTCGTGCCGATGACAGGCGCTGATCGTCTCCTTCAGATCACCCCTCTTCAAATACTCCTCCTCGTCTTCGTCTTCTTCAAACACGACAAACCCCTGGACAGCGGGCTACGCCCAGCAGACAGACGGCTACGACCAAACCCTCCATCTCACTTCTTCCAATTATTCCATTATCGAATTCAACATCACCTGTACGTTTGCCTCTTTGCACTTCTTCCTCTCCTTCAAATCCGTTACTGGATCCAGGATGCAAAGGACATGTCGCTAATGCAAGAGCCGTAGCAACGTCCCTAACGCTACTCGTACCCCAGATCGAAGGCTGTTCAGCGACGGTATCGATCAATGGCACCACCCCCGTCCCGGCGTGCGCCACCAACTCTTCGTCCTCTTCCGAGGTCCCTTGGAGTGTGGTAGACTTGGACTACGCCACCCACTCTATCAAATACGATTCCGGCCTTATCCCATCGTCGTCCTCGTCATCATCGGGAGAGGGAGGGCAGGTCATTTTTTGGGGTGTACAGGGTACGCGGCCGGGCGGGGGGGTGGGGACGAATGTGACTGTTGATGATACATTCTTTCGGCCTTCTTCCTCTTCCTCCTCTTCTTCCTCATCCTCTACGGCAACAGAGAAAGCAGAAGTATCAATCACATACTCTCCGTCCTGGACGCACCTCTCCGAAACATCCACAACCTCGTCAATCCTGAGCGAGATAGGGCAGCTGGGAGGGGATTTTAATGGGACGTTGAGTGTCTCGCAGGAGGCTGGGGATTGGGTGACGTTTTGGGGTGCTGGTACGTCCTTCTTTCTCTTCTTAGGTCAAAATCGAAGCGTGATAAGAACTTGGCTGACGAAAAGATGCACAGGCGAAGCGATCTACGTCTATGGCACTGTTGGGCCCGACTATGGCTCGGCGAGGGTGGAGCTGGATGGGGCTGTTGTGGTGGAGGGGATGAATCTTACTGTACGTCCTCTTCTATCCCTTTCCCTCTCCTCCTTTTGTCCCTCGCTTCTTAGAAAGATAAACTAACAAAGAGAAAAACAGTCGCCATGGACGATGCAATACCAACTCTTATACTTTCAAACCAACCTCGACCCATCGGTGGCTACCAACCTCACCATGACCAATCTCGGTGGCAGCGGAGGGGAGAAGATGAGTTTGGATTTTGTTATTCTGACGGCTAGGGATGATGTTCTTGATTACCTGTACGTTCTCTTCTCCATCATAACGCGAAAAGAAAAGAGGCTAACGTCAGCACACAGATCCACCCCCTCCTCCTCAAAACCATTCACTTCCACCCTCGGCGGCAAACTCATCCTCTGCATGCTCCTCCCCCTCCTCGTCGTCCTCCTCTTCTCCGCCTTCGCATGGTGGATCGTCCGCCGGCGGCGTAATGCTCGTCGTTCCCGTTCCCCGCCTGACGCTTGGGCTGCGGCTGGTATAAGCTCTTGGGTGCCCTGGACGCCGGGTAAGGAGAAACGACAGAAAACAAGGGGTGGGAGTAGTAGGCCTTGGCGGCATTCACACGATTCGTCTTCAACGTCTATCAACAACACTACCGGCGGGAAAGAGAAACGCAAGTACTGGCTCTTCCCTGGTACCACCTCTTCTTCTTCCACAGGCGGCCGTGGGTCCCCGACGGATTGGACGGATGGAGAAGGGGAAGATGTGTTTGTTTCGTATGATGAGGCAAAGCTGCAGAGGATGAGTGGGAAGTGGTCGTCTTCTTCTGGCTCCGGGACGGGCGGGGCTGGGAGGTCGCCTGTGTCGGTGTCGGGCAGGGGTGGGCGATTCACGCCTGGGTTGGCGGCGGCCGGCTGGGGGCTGGGTACGGTTGAGGAAGATGAGAGGGATGAGGGGTCTGTCAGTATGCGTTCTGGACGGTCTAGGAGCTCTTCGCGCTCTGGTCGGTCGGGCGGTAACGGGGACCGAGAAAGAGAGAGGGGAGACGACCGCGATATCATGTCCGTCCTCGACCGTACCTACGCTACCCCCACTATCAGTTCTCGCCGTCACACTGCCCTACCAGCCTACACCCCCTCCAACGACGCCCAAACGAACTATACATACTCCACGCCGCCCAACTCTCATCATACGACACCGCAAGCGCTCAACAGGAGCTTGCCTGCTAGTTCACCGAGCTCTGCGACGGGCACCGGCACCGGGGCAGCAGGGTCGCCGGAGAGTCAGTTCATGTCGGCGGAAGAGGAGAAGGCGGCACAGTTGAGGGTTATGCGTGATGTTGCTGGTGGGCAGGGATACTCGCCGCCTCGACTCGACCTTGCTCTCCCCGGCTCCGGCCCCGGCCCTTCCACCCCTCTCCCTCCTCCACCCATCTCTTCCCTTCCTCATCCAACCCAACCGCTCCCCCGCCCCGCCCACGCGCACCACGCGCACCAAGCTTCCCGAAGTAGCGCCACAACCATCGGCGCGAGCGATATCATCTCCATCTTTGGTGCCCCTGCGGGCTCAGAGAGGAGGATGAGCATGATGACGGACCATACGGGGCATTCGCAGTTTTACTCGAGGCCGGGGAGTGTGGTGGGTGATGTACCGCCTCTACCGACGAGTTCGACTTGGCCCGGTTGGATCTTTGGGAGTGTTGCGCCCGTCCCGGGAGGGCTGGGAGGAGGAGGAGCGGTGAGGCCGAGGATTGATACGGATTTGGAGAAGAATCCGTATGGGCTGCCGCACATGTCTCATGGACGTGATGCTTCGGGTGGTCTTTCAGCTATGGGGACCAGCTCTCATATGGGGCTTATGGGGCTTATGCCTTCTGGGTATGAGTCTGCTACCCTATCCGGTCTTTCTGGTACAAGCAACCCCTGGCCTCGGACACTCAACCACCAAACCTCCCAAATGCCCCTCCTCCCACCTTCCTCCTCCAACACCTCACCTTCATCTCCACCCACCTCATACTCTTCCCCACAATCCCACGCCCGTCCTTCGACCGCACCCTCACACACCCTACCACCTGTGACGTCTGTGACGACGCCGAATTCGGCAGAACATCAGAGGAGCCAGAGTACGTTTAGCCACATGACGGAAAGGAGCGGGGCGAGGCCGGATAGTGAGGTGATTCCGTTTGAGAGCTTTATCAGTTCGTTGAATGCGGCTGCGGCTGCGGCGGGGGCTAGGGAGGAGGAGGGGAAGAGGAGTGTCTGAGGGTAGAGGGAAATGGTCTTGATTTACTACACTTAATACGTTCATTAATATACTGGTACTTGAATACAATATGCATCTACATTTTCTAGCATGACAGCTTTGCCCGGATGGAATGTTGACCGAGAGGAAATACGCGAATATAGAGGTGTTGCATTCCGCATGGATACATCTCCGTCATTTCTATTCCGAACGCTGTCTCATGTCGTTTTCACATCGAATCACTGTCAGCTACTATCCTCAGTTCCACCATTACCCTCGCTATGCCTCAAGAACCCTACAATTCCTGCGTTTGCGCCAACGCCAACATTTCACTGCCCATCTACGACATCATCACATCTCTCTCCCCTCTTCCCGCCGAGATCCGCAACCTTGTCTACAGCTTTTTGATAGCGGCTCCCTGTAAGGCGCACGCTCTCATCTTTAGCCGCCTCTCGAGAGATCATTACGACAATATCGTACTTCGCTTGTACCAGCAAATTGTGGTAACGGACAAGGCGGTCGACGCGGGCCTGTACAAGAGTTATTCAAATGTGGACAATCAATCCCATCAATCAAATGAGCACAGGACTCTTCCCAGCAAGAAGGAACTGCTCGACTGCTGCGAGTCGCTTGTGTTTACCTCCATATACGCTTGGGCACAGACCATAGGCATGTTCGATATGCGTGGGACAACACCTGTCATGTCGCCCATGTTTCGCAACCTCAATCATGTCGCCTTCGCATCTGGCTTTGTCGAAGAGATCTGTCGACGAGAGGCTCTTCCCCTTGATCGTTACATCACACCCAAGGCTCTCTGGTACATCTCAGATGCCTGTATACATCTTCCCAAATCTTTTTCTGAAGACTTGGCGATAGATCTGGGGAATGTGTCCAGCTACTTGATGGATTTTGGAATCGGGACAAATGACACTACTGAGACGGTTCTTCGCCTTCACAACTGCCAGCCAACCAAGCTGGCAATGGCAGATGAAAGACTCGCCTTCGCACATGATGTGGTGTATATCCATATGCCGCCTAAGAGGATCGAGAACGCTGTGGATATAGCGGCACGACAAGTAGACGAGATAGTGGAATACTGGATCGCGACCTCTGTGAATAGAGCGGCACGGCAAGTAGACGAGATAGTGGAATACTGTGTAAAGTCTGTGACTGAATGGGACGCGATGAAGTGAGGACTTCTCGCTCGTTATACCACAAAGCCTAGTCTAACGCGATATAGGACCAGATTCATTATTCACGGTCCTCCCGAACCGTTTGGCAAGGCAGTTGTCTTCACCAACTTTGGCACCGTTATAACCCCAGCTGGTCTTGTCTTCGTCATCTCACCTAGCATCGCCCAGTCGATTATCGACAGAGCCGAGAGGGAGGTTAGACGGAGGGTACGATTGTTTTTGGAGAGCGAATTGTCGGCAGGTTGTGGGCTGGAGGCCAATTTCCATGTACGAGGCTATGAGGAGTGCAGGTTTTGTTCTTTGCGAAGCTCTTCTTCTGGATGAGATGTGTCACGGCGTAGAGTAGCTGCTACTACAGGGGTATATGAACGACTGCGATGGAATCAAGGCTGCCTGCGGCCAGCGTCTGGTGAGTCTCCAGTGGTCAACGGGACGAAAATATGTTCTTTGCCGACGCATGGCTGACTGAAGCATAGTACGAAGCATAGAACGAGGATATTGAGAGGGTTTCTGCCAGAGTATGCATGTAAAGTTTCTCGGTGATGGCATGTCGTTGAGAGATATACACTCACATGTTGAGTGACCCTGCTCAGTGCGTTTGGTGCCGGTGCGGCGAATTGACGCGAATGTTTGTATCGCTTAGGTTTCTTTCATTCTCCCCACCACGTTTCCCCGAGCAGCATGGGCGAACGCCAAATCGAGCATCCGGAGTCTACCAGCACTCGCTCATCTCTTCCCCCCTGTCACCATACCTCTACAACAGATCACCCATCAGAACAACGAAACGAACCATCAGCTCCCCACACCGCCGCGGCCATGCCCTCTCAGCCCGACGCCAACTACGACGTGTCTGACAGGTTTGAGGAAGACTTGGAATCCATAGCAATATCCCTTCGGGGTGCGTCTGGATCCGCTTTTGGAGAGATGGGGCAACATGGCTATTTGGTACGTTCAGCACAGAATGCATAGAGGGTGTGAGCTGACGAAACCTAAAGGACCCAGCAACCCAGCCAGTCGTTCAACAGCTCGTCACCCCGTCCCGTGTCCCTCATGAACAGCCCCCATATCCTCGTGACTCTCCTGCCTTCCGGGCGCCCCCTTATCAACCTTATCCACCGGCCCCTAATACCTACTCGGGCAACACGCTGCGCACCTTCGGGTCGTCTTCCTCCATGGGATTCGAGGCACTCAATCAGCCCTCTCTCCATTACAAGCACCCCATTGACAATGCTGGGATTCCCGGGGCCAGTCACTTGCCGGGGACGGAGCAGGTCGGGGTCGGGAGCAGCGTCGTGGCGAAGAGAGGGCGGGAGAGTGAGACCATGACGGCTTACAGTTCGAAGAAGAAGAGCGCTACGTTCGATCAATGGAGGGGGGAGTGGGGAGGTCGCCAGACAGTCGCTACTATGGGCTCCGCTGCTGGCTCAACTGTCGCTCATCAAGACCAAAGCAACCCACCGTCGACATCCACTCCTTTCCCAAGCAGCATCGACTCAAGCGCCGTTCCTCACCCCATTGCGACGTCGGATGCTTTCCCTTTCGGACCTCTCCAATCCGGCTCAGGGATCAATACCACGCCGTCGGAGATCCCGTCTCTTGGCTCTAGTGTGTCTGTCAATACCTTCAGATCTGCCGGTATCGGGTCGAAGTTCAGTGACAAACAGCAATGGGGCCCGCCGCCAGGCTTCTTGCGGCCACAACAAACTTCAGGGTTGGACATGATGGGAAGGGGGGGTGACTTCGACGTCGCGGGAAGGGACATGGGGACCCTACATCAGCAAGATTCCGGGCATGGGCGAGAGATGGGGATGGGAGGGGTTGGAAGGCCTGAGGGAGGTGCCTATCAGCAAGCTCAGCACCAAGGGCCAACGGCGCACGTCCGACAACGTCCATCCTCAGTGTCAGCTCTCATGGCGCCAAATCAGAACCAGCAGTCAGACAGTGGTATCGGCCCCAGTTATGTTCCCCCATCTTATTTCTTTGGCCTTCCTGATCCGGAACAGCCAGTCGCACCACCAGCGCACAATAGCAGCGCCGTAGCTGCACCCCACTTCGACCAGACGTTCCTTGAGGATACCGCCTCTGCTCAAGCTGCCGGTCATGCATCAGCATTGTCAGTAACTCTTCCTCAAAACTCATCACAGTATGCACACGGTTTGGCTGCCCCTCCAGCCGGTAGTGCGCCCGACGCTGCCAGCCGCTCAGCCGTCGCCGAGTTCATGCAGCCCCCACCAACCATCACTCAAGGTAATACTCAAGAGCAAGCCGTTGCACCATTCGAGCCAAGTGATGCGCCACACCCAGGGCCCACACATTTCTCCCCATCAAAATCTAAAGCTGCCAGCGACAAAGAAGCATTGGGGTACGACATCATCGGCATCGGGGAAACCTTTCCTCCCAGATTCAACCATACACCCGCGATGGTGGAGGCCTTCAACACATTATTCAGCACCGTCTATTCGGATATATACGCTCAACACGAGAGGCAGACGCCACGTATCGGCAGCACCGCAGTCATGACATCTCAAACGCTCGCAAAAAACCCGCCTTCGACGTCGCACTGCAGAGGAGAATGCGGAGAAGAACTATACAAAAACTGCGAAGGGTTTGCGTGATAAGGGCGAGACTGAGGAGTGGTCTATTCATGAGGCGATGAGGCAGACGGAGATTAAGTCACAAGATGAGGTTCGAGCGCTGCAGGAGAGTGCTCTGGCACAACAGCAAATAGCAGAAAATATTCAGCAAGCTGGTCAAGTCGACCCGCCGGCACCAGCAGCTCACAGTCTTCCGCGGAAATCACCCAAGGAACCGTATCTGGCGACCACGGCTCAGCCGAGCAATATCAACTGCAACGGCACGAGGGAGAGTGGAATGAGAGAAGTGGGAGTATCAGGGGCGGATCGGAGATGGATTGATTGAGAGATGGTGGTCATGGGTCATTCTCGATAGCTGGATTATAGCGCCATTGTGCACGCTTGTTTTGCGATGAGGTGCAGGCGTAGTAACATGCATTTAATTCTCATGTGACGGGTGGCTATACGGCAAATGGCGATAAGACAGATGAAAGGTCACTCAATAACTCCGTCCGGCTAATCCTTCTGCCACCCATGTACGAAGCGACTACGTTCTTTACAAGTTCGCTTCCGAGATGAATGGTGTGTAAATACCGTGGTATGGAAGGAGAGCACCCTATGGTTTGCTTGTGAGTCTTTTAATGATTCTGCAGCGATTGTTCGAGCGCTCGGAAGGCCGGGGTGGGGCGGCTGACGCCGACGGGCTGTGCTGGAACCGATGATGACGCTCTTTGCGTGGTGACTTGTTGCTTTTCAGTTGGTTTTGCATCCACATATCGTCTTCACTTACTATCTTACCCCTCAAATACATCTCACAAATGTCCCTCCCCGCCCCGCACCTCTCCAACCCCCTCATCCCTCCCCCCGAAGGGGACGAAGACCCCACCCAGCTCGCCCTCATGATCGCCGGCGAACCCTACCAAGCCAACGACAAGTATCTCGACCGTCTGCGAAACCGGGGCGCTATCAAGCTTGATGAAATTGTCAAAGTAGCGGATATGGATGAGAGGATGGCGTTGTGGAGGGAGTTTGGGAATGTGGGGGAGGATGTGTTGGTTGTGCAACGGTTCTTTTGTGAATATGTGCGCTGTCTTTCTACGGGTGGGATTGAGGGATGAGCTGACAGCTGGGTATAGGGGTTCAATGTGCATTTCAAGGGGGACAACTTCATTGGAGCGAACTGCACGTTCCTCGATATCTGTCCCAGTACGTCGCTTCTCCAGACAAACACGTGCCCTACTGACACCTTTGCAGTCACCATAGGTCTCCACTCCATGGTCGGTCCCGACGTCAAAATCTACACCCCCGACCACCCTCTCTCCCCCGAAGAACGTTCCGGTCTCTCAGGCAAAGAGTGGGGCAAACCTATAGTCATCGAGGATGATTGTTGGATTGGAGGAGGAGCGACCATCTTGCCGGGTGTTACGGTTGGGAAGGGGAGTACAGTAGGGGCGGGGTCGGTGGTTACGAGGGATATACCGGCGAGGAGTGTGGTGGTGGGTAATCCGGCGAGGGTGGTGAAGAAGATATTGGAAGATGGGGCGGTTGTAAAGGCTTGAGCGGTTGGGATCTTTGTTGGTGGTGTATGGGGCTTGTTCGATAGATGTAATGCTATGCACTGGAACGTAAAGTACTCTGCCGTGCCACCGATTCAGAGAAGAGCTTCAGATGGTACATACGAGTAGACGATGATGATCCAGTACTCGCGCATTCTCTTCAGCGCCGAGCTCCGCCAAATTGTGTGTCAGGTCCGTTCCGGTCTCATTGTTCTCTTTAGATTTGTATATTGCAGACGGGTACTCTCAAATCCCCGCCATGTCGTCCGCATCCACCCCCGACTCGTCTCAATCACACTCCAAGGCCTGCTCTTGCCCCAACGCCGATCTACCACTCCCCATCTACGACATCACATCTCTCTCCCTTCTCCCTGCCGAGCTCCGAAACACTGTCTTCGACTTCCTGACCGTCGACACCTGCCCTACCCACACTATTGCTCTCGCTCGGCTTTCAAGACACCACTATGCGACTCTCATCCCTCGTCTGTACAAGCGTATTGTCGTGACCGACGAAGCCATCGATCGGGGTTTGTACGAGAGTCTTCAGAATGGGTTCGATCGAGCCGAGATTGGAACTGGGGATGAGAGCCTTGTGAGCAAGAGGGATCTGCTTAGGACCTGTGAATCGCTGAATTTCGCGTCCCTGAACGCTATGGATGCTACCGGGGACGCATGCAGGAAAGGCTTTGAGCGCCATCACAGTGGCGTCGTACGCAATAGGCTCCGCGGCCTTTTCGACGGTGTTACTCATCCTGGGTATGAAGCTGATGCTCTCGTGGACTATTGTCAACTAGAGGATGACGACAGACTACCTATGGACGAGGGAGTCAGCCGCTATGGGATTCGCTCGTCGAATGCCCGATATCCCGCCTTGTCCACCGAGAACATTTCCCACGTCTGTTTCCGTCTTCCTTATCCTCTCCACTCAGCATTGTCACACAAAATCAGCGACTTTTACGAGTCCTTTCCGGCTCTCGGCTCCGATGCAAGAAAGAGCTTGGTGACTCGCTTCCACAACTGCCAGTCAGACCGTCCGATGACAGGCGTCGAGTGGACCGAGCGCACTGGTCATACGATGATTGTTGACATGCTGCCGGCTGAGATTGAGGAGGGAGGTGAAGTGAAAGTGGAAGTCTTGTTCCACAATATTGTCGAATGTTGCCGGCGGATTATTTGTAACGCGCGATTGTAAGCAGCCTCATACCCTCTCATACATAACGAACCGAGGCTCACAAACGCCACAGCGATCAACGATATGTTCCCCCAGAAATCATTTTCACCAACTTTGGCACTACCCCTCTCCCCTGACAGAACTGTTCGCCATCTCTCCCTTGACGTCAAGCAAACCGTTCTCGACGAGGCTCAGACTGAGGGTACGGCAGATACTTTCGAAAGATGGGTTGTCGGAGTATGCTGTGGTAGCAGACAAGATATATGTGCGAGGCTACGAGGCTTGCGAATTTTGCCCGGAGGTCGCATAGGTCTGCTTCTAAGATCGGCAGAACAGTCGCTGGGTGGACGGCACGGGGAATGGTATCATGAACGAGCAGTGAATGAGCGACGTGAGCATGGTCACCTGTGATAGGAATAGAGAGCATGAAGTGCATGTAAAGTACAAGATATGAACAGCCACCATCCATCAAGTTGAACGCGAGACAGATGCCCAAGAACCACTATGCCCTCCTTGTTGACGACGCCAAAGAAGTCACCAAGTCTTCGTCGTTATTCACAGCCTTCCCTCCATGATCTAAAGCTTCCCTAAAGATTTGTGCCCGACGCTTGCTCCCCATCACCGACCCTTTTGACGACCCACCCTGCTCAGTGTTTCTGCTGTTTTTTGCTGAGCTTTGCTGAAGTGCATATAGGTAGCGCACAGGAAGGTGATCCCAAGCCTCTCGTGGGAAATGTTCTAGTTCAAACGGAAGGTGGGAAGCAAGACAGCCAAACTCGGCAAAGGTGAAATCAAAGTTCAAGTCGGGGGGGTCGGTAGGGTTAGGCACGTACAACTCGAGGACCAGGGCTGACAAATCCGGCAAGTCAGCTCGAGCGGCGAGGACAAACACGTCAAGGGGCCAAACGAGCGAAGCCGGAGGGTAGTTCTCTCTGACCAGGTTGTATAGATAGTTGTGCCACAGTCGAAGGGGTATACGGCAGTCATACTTCTTGGCGAAGAGTAAGAAGCCGAAGAGCCAGCTGACTCTTCGCGATGGGTAATTGTACTCATCATGAAGTTCCTTCAAGGCGGCACTGAAGCCGACGCCTTGGTTGACAAGGAGGAACAGCGCTATGAGATTGCCATACTCGAATTCGCGGTCTGAAAAGGCGATTATGGGAGGGGATTCGGCGGGCAGCTCAAGCGATTCGCACAGCACGCGACTTGTTGAGAGATTTGTCAGCTAGACATCCAAGTCCAGTATTCAAGTTGGCTCACCTGTTGGCCTGGAGAAGGTATTTTGGAACATAAAACGAGAAATTGTCGGCACTGACAAGCTTGATCTCGTTCGAGCTTTGACCCGACTTCCATTTCTCCCCGTAAAGCTCGAGTTCCTCGGTTGTCTTGGATGAGTCGGTGGATGTCGTCATTTTGCTGGCATAGGCCGGTGTTGTCAGTATATTTACCACTGTCTAGAGTGGGAACGCGCCAGGAATGCACAGACGCTGCGGGACAAATGCACTATGCATACGTACTGACGATGGCGGGATGCGCAAGGCACTCTGCGGCGACGGCCGCTTCTGAGTAGCGTATTGACCCAGGCATCACCCATCTCTTGGTTGTCGCATGCACTGGATAATACAAGTCACTCAGCGAAGGCATGATCTATGCAACTCGTGCCAACAGGGATTCATAACGTAACAAGAAGAAGCCCAAGAACGCAGTCGACCAAAGCTTCCTCCCTCTGATCATGATACAAACACCCGCGGCCGTCAACCGATGCCTCCGACCACCACGAACCCAAAAACCCCCCTAGTACTCTCCAAATAAGCCAACCCCGTCTCCCACGCTTCTTCCCCGTCCAACACGGGCATGACCCCGTCGGCTCCTGGATCAACTTTCTGACGAGATCTGGGTTTGAAGGGAAGCGCGAAGAGAGGGAAGATATGAGGATGTATTGTTGGATAGTGGTGATGGCGACGCCAAAAATTTGGCCGATCGCGCGGAAGATGTAGCAGGCGGAGATGGCGAGGGAGATTTCGACGGGTTCAACGCATGCGATGAGGGAGGCTATGTAATCATCAGCATCGTCCAGCACAGGAGGAAAGGGATGAACGTACTAATGAGGGTAGTGCTGATGACACCTCCCCCTCTCACTCCTCTACCTGTTCCTACTCGTCTCGGGACACCAACAAGCATGAACGAGAACGCTTGAAGCCATGGGATTAGTGGTGTGCAGACCTAGAACCATTCATAGTCTTTCCAGTTCTATCCACGGTATCAGCGATAAATGACAGAGACAAAAGTGAAAGATGTGCGTACCCTCATTTGCCATCCGCCGAACATGGAAAAGACGGACCCAACGAGAGTTCAAGAAGAGAACGAACATGAAAAGAAGGGCACTCGCTATTGCCCTGTGATTCACGCAGTCTAAAACTTGCTCTGACAGCATCCTCCTTGAGGAGATCTGATACCAAACCCCAGTCTACAAGTGCTTGCTCGAATAGTAGTGATCTTGAAAGCGCAGCATCTGATTCGAACTCCCCGACTTGTTCGCTACCGTCTCCCCATCGAGCACAGCAGTGCTTCTCTGCAGGGCAAACAGGTATCGCAGGGGAATATGTTTCCATGCTGCCATAGGTACATGGTCAAGTGTGAATGGGAGGTGTGCTGGGAGTGTACCGAACGGGGAGGCACATTGTCGTAACGAGTGAGGCTTGTTGTCTGGCGCCGAGGAGGGCTCATACATGAGGATGACCAGAGATGCCAATTGAAGTGCATCGGCTTGGGCAGCGAGAACGAACACGTCCAGAGGTAGGGCAGAGCACGATGGCCTGGTGAATGACTCTCGAGTGAGATAGTAAAGGAAGCCCTCCAACAGTCGTAGGGCAGTGGGACAATCATACTCTTGATTCGGGTAGATGCCGGTGTTGGAGTGATGGTATGGAAGTCAGAAGTAGATGGATCCCCGAAATGTTTGCAGAATGTTTGTCGGGGCAGGGTGAAAAGGTTGTGACGACACAGTTTCCCGGCGGCCGTCACCACTCCCGGGTAGCCGAGGGCCAACTTACCCCATTTCAGCTTGCGCAATACGTCAAAGAGCTCGCGATGCATTGCGTACCTACGCCGCCATCACTATGAAATCAGAACAAAGAAGCTCGAAGAGTCGACGGAAAAGTTCGTCCGAACGAAGAGCAGAGGCTCATCTGCAAAAGTCCACGTCGCGTGCTCTTCCCAAATCCCCTCTCCCTCGCTCGCCATACCCCGCCTTCCCCCCACCCCCATCCTCCAAGCGAAGCTGCTGTTCTTCTAATCAGATAACGCTCATCGTCACGCATGCATCGCATTGACAACTTTCTTTCCCTTTCTCCTTCTGAGCTGCACCCCGTGCCTTGTTCCTACGCTAAGAAATTGTAATCGACGCTAGTAAAATGAATTCCCTTCTCTTGTGCATTCCCGACAATTCGCGTTCCACGCTTGTTGGTCTTTCTTTGAGACTAGTTGACAAGAGATCTCTCGTTATTTGTACTTTTTCATGTTGCCCCGCATCCGGTGTTTGAAGAGGCACCTCTTAACCTGAGGTAGGTACGGGGGGCACGGGGGGTGGAAAGCCGGTTACGTGGCTCGCGCGGTTGCGGGGACCTGGGGCGCTGGAGGGGAAGAGGAGGGGGTGGGGGCGTTACGTTGGATGCGTTGCCTATTTTTTCGGGAGGAGTTGGTTGATAAGGATTTGCTTGGTGTGTTCAGGCAGAATGACGAGACTTTGCGTACATCTTCTGCTGCTTGGAGTGGAGCAGTTGGAGCAATGCAGCTGTGCCAACCAAGTCCGTAACATACGGTCTTCTTCAACAAGCACGTTCTGATCCAGCCTTCACAGGGGGGGCCACATGTGACACAACCTCTCCGTCCTCACTTCCTCAGACCTCAGCTCACCTACTCTGATTTGAAACGCGGAGGAAATTGTAATCGAAGGCACGCCAGAAAGATAATCCAAATTCAAATTCCAACCTCTCCTGTCCTGACATCCGACTGCGAGAAAGCAAAAAGAGCCTCCAAGATCCTAGATAAGCAGTGTTCGGTACTTTCGGACGCACTCGCCCGGTACAAAAACGTGAGCTTGGGATTTTGTAATTGTACCGGCCGCTACGGCCTATACGGCCTCTACGGCATTAGGAACGATTAGGAACGATTAGGAACTGAAACCGTTATTTGGGGCCTCACAGCTTGCTCCCTTGCTTCCCTTGCTTCCCTTGCTTCCCTTGTTGCTTGGTCACAGCTTTGCTTGTCGATTCCAAGAAGACTGCGATTGTGCGATTTGTGCGACAGGTGTGAGATGGAGATGGAGATGGAGAACGGGGCCTTGGGCCTTGGGACGGGGTGGCATCGAGGATGTGATCGTGAATCGCCATACATGAGTACGCAGGCTCGAAGCGAGCAAGCGACCTCCTAGTCTGCCTGCCAATTGCTGTTCGATGTTCGATGTGCGATGTTCGTTGTTCGTTGTGGAGCTTGAACAGCTTCTGTCGTCTGTCGTCTTGTCGGAGAGGTACTTTTCCGCGGGGAGTAGATATGGACATGATGAGTACAGGATACAGGATACAGGGTACAGGATACAGGAGCATCCACCCTTCCATCTCCCTCCGATCGAAGCAACAACTGAACACAGAAACTCATGCGAGATCGTCAGAGGCACAACCACCACCAACGACTACCGCTCGGCGCACCGAGCCCCATCTCCCATCATCATTCCATCATCCCATCATGCCACTCCCCTCTCCATTTCCTCTCACTTTCCTTTTCAAGGTGCTCGGGCTCCAACCTTGGAACGTAAGGAAAGCAACACGCCATGGAAGGTATGCAAAGCACGACGCCCCATTTGGCCTTTGGACTGCCGTGGTCGAGTTCCTGGAGCATCTAAACTTGAGTGAGCTCGGGCTGGGAGGCGAGGAGAAACAAGGTGACGAGTTTTGGACTACTTGTCACCCATCACGCTGGGATATATATGGCTGAGGGGAATGTAGATGCAGCCAGCCTTGCCAGTGCGTCTTCTCGTCTCGGAGGCAGAGTTGGAGAATTCGCCGGTACGTCGGCAGGCTCGACCAATAAGGTCATGAGCGAGGTCATGGACTCGTCTTGGTCTGCTTTCAGAGTTTTCATGGGCAACAACAACGTCGCTCCCAACGGCAAAGTAGATGAAAACCCCCTGGAGACTTCTGCGGAAGCCTTTGGACAAACTTTCCGGGTCGATGTTACGATTTACGCTTTGGGTCTAGAAGCCATTTGTTCTCTTTTCGTGGGCCGCTTCCGTGGGCTTCGTGGGCTTCGTGGGCTTCATGGGCTTCGTGGGCTTCATGGGCTTCAAGGGCTTCATGGGCTTCGTGGGCTGAGTGGGCTGAGTGGGTTGGGTTGATTTCAGAGTCGAAGTGAGGGCAGGGGAAGGGGGAGGAGTAGGAGTGCGGTGTACTTGCATATATATGTAGCTTGCGTGCTCTCTCGGCAAACTCTTGAGGCTGCAAGAAAATTGACGAGCCGACTATTGTGTGTTCTGCAGGCATGCGTACGTTTCAGGATATAATATAGTAGACAATCCAGAGTCCCAGACGGGCAAACGGCAGACGAACAGACGGGCGAACGGAATCTTCTTCGTGTTGTTTGGTTCACCCCCATCTTCTGCTCCCTCCGCACCGGCGATTTAGGCGATGCACAGCAGGTCATCACGATGCACAATGTCCGCCTGAAACTAATCAATCAATCAATATGAAGGAAGCACCCGGGCCGAGCACAAGGGAAAAAATGTCTTGACCACTTGTCAACAAATTGAAAAGATGAATGAAAAAAGTGACTAACCCACCCAACCCGCGAAATGACTTTTTGTTAATCTAGCTGCATTAAGAAGTGCACAGAATGCCAAGTTCATGCTTCAAGCTCCAAGCTCCAAGCATCCAAGCTCTTCAAACAAGACTGATTGGCGTAGAGCCGAAGAGAGTGTGGAGGTGTACTTGTGAATGAGCGGATTGACGGATTGGATTGAAAGAAAGAGCGGGGAGGGGGCCGAGATTGGGAAATTTGAGGGAAAGAAAGTATACCCGCGACACCCGTGGTGCCCGTGCTGGCCCGTGGGCCCGAGTTATACCTGATACTTGTGATATATATCATATATGTATCTAATTGTCGGGCTTGGCTCGGTTTTTGACTATGTACATATTATTGCCCACCACCCAATGCGGCGTTATGCGCCATTCCTTGGGGGACGGTATCTGATCTGTCAACTTGTTGTTCATACGCGTTGCACCGGGGTGAAATAAGATGGACATGAATGAGATACGCAAAGTGACCAGATGACAGGAAACGTGCCAAAGATGCCGAAGTATACTCCTGCTTTACCGGGTTCACGTAAGAAATCATGCAGGTGATGGAAGCAGCAACAAGGTCCCAAGGAGAAAGCCAAGGAGGGCATGTCATTTGTACGGCACGCAACCTACAATTCGCTGTCTCTCGCCTGTCAGAGACGGGGGGCTGCACATGGTCCCGCCTGGTGCCGAGGCCTCCTCCCCCCGTGGCATGCCCCTCACGACTGACAGCCCCGGTCGTGGTGTTTCGCCCCCCGTGGGCTGCGGATGGCCGAGGGACGGAAGCAGATGGTGAAGCAGTGCGGCTAAGGATGACGTAAGGCAGGGCTCACGAGGTGCGGCAGATAAGGAGGAAAGTAATTCAGGGCGGGGTGTTCTGCGCTAGTGGACGGCTGAGGGACGCTAGTGGTGCACAAATATGCCCCATCTTGTGCTGTCCTCTGCTGCTGCTTCCATCTGTGTGTCTGTCCATCTGTCCATCTATCGTCTATCCAGCCTGCATCAATACTGCGCGGCACCCCCCGCCACCCCGCCACCCCCGCCACCCCCGCCACAGCCACGCACCGAGCCTCAGGGGCGCAACTCTCCGCCTTCATTTACCACCCCGCTTATTCGAGACAGCCCTGCGCCCGCCCCCATACGCTGCACCCAAATCACAGCCACCGACACATCTCTAATCCCCCTTCATTCTCTCTCTCTCACCGCCCAGGTGTCTCTGTAAGTGCTCCGTCGCAAACCCACCCGATCGACTTTTTACCAGTATACGCGCTGACTCTTTTTCTCTTCCCCACTGTCATCACCCACCCACGCCGTCTCCCCTTTCACCCGCCCACCACGCCCCTTTCAACCACCCCCTCAGCCACCATGTCCACCTCTGAAAATTCTTCCCCGACAGATTTCGCTTTCGAGCCCCCGGCCCTGCCGTCCGCCGACCACCCCTTCGTCTCTCCCGGCACCTACAAAGCCGACCCTTTACGCCAGACGTCCTACGACCCCTCCCTCCCGACCGGCTCCTTCACCCCCGCCGCCGCCAACCCCCCAGTCGGCGGCTACTTTGGCGACACTTCCTACCAACCCCAACCCGGCTCTGGCCAGGGGCAATACGGAGCTCTCAATTCAGCGCAGTCGAGTTTCTCGTCGGCGTCGGGCAGTGCGGCGGGTGGGTCTTTTTCGTCCGTCGACTTGCCGGGACCGAGTTTACCTGGTATTTCCAAAGAGTTTTCGCGCCCTTCCCTGGCCGATACGCGTCGGCCGGCGACCGCCAGTGTCATCCAGACAAGAGGCCAGTACGGCGACTATATGATTGGCGGCGGTGAAGACCCGCGCAGACTTTCGCAACGGCACGTCCAGCATCTCTCGCCGGACGAAAAAGACGAGGATGACGAGGGCAATTCGTCGGATACGGAGAATGTGTCGCCCGAGACGGTATACATGCCGAGCAACAATAGGCGGGCGAGCGAACCGCATTTCAACTTGCCAGGCAACGGGCAGAACTGGAACCAGTTCCCGCCTTCAGCGTCGCACGATGCATCCGGCGGGGGGGCATTCGGCTTGCCTTCTGCTCCCGCGCACGTGAGCCCCATGGGCGGCTACCTCCAACAACAACAACAAACCACCCACCTCCCCGCCTCCCACTTTTCCCGACCCTCCTTCTCGAACCGTCCCCAAACGTCGGACGGGCTCCCGTCGTATACAAACACCATCACCCTGCCCCCGGCGTCGTCCATCGCGCGGCACGTATCGGGCGGCGGGAACGACTCGCCCTTCTTCCACCACCCCCCAGGCGCGAGGGGGTACGAAGGGACGTTCCCCGGGAACAGGAGTTTTGCGTTTGACGGCCAGATCAGGCCGCCGGTACCGCCCGCCATCCCCGGCGGTATCCGGCCCTCCTACATCCCCCCTCCCCACCCCATGCTCAAACCCGACCTCGCGCCCTCTGACCAGATGGGCTACATGTCCCTCTCCTCCGGCGTCCTCCCTCCCACGTCTCTTCCTTCTGGAGGCGGCGTCGGCGGGGGGGGGAGCAGTGGTGCGGGCCAGCCGAGAAAAAGGCCGAGGAGGCGGTATGAGGAGATTGAGAGGTTGTACCATTGTGGATGGAATGGGTGTGAGAAGAGTTATGGGACGTTGAATCATTTGAATGCGCATGTGATGATGCAGAAGCATGGTGAGAAGCGGTTGCCTGCCGGTACGTTTCTTCTTTTCCCCCCTCCCTCTCTCTCGTGGTCGTGATTCGAAAGGCTAACGTAAGAGCAGAATTCAAAGAGATGCGAAAAGCGTGGAGAAAGAAGAAGCGCGACTCTGCCACCGCCACCGCCAACGCCAACTATCTCACCCAAGCCTCCGCATGGCAAGCAAACCAGAACCGTCTCTCCCTCTCCGCCAACTCGTCGTCCGGCGAATCTGACTGGGACCGCCGGGATTCGACGTCCTCCGCCTTCTCCGTCGGGTCCGAGCGCGCGGGGTCGTTCGCAGCGGCGCAGGGGATGGGCATGCCCCTCATGGGCGGTGTGCCCGGCGCGGGGTATGCGGGAGGTGGTGCGGGGTGGGGTGTACCCGTACCCGGGGTGGCGGGGGTGCCGATGCAGGGTGTGGGTGTGCCGATGCAGGGGATGATGCAGATGGGTCCCGGGTTTGGCAACGGCGTGATCGTAGATTCTCGGCCGTCCACCGCGGGGTCAATGTCGGGTGCGACTGCACACGGCGGTCACGCTCTACCTCTACCTCATCCGCATCACCAACACCAACACCCTCATCACCCCCACCCAGGCCACGCAAGCCACCACCCGGGTGCGGGCGTCCAACCAACATTCTTCGTCAACCCCCCTCCGCCGCAATCGCTCCCCTCCCTCTCTTCCTCTTCCACCGCCTCCACCCCCGGCCCCACCTCTGCTTCTGCTTCTGCTTCCGGCCCCGGCGCAGGCGCTATAGGCAACCGCCGCCCCAGCGCGCCGAACCATCTACCGTTACCAGACCCGAACCTGCTCGATGGCTTTAGAGTGACGGAAGATCACGCGACGCCGACGGCGGGGAACCCGTTCCCGCCTGGGAGTGCGCCGGGGACGAGGCCGTCGTCTTCCCATGCCCAGGGGCAGCAGCAGCAAGGGGGCGAAGCGCAGGGGCAAGGGCAGGCGCAAGGGGGGCAGGGGAAGGGGTTTGCGACGTTGAATAGCCCGGTTAATGGGAGTGCGGATTATGGGCAGTTTGCTTTCCAGCGTTAGAGGGATGGTGGGGTTTGTCTTTTGATGTTTTGATGTCGGGACAATTCTTGTTTCTAATTTATACACGGTTCTATACCAGCCTGTTCCTCTCTCTTCTTTCGATCGCCTATTTTCTCTTCTGATTTAGATTAAACTTTCTCTCTTTTCCTTCTTCCCTGTCTCTTATTTTCTTACCAAACAATCGTCTTTTGTTTCATGTTACTGTAGCATCTAGCAAAAACCATTTCTCTCTTTCTCTTTCTCTCTTCTTTTGTTTTTCCACTTTTGTGCTTTCGAGGCGAGGATAGATTAGATGGGCGTCATTGATTTCGGCGATATACCAAACCAAACGAACGAAGAAAAGGGGGCGTTCTCGCCCTTCTCGGGCGCAGACTTTTCTATATCTAGATCTAGGCTTTTTTGCATTGAATTTACTAGCATCGGGTGGACAAAGTGGCATGTAATCTGACTGTTTTTGGCATACACATTCGACAATTTTGCTGTGTTTGAAACGATAGAAGACTGGAAGGCTTGGTGTTTGAGCGAGACCGGGAAGGAGGCTCGTCTGCGTTTGCTCAAAGCGAGATGTACGATCATGGCTGATTTGATGTTGTTGCATATGAAAACAGTCAATGAGAACATTCGATGATGATGATATATACAACGGGCTTGCAGTCCCACAGCCCACAGCCCTCTACGACATGACCGTACTACGCCACACTCTTAATCCCTCCCTCCCCTTCCCTGCACCCTCTCCGCCCACCCCACCGCATCCCTCCTCCCCTCCGCAATCCCCACCCTCCAAAGCACCGGTATCGGCACCACCAACATGACCAGCAAGAACAAGAACCCATACCGTATGTTCCCCGTCAAGTCGGATATGAGGCCGACGGCGGCGGGGCCGATGAAGGAGGCGGATTTGTCGGTGAAGGAGAAGAGGGAGAAGAAGGTGGATTCGTGGCCTGGGGGGATGAGTTCGGCGTAGACTGCGCGGGAGTAGGAGAGGAAGGGGCCGAATATCTGGGACTTCGTGTAAGTGGGAAAGTGGGAAGGGGGTGGGGGAAAGGGACTTACGAGGCCGAACCAGATTGCCAACACATACATCTCCCCCTCCGTCCTCAACCCTCCAAACGACACGACCAACCCCAAAGAAGTATAAACCGGTATGATGATAGCAGCCAGGACGCAGCAGATGAGGATATTGAAGTTTGTGATGGGTCTGTCGGGGGTGGAGAGACGGTGGTGGAGGCGGGGGACGAGGGTGGATGAGATGACGGCGGCGAGCTGGACGAGGATGCCGACGAGGATGATTTTGGGTGGGGACATGGAGAGGACGGAGGAGGCGTAGAGGATGGCGGCGTAGGTCGTTGTGTGGAAGCCTGTCATCGACGTTAGAGGATGGTTATCAATGGGCGCGAAGATGAGACTCACCATCTGATAGAAAGATCCAGGCTAGGAGATATGTGTACAGACCTGGTAGCTGCCGTATCTGGCTGGGGGCAATCATACTGCCCATCTTCACCCAAGCTTCTTTGATCTGGCGCGTACTGATCTCGGACCTATCTCCTCCATTTGAAGGCAATCCAAGCCAGGCAGGAATGGTGAAAACGGCCCACCAAATCCCACTCATCCCGATGCCCAGTCGTAAAGAAAAGGTCGAACCGTCCAGCGCCAAAACAGGAATGAGAAGCAGTATCAGGACGGATACGCCCGAGAAGAAGCCAACAGCGATGCCGATTGAGGAAAGGCGAGAAGTGGTGAGGGATAGGAGAGCGTCGTATCGAGATTCTGGAGTGGTGTCGTGGAGAGAGGTCTTGACGGCAGGGTCAGCGTCGGCGAGATCTTGCGTCGAGATGGCCATGACCGCTGGGACGAGTTGGTGCGGTAGAAGATGCGTCGCTTCGTCCCCCGAGTCCGGGCTGCCACCAAGATCACCCATCTCTTCGTCCTGCTCTATTGGGCCCTCATCACGGACATCCGCCGACATCCTCTCATCCCAGAGTCTCCGCACGTCTTCGTCCTCTCGAGCGAGCTGGGGTAAGAAGGCATTCGCGCAGACGATACTGGTCGAGTATGCTGCGCCGGATATAATGTTGAGGAGCGCTGATAAGAGAGGGGTGGAGGAATGGGGAAAGAGGAGGAAGAGTGTGGCGGCGATAGAGCCAGAGTAGGCGAATGTGATTAACAGACGTTTGCGCCAGTATGCTGCTCAAGGTTAGCTTTGCCTTCAGGCATTTCATGGCGCTTACTAGAGTCTGCTAGGGGTCCAACAGAGATGATACAAATGGCTTGAAAGGCGACAGCCACTGACTTGACGTACATACTGCCGCATTTCGTTATTCCAGGTCGAGATGAAGAAGACCGAGCAAACACACCTGAAGGATGCGGTGTCAATCCAGGCGCCCATTATCTTTGCTTTGCAGACTCTTCCAATGCCTTCCACAGTATCACTACTTGTTTGACAAGGTTCCAGAAGGTCAGGCGCGTAGAACCCGACTTCACGGGCCATCTCTGCCTTGGGTCAGCTCGGCACAGCGGACACTCGTGGTAAACACGCACGTTCCAGCGTTATCGGTAGGAAGATGGCCTATACGAAGCTTGTCAATGCAGCTACAAGAGGGATAGAAAGGCGACTCACCAAGGCGCAGGCAGAGAAGACCTCAGCTGCAAAAGCATAGCTATACCACGCCCGCAGATGCGGAGGAGGTAAGGAGAAGCCCATGGTGTGACACGCTGGCTGTTGGATCGAGGTGGCAGTTGATCTCAGCAACCTTGGAGACGTTAAGGCAGCACAGCCCGCATGAGGGATGAACGGGCAAAATGACAAACAACACAGCGGCTTGAGTGACAGGGACTTACCCGCCGGAAGGCCGTCGGTCGGTCTTATCTGCTCCTCCACTTTGTAACTTGCTTAGACGAACCAAACATTGCGTTGTTGCTTTGCCTGGCTTGCGCGTTCGTTCCGGGCCAGCTGTAAACCATGCATGAACAAGACGAAAGTCGGAGTCATCTCTGCATATGAAGTGACATACCGATACTCCTTTCATTCAGAGGTTCTACTCCAGCATCGCCGCAACCATTCCGAGTAGTAACTCTCTAATCAAGGAAAATGACCGAGATAAGAGGAAAGGGGCTGCTCTTCAAGAGGCCAACGATGAAGACATAGGGTCTATAGTGCTGCAGAGGATCATGGGCTTTCCAGAAGGTAGAAGGGGGGTTGCTAAAATCTTAGATGAGACGACGACCGGGCCCTTTTCTTGTCTGGTTTTTTGCCTGTCGGTCTAATGATGATATATGGTCCCTAGTAGCTGGAGGATAGTACTATACTATACGTGTACTCGTGCAAGTCCATGGCCTGACAATTAGGTCTGGCGACAGTCGTGCAACGATAACAAGGAAAACCCGAAAGCCGATGCCGGGTAAACTATCGGATCTCGCCTATTTGATCGGGCAACTCCGATGATGGGACCACAAGGTGTGCCCGTTTTTATAAACCTGCATTGTTTTGCTCTGCCTTTCCATCAAACTCATCGCCGACACTCAAAACTCATCTGGAACATTCCCACGGCGTAGCAAAGTCATAGCCACTGGTTCGGACGCCTCAAAATTTGACCTTGTCCCTGTAAAACAACGCACGCAATCACCATGTCAGACGCGACCGAGCGCCAAACGCTCTTGCCTTCCTCTAACACCCGTCATCCTCTCTCACCACCTTCGCTCACTCGGTCTGGAAGCTCAGCAACACTAATAGCATCGAACTATGGCGCGGCCGATGGAGATACGGACTCGCAACCACCAAAACCGAAAGTAGAGCAGGAGCTGCATCACAAGCAGTTTCATGAGATATGGGCTTTATTCATGGGCCTGGCGTTTGCGTGAGTCAATCAGTCATCAGATGCAGACAAGGCTAACATGTCTTTCATAGTGTATTTTGCTCAGCCCTCGGCGCGACTATCGTGGCCAATCTCACTATCGAGATCGGCTCGTACTTTCATGCCGGTTCTCTGGTGCGTCTTGTTTTCGCAAAGTTTCTTTTTGCTGACGGTCATCAGTCTTCATGGCTCGGTACAGCCTTCCTTCTGGGTCTCACAGCTATGACACCTCTATACGGTCGTCTCGCGCAAGTCATGGGCCGAAAAGGGTGCATGCTTCTGGCTTTGACCTTCTTTCTGAGCAAGTCCCTTTTAACTCTTGTGGCGAGGACTGAGCTGATCTGTGGTCATAGCTGGTACGGTGCTGTGCGCGGTGGCACCGAGCATGCATTTCATGCTGTTCGCTAGAGGCGTTGCGGGAGCAGGAAGTGGTGGCATCTTGACCGTCACCGTACGTCCCGTACGCCTCACTTGCCGGAAGGCTAACGTGTCTACCAGGCCATCATTATCTCCGACCTCGTCTCCCTCGCCGACCGTGGCCTCTACCAAGGCGGTATCAACCTCCTCTTCGGTGCCGGATCTGCCTCCGGTGCCATTCTCGGTGGATACATCTACGACAAATTTGGCTGGCGGGCGGCTTTCTGGGTACAGGTGCCCCCGGTCTTGTTTACGTTTGTGATGGTCATCTGGAAGGTAGATGTGGGGAGAGAAGAAGGCGAAAATACTGGAGGAAAGACGGTTTGGGAGAAGGTGAAGGGTATAGATTGGCTGGGGAGTTTTGTGCTCATGATGGGAGTGAGTCTGGACCTGCAACGAGCGGATGGCCGAGCTAACGGAAATATAGATATCGAGCTTCTCCATATTCTCATCGCTTTTCACCTCTTCTCAGTACCCTTTGCTCCACCCTCTCCCGCTCTCACTGTTGATCGCTTCCATCGTCGCATGTCCCGTCTTCTACGTCGTGGAGAAACGCGCACACCAGCCCATCCTCCCTCTCACGCTGCTCACCCGGGCACAGCCGAGTATCGTTCTTGCTGGTTTCGTGTCTACTACTGCCACCAACTTTTCTCGAGTGAGTTGCTTTGTCTATTTTCTGCTGCAACTACTGACCGAAGAATAGCTGTATATGCAACCGGTCTACCTGCATGTTGTGAGAGGATTGAACGGTTCCGAGACGGGGTTGCTTCTTATCCCGAGCTCTATTGCTGGATCGTTCTCTTCCCTATACGCGGGATGGCACATGAAGGTACGCACCATCTATCCCTTGCATTTCCTCGTCAATCGTAGCTAATTGTGTGAGTAGCACTGGAAAGAATACAAATGGTTCCAAGTCTGCACATCACTCATCCCATGGCTTCAAGCGTTCTCCATCATGGTCGGCTGGGGTCCCGAGACGAGTACGACTAGGCTGTGGAGTGAGATGGCCCTTGGGTCTTTGGGAGGAGGCGCTACCATCACTACCCTCATGAGAATGTCCACCCCTTACCTTCTCATGCCCATGATACTGATGTTTACATAGCCTCCCTCATCGCATGCGTCGAACCCGCCGAAATCTCCCTCGCCATCTCCGCCTGCTACCTCTTCCGCGCGATCGGTCAAGTTATCGGCGTCGCCATCTCCTCCGCTATCCAACAATCCATCCTTATCTCTTCCCTCTCTTCGCGCTTCTCTTCAAACCCAGATCTCGTCAGAAAGTTGATCCAGGAGCCGGCGGAGATCATGCCTCTGTTGGGGGTGGAAGAAGCGTGGGAGGCAAGGCTGGCTTATCTGGATAGTATCAGGGGAGTGTTTGGGTTTGTGGTGATTGGAGGGATTGCGTTGACGGGTGTTTGTATCATGATCAGAGGGAGGAAGCTTTGATCGATTGCGCTCTTGGGCTTCTTGTTGAGACTTCTTGTTGATATGAGTGTCATAAAATTTGATTTATTAAGATGTCATGTATCATCGATTGCTCCTACTCCCCGTTGCTATACGATGCCTCAACGCATATGCTCGGCTACCCGATGATTGGTGCCGGCCCCTGAAATAATCCCGTTGTCGCCACTTTTCGTCAACAGCTGCTCAGATCAGTTGATACCCATACCATCACTCCGACCTGAATTCAGACGATGGCGACTCCTATAGAAGCAGCCGGGCAAAGGGAAGAGCCCAAGGTGTACGGAGAGAGATGGAAGTCGAAAGAATGCGCAGGTCCGAGCGAGGTCAGACTGATTAGTGCCGACAATCGTCTCTTTTTTGTCCCTACACACTTGCTTCAGTCTCACAGGTGAGTGCTACGGCGCAAAAAACGAGGACAGTCTGATTTACCAGTCTTATTTTCAGCACCGTGCTTTGTGACATGCTCGAGCTTCCGGCCACCGAGTCACCTCCCTCGATTACTCTATCCGACCCCGACCTCGAGTCTGCCGCTCAACTAGCCCTATTCCTCCTTGTTATCCAAGGAAATAACTTCTTCGCAGCTCGCAGCCAACTTCCTTATGTGCGCTACGAACAAGTGATTACAGTCGACCACTTATCCAACTTTTTCCAATTCGCCAGAAAGTACGACTGCCCCAATGCCCTTCTACTGTGGGAGAACTTCCTCTATTACCTGGTGCGAGAGGAATTTCGCCCGCGTGGATGTATCGCTAAGCCATTGGATGTGTTTGTCCTCGCCGCCCAGGCTGACTTGGGCGGGTTGGCATCGCTGGTCCTAGACCTGTACCAGCCCTCACTGGTCACCGACACGTCCCATCACTCCCGCTCGTCATCTGACTACCCCTCTCCGTTTGGTTATCTCCAAAAACACCTCCCATTCACCCTTGGCAGTATACCTGTGGAAACATGGAAACATATACCCCTGCGATATCTCTTTGCCCTGCAGAAGAGCACCGCTGAGCTCGATGGGAGTACGGAGCCGACATCGCAGCAGTCGGGAGTTCGGAGCCGGAAGTTACGATTTGAAGAATCGTTGATTTTGGGCAAGAAATTGTAAATTGGAGTTTGGTCTCCGATCGCATCACGGAGGATGTCGTCAGGTCAAGCTTTAGGCGACGTATTCACGAGAGAAAGGCGAGTGTCCTCCTTTTCGCGTTTCTTCCCTCCATACTGACCCATCATTGCGTATTAGTGTAATATAGTCCGTTAAAATCTGACCTGTCTCATGAGCGCTATGCTGGGATGTCATGGTTATAGGGTCATCTGTGTAGTTTGTTCATTCAGTTGTGTCCTTAGTGGACCGTGCTCTCCGTATATATAGACCAGAGTCTTCTTTCATAATTCTTCTTCATATGCGACAATAACGAAAAGGTTTTTGCCCCTTACAACAAAACTATCTTCAGCACGTCAAGGGCATTCCCCAAGCGTGACATGGGAACGAGAGGGGACTGGGGGACAACGCGGTATCATCATAGACGCGAGGCTTCTCGATCTTCTCATACACTCCCTTCTTCATGACATAGTAGTAGCTTTAAAACGTTTCGATACACGGAGTATCGCGTTCAAGTCGTGGCGGGTCAAAGCGCGGACGAGATTAGAGCTCGATAACTCGTTGCACTCGTGCAGAGAAGCTCTGTCGCGAGCCCCCAAGATGATACAGGCCGTTTCATGGGCGACATCTCTACCCGGGAAGCCTGGAGGGCTCGAAGATCAAGAGCAACGCAGGGTTATCTCCCAACAATCCTGCGTTTCCCCTTCTTGTACTCCAGGTCGTCTGCCGCTCTTCTCGAAGATGTTGGCCGTCACCGTATTAGCAGTTTTGATAGGCTTGTTTTTCAGCTGTAGCATAGTCTTGTCTAGAGCCCGACTGTCTACTTGCATTGGAGTCTAGTCAATCTATCCCTCCTCAGACCTGATCGAACATCTACCGTGACCCAACCGTGACTGACGCAGAGAATGAGGAGCCGGCGGCCGGCGACCGGGTTAAAGGTCTGACGTGGAAGCCGCGCATGACTGCAAACAAAACACGCGACTTTCACAACCTGTGTTACCTTTTCACCAGGCAACAACCCGTCCCCAACTACTCATAATGCTCTTAGAATCTCTGAGCACGTACCCGTCTTTCACTCCTGACACGCTACATTCCTTCTCTCCGTACCCTCTTTCCTCGCGCGAACATCTCCACAAATCCCTCCTCCACCCCTCCTCGGCCTCTTCTTCTCAAGCAGGTCCCAGCACCTATCGATCAAGCGGTATCCGCGGTATACAGTCCCCACCTACCAACTCCGACCCCGATGAGCAAGCACAAGATGCCCGGCGGTCAGCTAGTATGATGCGCCGGCGCGCGGAGGAGAGAGTATTGATGGGCAGGACACCGGCCGGAGTCATGCTGGGAAGGGAGGATGATGAGGTGACACTGGAGGAGGAGATGATGGATCAAGAACAGGTATGTGTCCTAATTTTGGTTTGGTTTGAGAACGCGAGCTGATCGGCGATGCGAAGCACGACGTGACTATGTTTGGTCACCGATTCTTATTGCCGTACGGGAGAAGACAGACGCAAATGGAAGTGGATTCTGCGCCCGTATGCCTCCTCCTCTCATCACCTCTTGGGACTGATAGTCTGACCTTGTCTTCTTGAACAGTCTCCGTCGCCTTCCGAAGCAGACCACGAACGGCGACAAGAAGACCCCTCTGGCATACTCCACCACCATCATCACCCCCCAGAGGATGAAACAGAGAATGAAGATGACGAAGATGTGGCTGATCTGGATGGCAGCGTGGAGGATATGGACGCAAGTCAGTTTGATGATGAGGAAGATGAGGATGAGGGTCTGGAAGCGGAGGAGGAAGGCGTGGATTTGGATGATGAGATGGAAGATATGGATGAAGAGTAGTGTCCGGATGCGATGATTCGTTCTGCGGCCCCTGTCCTGGTGAACGTTGAGAGCGCAGGCTTGCTCGACCGATCCCCCTCCAGCGCAAGCACACGCAGGCAGCGGGACGGCTTTCGCGAGGCCTTTTCTCCTTATAGCCAGTTCAATTGAGCTGGAGTATTCGGTAGCTCCAATACTCCCTCATGGGATGCTACGTACTGCACTAGGACAAGAGCTGAACCAAGGACCAAACATTGAAGAGGACGCCGTCGACTGGTCGATTATATCAGTTGGTTTAGATTGTGGACCTAATAATCCAAGCGGGTCATTAGTCCAAGGTCGGCAGTTCGATCCTGTCATCGATCATTCCTTTTTACTATTTCTTTTTCCTCTTCCTGGTGACCAGGATGGTTTTGTACATGAGAAGGGATCATCGCTGTTCAGATCAGGCAGTGATCGAAACACACCAGAGCAGTATGGACGGACACAGAGCACATTCAAACGCACCACCACATCACCACTTGTAAATGCGTGCTAACAGGCAGCGTCTACCAACGCATGAACGGCTCAGACATCAATACGAGCATTACGTGAGATGGACGGTGACGAATGCGCATCGAGGCATCGGAACAGCAAGTACTCGAGTCGTGTTTGCGATCTGTCATTCCCAGCGACATGTTTGCATCTACCCTGCTCTTTCCAGCATCAGCCTGCTTGAGCGTAGATGGAAACCCATAAAAGCAGGGCATCGCCAAAAGGAAATAACAAGACATACAGCAGGCCAGCACAAACTCAGTCCAGATTCGCCACCGCTTACACATCCACTATGGGTCAGAAGTCATCCTCCCAACGACGAGACCGTCGCACGCAGGCATCTACGGTGAGACACAGTACCCCCGCCACAGTTGCCCGCTATCACCCCCCTCCTCCTGAACAGAGCCCTGCTGTCACAAACAATGGTTCGCCAGCGCTCAATCTACCGTTCGATATATATCTCAACAACCGCCAAAGCCCGTTCGACCGCCACGATCCAACAGGGCTTTTTGCTCCTACTCCACACCATTTCGTCATCGAGACGTTTCGAAAGTCTCCCTTACGCGATGCTGTCCGTATCGTCGACCATTATGCCAATCCGGAACCAATTGCCCACGAGTCGATCAGATTGCTCAATGAGGGAGTGACGATGATCCGGAACTGCGACCCGAGCTTTGTGTTTTTGCAAAATGCGGAGGAGATAAAGAGGGTAGTGGATCAAATGGTCCCAAAAGCGGAAGAATTGTTTGACTTCTTGAGCGAGTCAAGGAAGATGTCTTTCGCTTGGGTAAGCCAGCCTTCTTCCCGGGGATAACGTACATGCAGCTAAGACGACATCTACAGATCGCCACAGTTGCGTTCTGAACAGCCGAGTTTCTCTGTCGCACTTACGATCTTCAGCACAACCCCAAGCCCGGCGTCCTAGAATCTGACCATTTTACGCCAGAGAGTATCCAAAAGCTTAAATCTGGTTTCGCAACGTTCGCTAGGTCGGGCGTGTATATCAATGAGCTGGTCGATGATGAGAAGAAGACTGGTGAATCAAAGAAGAAGACGAGGAAGGAAGTGGGGAAAGAGATGAAGGCGGATAAGCTGATTGTGATGAAGGCTTTCAAGGCGTTCGGTGTAAGTTGTCACCTTCCATCTATCCCCGAACGATATTCGAGCGGTCACTGATGATACGGAATATCTCAGGCAAGCAACGTGAAAGCAAATTTGTCAGAGGTCTTCGACGTAATGAAAGGTAGAAGAGATTAACGGAGTAGGTATTGCAGTTCATGTATCACTGTATCATTCGAGGAACGTTCATATTGCTACGATAAGGCTGCTACTATGATGTACTTATTTCTCTACGTCTCAACCGTGCCGAGGGAGCGATGCTATTTCCGTCACCCATCAACGCCCACTCTTGACATTTATAGTGGGTGGTACGGTAAGAATGGAAGAATGATCGTTGGACGGCACAAGGCGGTACGGCCGCAACGAGGCATGGGCGCGGCGACAAGAAGCACCCGAGTCGTGTTTTACCATCCTCACTCTGGACGACATGTTTGCTTCTCCGCCCCTTTCCTTTCAGCCTTTCAGCCACTCAATGATGTCAGCACCAGTCTGTACACAGATGGAGATGCATAAATACACAACGTTCCCAAACGAAAAGCAACAAGACATGCCACCATCTACCAAACTCGGCCAAATCGCCACCCTCCTCACTTCCCTATTCCAAGATTATTTTCTCTCGATGGGCCAAAAGTCGTCCTCCCAGCAGCCTTACCGCTCTGACCAAAGGTCGGAGCAGGGGTTTAATCCCGCCACCGGTGCGCTTGACCAACCAGGAGCGCATCAGGCGTCACCTGTTTTGAGGCGGCAAAGCCCCAGTACTGTCGCCACTGACCAGTACCCTCCTCCTCCTCACAGTCCCGTCACCGGTACTGGGAAAGACAGTACCACAGGGCACGGTACTGTGCCGTCTGCGCAACATGGTACCACCCCGCAGTACGACCCCACCAACAACCAACACACCTACCACCCCACACCCCAAACACCTACCCGACCCAATCCTTCGCCCCCACCACCCAAGCGACCCAACAACACCCCTTCGCCCCCTCCACATTCGACAAATCCCCTCTCCGCGACGCTATCCGCACGATCGACACCCACCCCAGCCCCGAACCCATCGCCCTCGAGTCTGTGCACCTCTTGAACGAAGGTGTGGCGATGGTACGTGAGGGCGACCCTGGGTTTGTGTTTATGGGTGATGTGCTGGATGTGAAGAGGGCGGTGGATGGGATGGTGGTAAAGGCTGGGGGTTTGAGGGAGGGGGAGTCTAGGAGGGTTGCTTTTGCTTGGGTACGTCCCCTCCCCCCCCCCCCCTCTTTCACTGGATCACTAGAGGAAAGCACACCGCGAGCACAAGGATCTGGGGCTAACGTGAGGCGGGGCAGATTGCGACAGTATCATTCGACACGGCGCACATCCTCTGCCGCTGCTACAACCTCCAACACAACCCCAACCCCCAAGCCCCGGAATTCGAAAACTTTGCACCAAAAGGTATCCCGAAGCTCAAGCGGGGTCTTGCGACGTTTGCGAGGTCGGGCGTTTATATCGACGAACTTGTGGAAGCGGAGAGGTCTGATGGAGGGATGGGGGGGGGTGGGGATGGCGAAGGGGCAGAGGACGAGGTGGGCGGTTGAGAGGAAGATGAAGGCGGATAAGAAGACCGTCAGGAATGCTTTCATGGGCTTTATCGTACGTCTTCTTCCTCTCCTCCTTCTTCCTTTTTGATCTCTGAGAGTAAAGCCAACGGTTTGTGGGTATGACAGGGGAGCAACATGAAAGCAGCCGTCCTCGAGGCATTCACCGACTACAGAGCCGAATGGAAGGGCCGAAAACAGACGTTGCAGGGTATGGCGCAGTCGAGCAACGTCCATGCTAGTCCGGGGGCTTATGACCCGCATGCGGGCGCGGGTGTGGGGACGACGCATGGCACTCAGGCCGGGGATGCGAATGTCAACGGCACTAACAACGCCGGTGGGACGAAGCGTGTTTGAGGCAATCAATGTCACCTTCTTCGGTTCTGAGAAAGTTTTGTCGAATAAGAATCTGTGAGAGTAGATAGCTTGTTTCACGATGCATACTGTAACACTTGTATAATGTGTGGGGGCTGGGGGACAAAAAAAATACAAAGCCTGGGAGCTGAAAGGCTAAAGATTCCGACAAAGATCCCTCCCCCTCTCCACCTGCCCCCGACAAAGCATGACCTCCAACGGCATACTGATCAAGCTCGCCACCAAGATACCCGTCGAATCGGCGGCGCCCACGGCGCCTATGCGGAATTCCTTCTCCATCGCCTTTTTTGCTTCACTCTTTGGCGGCAGAGAAGGGTCGGGATCGGGGTGCAGGGGTTGGTCCCCTTCGTGGTTGACGTGGTAAAAGGTGTTGACGTAGCCTGCTCCGCCGCAGAGACCTTCGAGGCAGATCAAGAGCCAGACGAACCATATCGCCCTATCCACCCCTCCCCCCTCTCCCCCGTCCGGGCCGTCCGGACCTCCGCCGCCAGCAGGGCCGAGGCCGATATTGGACCCAGGGGTGTAGGAAGGGGACGAAAAGATGAACGAACGGGCTTGGAGGGAAAGCAGGGAGAGGACGAGGAACTGGATAATTGCTGGGAGTGGGAGCAGTCTGCGGGGGAGGGGCGGGAGGCCGAGGGAGAGGGATGAGCGGGAGAGGAATACGAATGATTGGTCTGTTCTCTTATCTTAGCCGGGAGGGGGTTTGAAGAAAGAGGAGGGGGAGGAGGGGGACGTACAGGTGAGAGACCAAAAGGGATAGTAATCGCGCGGTGATTTGAAGAGATGTGACCAGATCCCTGTAGCCGGGAGCGGGAATACCAGCGTTGGCGCGACGCCCTGCCATTAATGGATCAGTGAATAAGGCGGGGAGAGAGGGAGGGAGGGGAGAGGACGTACGGAGTTGATGACATATTCTTCGACATACACCGCGCAGAGGGGTAACATGTATCTTACTACCAGTGGCCGAAGTAGGACCATCTTTTCCTTTGTCGTCAACCTCAGCCCATTCATCTTTCCTTCCACATCCTCCCCAGCAGGGTGGAAAGCTTGGTGGGGATCAGAGAGAGAAGAGAGCAGAGGCGAGCGCTGGGGGACGTATTCGGAGGAAGGTGCTGAGATGAGGATACCGGGGACGGTGGGTGATGCTTGGGGGAGGTCGTCCTCGGCGTCGTCGGCGGTGGTGGAGAGGGGTTGGTATGGGGATAAATCGGAGGGGAGGTGGGAGAAGGGCGGGAGGATGTAGGTGTAGGTCACCGGGAAGAACAGGGGCAAGACCTGCGGCATATCAGCTCTACACCAAACCAAAGAGTTCAAGGGGAGACATACACTCGACAGGCCCAAACCTGTCTTCACTCCCAGCCCTCTTAGGACCCACCATATCACCGCCCCCGCCACCCCCGCAAACCCCGTCCCACTCGCCCACGCCCCCAGCGCGATTTTAGAGGTATGTTTCGTAGGGAGCGTGGTGGTGAGCTGGAGGAAAGTGAGTTCACCCATACCAGAAGAGAGGGAGGCGAGGGTTATACCGAGAAGCCGTGGAGGTAAGCTGGTAGAAAAGGCAATCGTCTATTCACCATCAGCGAGGAACTACGGGGCAAGGGACAAGGGGGGACGCACGAGGATGCCAAGCCAGCTGCAGGCTGTGCAAAATGCGACTCGCCGGGTATATCTTATTCTGCCATTGGCGATGAGGGGCCAGGCGACTTTGGTGAGGAGGGCGGGGAAGATGTTGAAGAGGGCGACGATGCCCTTGGGGGTTTCGGCGGAGACGAGGTCGAGGGCGGCAGAGAGGATGATCACGTAGAGGACTGCGTAGAGTGAGCGTGTGGTGATATGGGAGGGAGGGGGTGTACCGTTGTTGAGGAGGCCAAAGATGAGGAAGGCGGTAAAGAGACGCTTGATGGCATGCTTGGAGTCGTCGGCGGGGTCGTTGCCTGTGGGAGGTGAGCGGGGTGAATGCAATTGAGAGTACGCACGGGCTATGAAGGCGTCTATCTCGTCGTCGTCTGGGTGATTGTGTGTGGGCATGAGGGGGTGAAGGGGGATGGCAGACATCCACCCGTGAATATATCTTGAATTTAGACGAGAAGGAAAGAGGAGATAAGATTGCGCGGCATCAACAACAAATCCCATCTCCGTTACTCTATCTCCGCATTTTCAATTCGGACTACAGGGGTACTCACAGAGGGCAGGCAGCATACACGGACCTGCATACCCCTACCTGGCTTCACCCAGCACCCTGCCCATAAACACCCGACTACCCGATACCGAATCATGGACGACTCGGCCCAGCCATATACCAGCAAAGGCGCCATTCCCACCAATGTCGTCACCTACAGAGGCAAGCCTCCCTCTCCTCACCATACTGTATCACTCTGACATCTCACAGGCCGACGGATCCCAGCGAGGATCGACCCCGAAGCCGTAGGTCTGTGCGCAATAGCGGTGGTGAAAACTGACATGGCGTATAGCGGGTGGCCTATATCGTCGAGATCATGGCGACGTCTTTTGCGACAGAGGAGCACCATATCACCCTGTGTTTGAGGGATCAAGAGGATAATTTGGTCACGCAGAACAACCTACCGAGTAAAGTCTATCAGCACGACGTTCTGAAGTGAGTCCTTCTACTACGATAAGGCTAGAGACTGACTCTCCCAGGCTCTGTGCAGCGCCCACAACAGAAGCTCTGATCGTAGTATCCTCCCTCAAATCAGCAATCCGCCGCGACAGCCTCCCCGAATCCACCTTCAGCCACACCCCCTCCCACACCCCCTCCCCCTCCAACCTCGACACGATCCCACTCAAACTCGCGCTCTTCAACCTCCAAAAGTTTGTCAAAGAAGAAGACTTTTCCGTCGAATTCCTCCTCATAGGCGGTATGAGAATCCTCATCCGTCTCCTCGGGAAGGAAGAGACTGGGCTTGTTACGGGGAATAGCTTGGCGTATGCGTTGCAGGGGATACGCGGGATACTGGAGTTTGAGTCGGGCTGGTCTGAATTGTCGGATACGTTCATTCGCAGGTTGTTGTCTATCCTGTTGTCTGCGACACAGCCGAATATACTCAGGCCTGCTACTGCCATCCTCCGCAAACTCGTCATCTCCTCCCCTTCCCCCGCCTCTACTTCTGCTTCTGCGTCTGCGTCTGCTGGAGCAGATCTCCAAAGCTCGCTCAAACCGTCCCCAGGCTATTTCCTATCCGGCGGCAGTACCAGCGCCAAAGACCGTTACAAAAAAAATCGGAACAGCAAGGATAACAGGCACAGTAATGGGGCTGCGCTAGAGAGCAAGCATTATGGCTTTGACAGGGTTTATAGCCTTATCAAGTCTCTGCCCCTCACCACCACCCACCCCGGGTCGGGCTCGGGCTCGCGGGAAGAGGAGGAATCGGTAAAGAATGCCGAGTATTTCTACAAAACCCTCATCAAGAGACTCGAAAGTACCGGTGATCTGGAGCTCGTTGCTCAGAGGCAAGTCCCCACTTCTCTTCCCCCCCTCTTCTCTTCCCTCTTCCCTCTTCCATCATCATGTGTGGTTTTGTGAAACTAGTTGCTGATGGAGGGGTACAGTTTGGGGCTGATCAATGCGTCGCTGAGATCTGGGCATCAAGAAGGTAGTCCGCAGTATTACGAGCTTATTTGGATATTGGAGAATCTGGGGATTAAGAAATACGTCGCTGTACGTCCCCCTTCTCCTTCCCCTTCTTCCCTTCCCTCTTCCCTCTTCCCTCCTCTTCCCACCTCTTCCCAGAAACAAAGCTAACGCCACCCACCAAGCGCCTAACCCCCTCCTCCCAAAACCCCATCCTGGCCCCGCACCTACTCAACTTTCAATCCCGCCTCGCCGTCATACTCCAACACAAACGCCTCCGGTCTGTACGCCCGGGGGAGAGGGCGAATCAGGAAAAGATGTTGGGGGAGATTTGGGAGGCGGGGAGGCTTGGGGAGCTCGAGGGAGGGGGAGGTGAGGAGATTGAGGAGTTGAAAGAGGGCGGGGGGGTGGGCGGAGTGGGTGGAGTGGGTTTGGGGATGGGTATGGAGGGAGAGAAGGTGGAGATGGGGGGAATGAGAGGGAAAGGAGGGAGGAGGATGGAAGGGTGGGTTGCTATGGGTGGGGAGGTGTTTGGCGAGCTTGGGGAAGGAGGTATGTTTAGGGATGTCGGAGAACTTGGTCTCGAATGCTTGGTGAGTTCTTCCCTTACACGACGAGGAGGTGGTCGCTGATCAGGCGGGAAAGCATTACTTTGCAACGCACGAAGAACGTTTCTACAATGTCAGTCCATCCCCCCACCCTTTTGTTCAAAAAGCTGACGATAGCCGGGACAGTTGGTGCTGGAAGAAAACGCCAAACCACCCTCCCGCCGCTGTCCCCTCATAGCAGCCTCCGCCTCCTGCGTCAAACTCCTCGCCGAGCACTACAAACTCGCTTCCGCCCCGCACTACCCCCACCCCCCCAAAACATTCCAGCCCTTCCTCCTCGGTTTCCCCAAACTCCACTCGCTCGTCCTCAAATTCTTTATCCGCATGTTTCATCAATCCTCCTCTTCATCTTCCGACTTGGCGCGGCTGTTGCCGTTGGTGGGGTCGCATTTGGCGTTGACATTGAATCCGGGGGAGGAGAGGGAGAAGACGTGGTTGGATGTGGAGAATGCGTTTTTACATGCGGAATATGGGAAGGTGAGGGAGAGGCAGATGGAGATGATGGAGAGGGAGGGGGGGATGTGGAGGAGTGGGGCGGTGAGGGGGTTGAAGGAGGTGGTGGGGAGGGAGGTTTGGGGGGTCGTTTGTGAGCAGAGGTGAGTAGTTCATTGTTAAGGAGGTTGATAAGAGCTGATGGGAATGGAGGGTGGGATGTATGTTGCAGGGAAGTTGGTTCAACTCTGCGACGTTGCTCGTCCCTGGTATCACCACCATAGCAAGGCCTATCGCCAACAAACCGCATCGCTTCCTCCGTCTCGTACGTCCCTTACCCCTCCCCTTCCTTATGGCTCACAGACCTGATGATCTGGGGACAGTCAGAAGACAGAAGGACAATAGCATGGGACGACTTTCACGAGCGCATAGGTACACCCACCTTAAACACCCTCACTCGCCGGATCAACGTTGCCGACATATCGACCATCCGGCCCCAAACGTCCGCACCCATCAACTCGCGTTCACCCAATCTAGTGTCCAAATTGTCATTCTCCATCATCGCTGTGCCTTCGTCGTCTTCGCCTTCTGCTGCGGCTTCGTCTGTTACGAGGAATGGCCAGGGAAATGCTGCAGGGGTGGAAGGGGAAGGGAATGGGCAAGGGGGAGAGGTGAGTTTGTTGGACGTCGACGCGATCCATGCGGCGCAGATGGCAGAATGGACGGACGGGATCAGGGTGGTGAAAGATGGGGGGATGGTTGATCAAGATTCGGCCAACTATGTGCAGGTGCGTCTCCCTTTCCCTTCTTTCCCTTTCTATATCAAAGGTTCAGCGAGTCGAGAAGAGAGGAAGGGCTGATGAAGAGGGCAGATATTGACGGAATTGGCGTTGAATGTGAGGTTGTTGGATATCACGGGGGATGGGGCGGAGATACCGGCAAAAGTTTCCATTGGTGTCGGTACGTCTTTCCTTGTCTTTTGACATTTCTGTCTGTATCAGGAGGCGGGCATGCTGACGTGGTACCTAGCGCCGAGGAGTACGGACTTTGTTTTCGCGAAATGAGGAGAAGAATCTGGAGTCCTGTTATGAAAAGAGTTGTATATAAGAAAAGTATGGATGTCTGTAATTGCTTGCTTCGATACATCATGAGCTCGTTCGATCAAACTATCCGACGCTACCCTTGCTGACTATGCAATGCGTGAAGATACATGGAGGGAAGTAATGTTCTTGTGGTAATAGTGCACTACTGAAAGATACGACGAGACAATTTCTGACCGATATATACAATGTCTCGTGATGCATGTTGGTATTCAACGAGCTCCCGTCGCTCGCGATATTTAATTTCTTGATATACGATCTACTGCGCGACATGCCAACCGAGTTTGTCGGCAAACTCCTTGTTCTTGAGAGTCAAAAGTACCTCCGCAACGTCCTTGGAGCCGTTACCGCTCAGATTGCTATACACCCCACGTCAGCCATCACCACGATAAACGCTCGATGACCCTGGCTTACATGACGACATTCCTGTCCTTGGGCAAGCTCGTGGCCAGCGCGAACCCTCCCCAAAGCGCATGCGAGCTCTCCAAAGCCGGGATGATCCCCTCCAGCTGGGTGCACATCTTGAACGCTTTCAGGCACTGCACATCGTCGGCTACGATATACTCGACCCTGCCGGTGTCTTTGAGGTACGCGTGCTGGGGACCGACAGAGTTGTAGTTGAGCCCGGCAGAGATGGAGTGGGTGGGGAAGAGTTGGCCGGGGGATGATTCGATGATGTAGGAGGCGGCGCCGTGGAGGACACCTGAGATGCCGGTGGTGAGGGTTGCAGCGTGGCGGTCGGTGGTGATGCCTGAGAATCATTAGTGCGAAACTGACGGAAAAAGCACATAAGGGGACGCACCATGACCACCGCCCTCGACACCGACCAACTTTACGCTCTCATCCTCGAGGAAATCGTTGAATGCCCCGATTGCATTGGAACCACCACCAACACACGCCACAACAGCATTGATGGTGAAAGAGAGAAGAAGAGAAGAAAAGTGAAAAGTGACAGCAAAAGACGCCCGGGAGGCTGGTGTTTACAGGACGCGTTCCTGGGCGGGGATTCCGGGCGACATCCACACGGGGTAGGACCGTGAAAGTCAGTCAACGACCGAGCATCTATTGAAATGATGAACCCGAGAGTGCCTACGATGAGAACATGCACATAAAACATACTCATGCACTCTAATGACAGAGCAGAGCGCAGTGCAAGGGGCGCCACACATCAAGCAGGGCTGTTCGAGGAGGCAGGAGATGTGTTCGGTTGGCCGAGCCTGCACCACATATAGATCGGTAGTGTATTCGGGTATCAGACACTGGCAAAGTATCTGCGCGTGTAGGTTCGGAGGACGTGGAAGGTCGATAGCACTCGCCTGTGACCTGTGGATTGGCAGTAAGTCATGACGCCACGCAGTGGTGCTAGCGTCATCTCCACTTTCTGAAGCCGCCGCCACCACCTCGCCTGCCTTTGCTGCTGGATATAGTACCGACTGAGGGTTTGGTTCGGCCGCACTCTCGACCGTCTAGGGTTTCGGTTTAGATGGGCTCTCTAGGACACGCTGTTGTCGGATGAAGCCGGAGCCGATGTACGCGTTTGACATGCGCTGAGAGCCGGCGAGGCCGCTCATCTTCTTCATCGGGCAAACTGTCGAGAAACTACCTTAAAGATGACAGCACATTGGATAACATCATCATAGTACCAAGTCAAAACTTCATTGCGAAAGTGAGCTCAGGTGGGTAGGTGTACAGCAATAATCAGGGGTACTTGGTTTGTCGTGCTGCAGCTGAAGCTTGCTTACGTATGGGGCGTGTGTGTGTGGGGGCCGTATGGACAGAAGGACGCGTCGATATTTCTAGTTTATCTTGTGTTTATCTCCTTTTCCAATCTCATCTTTTACCCCTCAGCTGCCTCCGAAAAAGCGCCCCGAGCCTCGCGGCCGCTACCACTATGTCGAACCCACCACCTGTATCCGCCGAGAACCCGTCAATTGGGAACAAACACCCGCTTCCACTCGAGCATGAACGCGACCCAAAGAACAGAAAGATTGAAGTCACGGCCCACGAGAGCTGGAACGACACCAGCAACGAGATCCGGCTTGTCAGTACCGACGGTATCGCCTTCTTTGTACCAAAGTATCTGCTCCAAGCTGGGAGGTGAGCACAGTCGCGTCGTGGCTATGAGCGCGTAGCTGATCTCGGGTGTAGTACTGTATTCCGAGACATGTTCAGCGTCACGCAGGGAGCGCCTGCACAGTCCCATTCCTCATCCACCACTAAAGTCACACATCATCACACTATTGAGATGACTGACGACTACTTTGAGGGATCTGACACTATCCTCTTGTTTCTCGACGCCGTCCGAGGGCTCCCACTCTCCTCCCAAGCTCAAATTCGTTCCAAGCCTGATGGTGAGATCGTCCACGCCCTCGAGTGTTTACTCCAATTCGCCAAAAAGTGGGACAGCGACCTGACCCTTGCGGCGTATGAAATGGTGTTACTGCACGAGGCGACAGATTGTTACTGGAAGGACAGTCAATTGACGCCCATCGACATATTCGCCCTGGCTGCCCTTGGTGGCTTCTCGGACGTGGCTGCAATGGTGGTGCGTCTCTATCGCCCTATCAAGGCAACAGATGGGTCGTGCAGCTACGAAAGGATCGACGGTCGATGGGGCGTACTCGATCCGGAGGATATGTTCTATCCGAGCAACATGTCGAAGGAGGCTTGGCAGACAATCCCGGTTGAATACATGTATGCGCTGGAAATGTCTGAGAAGCTCTTTGAACCCATCAGGTGCAAGATTCTTGCCAGCAAAGGGTGCTCTGATTTATGCTGGAAGGATCCTGGTTGTGCATGTGGTCGACTCAGGGATGAGGAGGGGGAGCTTCGAGCTTTCCTTTTTGAAGACGAGCTACTGGACGTAGATTCGGAGAACCACTCCTTGCCGGCGCCGGCGAAGAAGCTTGCCGCCGGTATATACACATACAGTTGCTGGTGGCCGGTGTTGCGTTGCGAGGTAGCTCAGGAACCAGGGCTGGGCAGTATCCAACCCGCGTCGTGATTTGGTCGTGATTGTTTTTGTTCATTTCGCTATTCAGCTTTGCCAGCTGCCTCCACAAGAACACCGCCCTTACAATGTCCAATACGACACCATCCACCGCCGACGAGACGCCACCATCAGCTGGGGACAAACGCCCACTCGACGACGAGCCCGATCCCCAGAGCAAAAAAATCAAGAGCAAAAAGGCCAAGAGCAAAAAGGTCAAGACCGTGCCGGCTCACCCAGATTGTAACGATACCAGCAACGGTATCCGGCTTGTGAGCAGCGACGATGTAGCGTTCTTTGTTCCGATATATATACTTCAAACTGGGAGGTGAGCACAGTCGCGCGCGTAACTGTAAAGTATTGTCAGGGGGCTACCTTCCTTAGGCTATGCCTTCAGAGGTCGCCGAGGGGTAGAGACGAAATGGTCTGAGAACTCGAAGTGAGTGGCCAGACCAATGCCGAAGGAAGATAGCGTTTGTACGAGTGTGTTGAGCGAGAGAGAAAAGTGTGTACTAGAGAAGACAACAGTAGTGGATCGACGAAGTATCTACAGCTATGGAGACACGTCCTTATATACCCTGGCACCTCAAGTCTGCTTACTCATCGTATCCTCCGTCGAAACCTCTAGAATCAACTACATCGGCCAACCTGGTGGCGAAAGAATGTTCTCGAAAGTGGTGGAATGGGTTTGCTCTCTCTATCTCCGCGTATTTCCATTCTTGTCCGTGAAGGTTTGATCTCGAAGGCGGTGCTGGTATAGCTCGGCCGCGGAGGTAGATGGATGGATGTTATAGTCAGATGGTGGCAAGATGTGGGCTCGACGCGGACGTGGGAGGTGGAGGTTCGGGTGTTTGGCTCGGGTGTTTGGTCAAGTGGCGACAGCCACGTGACAAGTATATGGCTTGTCGCTGACTGTTGGTGTAGCACGGTCTTCCGAGAGATGTTCAGCCTCGTCGTGGTGCAGAATCCTTCCTCTCAAACTCTTTCCCCTCATCCATCAACTACCTCAGCCACCCAAACACACAGTATCGAGATGACCGATACCGAATTCGAAACCTCCGGCACCATCCACATTTTTCTGAACGCCGTCCAAGGTATCTCGCTCCGCTCCTACATTATTAACGACGTACCTATCACCGATCGTGTCCAGGTCATCGAGTCTTTGCTCCGCTTCGCCCAGAAGTGGGAAAGTGGCCCAGCGCTCGCTGCATACGAGAGGGTCTTGATGGATGAAGCGACAAAGTCTTTTTGGAAAGAGAGCTGTCTCGAGCCCCTCGACATTTTTGCCTTGGCGGCTCTTGGTGATCTTACGGATGTGGCGGCGCTGGTCATACGCCACTATCACCCTCTCAGTGAGGAACAGGAAGAGCTTTTCGCCCACCAATTTACCCAGGGTCGATGGGGCATTCTGGACGGGGTGGATTCGTTCCACGCGTCCAACATGCCAAAGAAGGCGTGGTAGACAATTCCGGCCGAGTACATGTTTGCGCTTGAGAGGTGTCAGAAGCTACTTGAACCTCGCAGATGGCGGACCCAAGAAGCTGAGGATAAATGCTCTAGTTCCTGCGAGCATCCTGCCTACTATGGATGTGGCGAGCTTATGGACGAAGGAGAGTTCCGAGCTGCCCTTTTCATATATGTGCTGAAGGAGGAGACAGAAACGGAGCATTGGGAAAACGACCAGATTTGCAGAGATTACAAGCAGGCGATGGAGGAGGTGGAGGAGAGGAGGAGGCGGCTGAATGATGAAGGTTGTGGAAAGAGTCGGCGCAATAGATAGTTCAATGAACCTTTCAAATGTACTTGTAGTATCGTGGCGCGTCAACATGGGAGGGGGTATTCTCTATTTTTGCTGGTTTCTATTATTGGGCTCCAAAGATCTTCGGTAAGATGTATAACGAACGCCTTGCTCAAGTACATTTCTGGACTATGTTCAGAGGGACACGCCTACACACGCCCGGCACGAAAGAACGCATGTGTTCCTTATCTGTCCGATATCACTGTTGGCGAAAAGAGGCTCGGTAAGGCTTTGTGTTGTACGAGTACGAGTACATGGGCTCAGGTGGAGATATGACCATGATACTCGGTGTATGGTCACTCCTTCTACTGTACATCCATGTGGAATCATGATCATACTTGTCGACGATGAACGACTTGCAAGAAGTATTGGGAGGCGGCCAAAGTGGTTGTACTTGTATGATAGACGTGATATGGAGCCAGACTCGTATTCGGGGGAAGCGTACGTTGTAGTCGTCTTGGTATACAACAACACGTAGGGTGTACTTGCACATATGCAGGGTTCTTTCATCTGGCACAATATACTTTGTGTCAACACAACGGCTCCATGGTCAGAGCCGGCCGCCGCAGGAGGTGATCTCATGTTGAGTTTGCATCTCTTTCTTGTTTTGCATCTCTTTCTTGTTTTGCATCTCTTCTTGCTTTTCGCGAAATCCTCTTCTTATGTCGCCATGGATCCCAGACCACTCTGCACACAATCATCTGCCACCCCCGTCCCCGGCAATCACCAGCCCCCTCAAACCACGCCAGCCACATCGCACTCGAGCCCGCACTCGCACCAGACACCCAGGCTGGTGCCATCGTACTTTCACATCGACCAGCGAGTTTTGCCCGGATCGTCCTGGACCAGGCTTCACCATGACAATGTGAGTCTCTACTTGACTTGAAGGGCATTTTTGACAGAGCAGATGCCTGCTCAATCCTCGCACGCCGCCTTCACCACCCAAGCCTCGAATATCCCCGCTCGTATCAGCCAGTCTGGTGTTTCTATGCCCCATCACTCTGGTATTTCTACGCCCCATCACTCCTGTGTTTCTGCGTCCCATCATCAAGCTCAGACCACAATCCCTAACACTACATCTACCTTGATCGATGAGCCCGCTCTCAAACCCCCATACATCGGCGATACTACCGACTCGCGAATTGGCCAGTCCAACCTCCCGCCGCTCGCATATCACAAGTCGCCACCCTTCTCCCCCGCCGCCGCGTCCCATGGGCCAGATCGAACTCATAGCTATCAACCGCCGGCATACCGCTACCGCCCTTACTCTTTGCGCGAGAGGGGGGCGGCGGACAAGGGCAAAGGGCGCGCGGTCGAGAAGAGGTATGGTGTTCACTCGGACGAAGACGAGAGGAAGTCGGAGGAAGAGGATGGTCCGAGATACAACTATGGGTACGGAGGGGCGTCTCAAGGCCGCGCAGTGTCTCCTACAGAAGTTTCGGCTCTGATAGCATCTGCCGCGCTGTCTCATATGCCTATCCACGACCGGGCCCATCGTCCCGCTCACTCGCCCTCCGCCGAAACTCCCACTCTTCCCCCGATAAACACCCTACATCACAACTCTATCCCTAGATGCTCCGATCTACATCGCCCCCAAGACGCTTTGTCTCATGGTTGGCACCACAACTCTTCTCGTGACGAGCCATACGGATCTCATGGACCGCATCAGTCGTATGGCGACGTATACTCGCAGTCATTCTACGGCAACAGCTACCCCTACCAAACCGCAACTGCGTCAAAAACCTCATCAGAGTCCTATCAAGCCGCCTCTCGCCCTTACCATGATACCCAGAACCAATACGACTCGCGACCCACAGCAACCAACTCTCTCCACTTCAAAACCATCCAAGCCTATCAAACAGTCTTCAGCGCCCTCGTGCAAGAGTGCCATTACACCGTGCAAACTTTGCACTACACGCCGTTCCAGGCATATATGGCGCGAGCGTGGGATCAGTACGAGGCTCGTGGGAGGGAGGATACTGGGCTTTTGGTGGATCAGTTTGAGAAGGCTGTGAGGGGCGAAGCGGCGGAGCGGGCAAAGCATCAACTTCAACCGGCCGGAATGGGGTATGAAGGGGATCCGTGGTGTCGAGGCTACCCGGTTCGAGCGGATATTTCTGGACGGGAGACTGCCTATGGACCGAGCTATACCGACTATCAACGTTCTTCTACCACTTCCAGCAGAGACGACCCCATCACTCTCCTCCGACAAACCTATCGACCCAATCTCAATCGCAGCCAAACTTTGGACGACAACCCCACCCCTCGGCGTAAATCACCCACACCACCGAGATCACGCTACAGCAACTTGGGACCACACCCTCTCGAAGCCGAAGAAGATGAGCAGGAGCAGACGGGAAGCAAGGATACAGCAACTAATCGGCGCCTCAAGAGTCTTGGGAGGAGTAAAGGGCGGACAGCCTCGCTTGGACTTATGAGTACTTCTCTTGCCCCTGCCCCACTACCTCTTATCACCGCTCCAAAACGACGTCGAGCTTCCCTACCCCACCCTTCCACCTCTGCCCGATACCCGATCAAGCTCCTGGCCAGCCAATACCCCTTTCGCGACCGCTTCAACTTGGCTTTGAAAAAACTTTATGCTGATGGCGACTCCACGCCTGTGTACTTGGGAGGCGTGAGGGTAAAGACGCTGGAGGATGCGTTGGGGAGAGGACGTGGGGCGGTGGGAAGGTGGAGGGTAGGAGAAGTGGAGAGGATTGCGAGGATGGCGGGAACCATGTTGCTGGACGAAGACCGGGCCAAGGACGCCGAAGCAGACGACACCTTCAAAACCGCAGACGACCAGCTCGAATCGAAGAATGCGAGGGAGAAGCGCAAGAATGCTTTCCGCTGGTTCAGAAAGAGCCTCATTTCAGTCTACGTCGCGAATGGAGGCAAGGAGGCGTTTGACCGATGGGATAGGCAGGTGCAGGGGGTGACTGGGAGGGAGAAGGCGGTGGGGGAGAAGTGGGAGGCGTTTACGGCGGAGGTTGAAGAGATATGGGGGAGGGTGACGAGGGAGCTTGCGCAGAGGAAACGAGATTGAAGTTTTACACTACGTTGTTTGGTATCTTGTTTGTGGGTATGCAAGAACACGGTATGCAGCACGCTACATGGGATAAGCAAAGCAAGATATGGCAGATACATCCTGACAAAGATCACAAATCTATAACTGAAGACATCTACTAATAGTACACAGAAACCCTCTCAGATTGTTCGCCCTGCGCGAATCCACTCAAGCAATCTTCTTCCCATCCCCGCTCCTATACAGCTTGTGATCAATGATATACTGAATCACGCTGTTCGGTAACAGATACTTTATACTCATGCCCCGTCTGACAAACAGCCGGACTTTTGTCGACGAGATGTCATTGTAGATGAGCTGTTTGATGACGACGACGTTGCGCCGGTGATGGTAGAGGATATCGTGCGAGAGGAGGAATGCCCAGACGTCGGAGCCTGCGCGTTCGACGATGAGACATCCGAACCGGCCCAAGATCTCGTGTAACTATAAGAAGCATTAGTATACACGAGGAATAGGGAAAGGAGGGGGGTTGACGTACATCAGGTTCACTCCATACCCCCGGTTCCCCAAAACTCTCTATCAGATCACCCCCAGCCAACAACATGATCTTATACCTCCTCCTCTTTCCATCCTTCATCACCACCCCTCCCCCTCCATTCTCGCCAGCTTGCTCCCCTTCTTCAGGCCCGCCGTTGAGGAGCCGGTCAAAGTGGTCGAGCACGACGGCTGTGCGCTGGTATTCGGGCTGGCCGGCTTCCCAGGGGTCGACCATGAGCCAGGTGGAGGTGTGTTCGACGGCGAGCTCGCACATGCGGACTCTGTGGGGGGCGGGGGCGAGGCCGGATTTTTTGTAGTACGATGAGCTGGAAACAAGGTCAGCGGTCCTTCTTGATCGGGCTTCGGAAAAAGCTGCAAAAAAAGCCTGGAGCATGGGAGAAGGGGGGACGTACACGGGAGAGTAGTAGCCCGCCATGATCTCGTACGTCTGACTCTCCACAATCTCGTCCTTGGCCATTTCAAACATTCGCAGGTGGAGGTAGGTGGGTGGGGAGAAGGAGCCACAAGCGACGATCACCACGGGTATTTTGCTTTCGTCTAAACCCCAAAAGTCAGCCTGCTTATCACGAGGAGGGATTGGGGAAGAGGGTGTGATAGGGGAATGTGACAAGAAGACGTACCGTGCATCTTGGTCCTCAGCCGATGTCTCGGGAACGAATAAGGCGCCTTGCCGGCCAGATACGCCCCACTCCCACCACCCTCCGCTTGCGGCGCACTCAGATCCAGATCAGCCTCCCCATCATTCCGCCCTTCCAGCGCGTCGTATCCTGTTTCTGCCTTTCTTGACCTCTCGCTCTTTCTCGCTGCCACCCTAGGCGCCAGTCCGGGTCCGGCGCCAGCATCGGCGCCGAGAGGCTCGTTCAGGGATACAACCCCGCCAGGAGCTGGGCCTGCTTCAGAAGCAGCATCGGGTGGAGGCGGGGTCCCGTCCATATCCATCTCCCGCATATCCCTCCTCAGCTCTCCCAAACCAGCTTCCGCATCGCTCAGCGGCGGCGAATCCAGCAACTCTGCCAGCCGGGGCTGTCCCACATATCTCGTGCCCTCCAACGTCGGGCTGAGCCGGCGGCTGGCCTGGGGCTCTTGTGATTCTTCTGCGGTGGCGGCGGTGGCGGTGGATGGATGGGAGTGGGAGGTGGCGGTGAGAGGGGTGGTTGTGGGGTTTGCGCCGGTGGGAGAGGGAGGGTTGCCAAAGAGATAGCCAGAGACCAGACGACGGGAACGGGATTGTGAAAACTCGTCGTCCTTATCCACCGAGGTTGGTGGGAAGTCGCTCGGGACGGGGGGAGAGGGGGAAGACTGGATGCTTTTGAGAGTCGATATGGCTTTGCTCTCTGGGACTTCGGTGGGGTGCTCTGGGATTGCTTCCGCTTGAGAGGAAGTACGTCCGAGAGTAGGCATGCGGGAGACAGACCCCTGCCTGGGGCCAGCACCGGGGTGGCCGTTGGTGGTTTCGAGATTCAACACAGGCGGTTCCCCGGCCTCGGACGTGGCGGCGCCAGCGAATGGTGGGCTGTTCCGAGTCAGCTCCAGCAGCCCACCCAGTCAGCGAGCGGCACTTACGAATCATTGTGAAAAGAGTGGAGGCCGAGGCCTGGGAGGACTGGGGCAGGAGACTTGAAGCCGTTACCCGACATTCTGCGCTGGGGTAGAAAGTGAGTGAGGATGCGAATGAAAGAGGAGATGAGCGCACGCCTTGTGAGACGACCACCATTTCTGCTTCCGTCGAGTGGCTGTCTATGGGGAAATGAAAAGAGGGGAATAGGGATGTTTATGTACGATCAGAATGCATACATATACCCCGCCGACTGTCCCCTGTCCCCCCTGTTTATTGGTCGCACGAGCAGCATCCACAGCGTTCCGGTCCGGTTAGCAGAGCACCTCTTGCGCCATCGGAGATATCTCTTGAACTGTCGGACTTGGCCACCAGCTGCCTTGTTGGCTCGTAATCATTCCGCACTGGATTCTCCGATGGCCTGGCAGGAGCCTATACCTGGGCGCCACTGGCAACTGCTGTTTTCGTAGAATAACATGCACGGGTTGGAAAGATGGACAGATGGAAAGAGTCGGCAGCGCTTAACCGGTGTCTCACCTGCTGAATGTCGCCGGCCGACGCAAGTTTATAGGCTATCGTGTGCTTGTCTAACCGTATGATTTGTTTGTTTGCGCAACTCAGCAACATAAAGATTCATGGAAGGGTCAGTAAACGAGCATGGCACGAGAGCACCTTTACGTCGTTGAAGTATGAACATAAGTGAGAAGAGCGAAAAAGAACCAAACCAAACGTTTACGGCATCCCCATCCGAGTGGAAGAGTTGAATCTCCCACCCACGCATCCCCGCCTCACGCCCCGCCAATCCCAACATTTTCCCCCACCACATCCTTCTTCCCCTCCTGCACCTCCCCAAACCTCGACCTCTTCTCCTCCTCCCCACCACCACCACCAGCTGCCTCCTTCATCCTCTCCACCCTTTCCTGATGCAACCACGTCTCAGGACTGGTGACCAGCCAGCTGATGAACCCGAAGATGGTGACGGCGCCCCAGATGACGATGGAGTAGTTGAAGATGGAGGCGGAGGTGGGCAAGTAGAATGGGGAGATGAGTACCTATAACGAGCAAAAGTCAGGCTTTGGAGAGGGTCCGGAGCAAAGGGGGGGGGGGGGTGAGGGGGGACGTACAGCAAAGAGGACAAGGTTCCAGACAATAGTGATGACATAGAAAGGCTTCGCAAGCCCACCAAGCCCCATTTTCGAGTTCTTGAACCCATCGGGCGTGACGAACAATCGACAAAAGGCAATAAGCACATACGCCGAGATCGTCGCTTTTCCAACCCCCTATCAGCACACTTTCCAATCAAAGAGAGAAGAGATGGAAAAGGGAGGACTCACGGGTAGCAGCAGCACTGATCAAACTCGTAAACGCCGCCCCACTCGGCAAGATCGTGCAAAGCAACAAGCCAGCAAAGAGCGCGATGACCGTCACAGCATTCTTTGGCCTTCCGTCTTCTGTCACCCTTCCAACCCAGCTCGAGAAGGGCAGTACCCCATCTCGAGCGACGGCAAAGACAAGCCTAGAGGAAGCGACGATCGTAATCGAACAGTTGAGCATAAGCCCAAGCGTCGCCAAGCTCGTCATAAACACCGCCCCACCCCGCCCCAACGCCAAATCATAAACCTGCACAAACGGCTGCTGCGCCCCGAACGCCGTGTAAACGTCCAGGGGAGGGAGGCAGAAGAGGAAGAGGATGGAGAGGATGAATTGGGAGAAGCCAGAGGCGAGGGCGGAGAGGAGGATGCCCCGGGCGGAGCGGGTGGAGGCGTTGTGGGTCTCTTCGGAGATGTGGCCGGCGGCGTCAAAGCCGATGACGGAGGCGGAGCCGAATATGCTATGGAGGGATTAGGTGTGGCTGGGAGGGGTGGGGAGGGACGTACAAGCCGAGCATGTAGTTCCAGCCTTGGGGCGCTCCGGTACCATTATCTACGCGCCCCTGTCAGCCTTCTTATCATCATCCTTCGGCACCAAGAGACGCACTGTAAGCCAAAAACACCTCTCGGGCGGATCGGAACCCATAAGAGTTATGCACCCCAATCTACAAACCCCACATCAGCCCCCTTCCAACCAACCACAAACTCTGAACAGAAATGAGATGAGAAAGGAAACGTACAGGCAACCAGATCAAATTAAGAAGCGCATCCACCATCATCAACCCCATACTCCCCCTAAACACCCACTTGTACAACCTCTGCGGCAGGTAATTCATCGCCACGCAACAGACCAAGATGCCTTCTGCCAGAGCCCATTGGACGGCGCGGAATTTGACGTTATCCGTGGTGAGGGTTCCTTCTGGAAAAGTGGACGTGAGGGAAGAGGAGTAGAGGGTGAAGAGGGAGAGAAGAAAGTTGGCAGTAGTTTGGCAGACGGATGCTACGAATGTCATCCAGGCTGTGCAAGCCCACCAGGCTACGATGTAACCGACCACTAAGAACCACCATCAGCATTCGTTCTAGGAGCGAAGATGATATGGGACGTACAGCGAGCATATTTCTTGCCGGCAGATTCGCTCGCCCAGATGTAGATCGAACCTGAAAGAGGCAAGGCGGACTAACAACGCCAAGTCAGCCTTCCATTCTTTTCACGGACGCAAGATGCGATGGGATGAAGTAGAGATAGGGGACGTACGCAGATTTCGGCCAGGACAGCGGCGGTGATGACCATCAACACCCAAGCGACGAGGGTGGTCGTCCTACCGAGATAGGCGTGGTTAGATCACGAGCTTTTTTACATACCTGTAATAGTGGGAGAGAAAAGACGATGAAGAGGGTGGAAGGCAGAAAAAATGAAGTGAAAAGGTGAGGGGTTGGGGATGGACGTTGGACGTCTCAAACTTTTCGAATGACTGTGGGTTTTGGGATGGTGGAGAAGGTATCGAAGATATTTTTTCCACTACCACCCCCCCCCCAGCAGATTTCCACGCTCTTCCGAATGATAACAACCGCTCCGCAAAAAATCGCCCGGTCTTCAGATCCAAAACCCATCTCCCCCACCGCGCAAGGCCGGCCCGAGCCCATCTCCCCCTCCTCATCGAAGGGCACACCCACGCAACCAGCCCCCCATCACACACCAAACAAGAAACATGAAAAGAAAATAAGAAAAACGAGAAAAGAAAAAAGAAACAAGCCAAACTGGTATTCCCTTCGCGAGCATTGCCCCGAGCAGGTTCAAACGGTATGATCTCAGCAACCCCTCCCGCCTCTTCCATCTCTCAATCTCCACACCTCCGTCTTTTCTTGACGCTCCCACTTCCCTGGGTCACTTTTCAAAAAAAAAGCAAAAGCTCTGAGCTTTCCCGCTGAACCAAAAGCGGGCAAGCAAGCAGAGCGGGCTTTTTTGAAAGAGTGACCTTGACCAGGGAAGGGTGGGGCCAAAGAACGGAAGGGGAGAGAGTGATAGAAGAGGTTGGGGGAGAGGAAGCACCCGTACCCAGTATTCAGTACATGTTGTGAGAGTGCTCACCACGTTTTTTCATGAATTTGGGTGTTTTTGAACCGAGACTCTTGACCATATAGGTATGGGATGGCGGGATGCTCGACGAGTGTTTGAGGGAATGTCCAGGTGGGTTTCTTTTTCTTGACGTGTTGATCTTTTGTCTTTTCGGTTGTTCTTTGTGCTGGTGGCGGTGGGTGGTGTGTTGCTTGAGGTCCGGATTCCAGTGAAGAAGAGTGATAAAATTGGGAAGGCCGACAGCGCCGATTGCGGCTAGCCGCCAGGTCGAAAACAGTCGAATTCCAGATCATGTTGTCAAGGATAGCGATTTACCAAACAGCAACAGGTCCACCACCTTCGATACCGAGAAAGATGAGAGATCGAGAGCAGGCGAGGAAATCCCTGCACCCAAAGTCAGCCTTGTCCACCCGCCACAATCAGTAGAGAAACTTGCATGGCACAGAAGGCGGCAGCGAATGATTCGAGTTGACCCCATCGTCTTGCGAGAGAAGCCTTGTACCCCATTTTTGCCTGAGAAATCATCAGAAAAGGGGGCAGTGTTCGTGGGAAATACTCACGAGAGCAGCGTCGTCCTCGCCCATGGTCGAGTTGGCGGACGATGCGATCCTGGGGTCTTTGACAGAAAGTGCGTCGTGGTCTTGAGAGCTCATCTTGCAGCGTTGAGGATGATTGTTGAGGAAAGAGAAAAGATGGAAAGAAAAGAGAAATGTAATTCTGGCTCTCTCTCCGTCTTCCGCTCGGAGCTCCGTTTGTGAGACAGCGCATCTCGTCCGGTGCCTGGCTGCCTCCACCTTGTTGCGCTGGCGTGCGCTACTCTCCTCTATCATTCACATCCCTCTAGAAACAGCCATATACTATGGCCCTCACACAGCAGCAGCAGGACGCACTCGACCACGTCCTCGCCGTCACAGCCTCGGCCACCGACGGGTCCAGACAGCGGGACGAGCAGCTCCTCAGGGAGAACGGCTGGAACGTACAAGTCAGTCCCTCCGTCTCGCCACTTTCCCCCTCGCTGACCTTCATACAGGCTACTATCGAGCAGATATTCAACCTCACCGACCAACCCGACTCCACTCCCTCCTCTGCTGGGCCTTCACGCCCCACAAACCGAAGCACCAGCGCCGCTCCTAACCAGCCTCATGCCCCCCAAAGCTCTCGCCGTTTATCTGGTACCCCAACCCGTCCTCGTACCCCCGGAACATCAGGCGTCGGCCTCGGGGTCTGGGATAAAGTCTTCCTACCCTTTACATTCATGTTCTCGCTGTTGACTAGTGCTTGGTACTTTATGAGTAAGCCCTCGGCCATCGCTCACACGACCACTAACGCTAACCCGATCCCAGTCCGCACTTTCCTCCCCTTATCTTTCCTCCCTTACCTGCCTTACTTTCTCCGTCCCCCATCGTCTACTCAGCGGATCCCCCGCCCAGCCCAAGATCCCACCGCCACCTCTCTCGCATTCGTGCGCGACCTCGAAACGCTCACCTCGGCCTCTACCGCCCTCGGTACCCTCCCCGAGCTCTACATCGGGCCGTATAGAGAGTTTCTGACGCATGTTAGGAAAGAAGCGGTGGTGGGGATGGTGGTGCTGGTGAGTAGTGAGCATGAGGATGATGAAGCGTTCAAGAGAGGGACGTTGGCGGATAAAGATGTGGTCAAGGTGCTGAGGGATGAGAATGTGGCTGTTTGGGCCGCTGATATCTCGAGCCGCGAAGGTTTCCAGGGTACGTCCTTCCATCCTTGTATGTGGGTCGAAAGTTGATGACAGCAGTCTCACAAACGCTCTTGACTACATCCTACCCCTCCATCATATTCCTCTCCCTAACCCCCTCCCCCTCCTCTCCCAAACTCCAAATCCTCTCCACTCTCGCCGGCTCACCGTCCAGCACAACCTCCCCAACCTCCGTCCTCCACACCCTCACAACCTCCATCCTCCCCCGCTCCAAACCATTTTTGAACCGCTTGAAAGCGGAGAAATTCAGTCTGGCCGAAGCCCGGCATTTGCGGGCTGCGCAAGACAAGGCGCTGAGGGAGGCGGAGGGGAGGGATAGGGAGAGGATGAGGGTGGAAAAGCAGAAAGCCGAAGCTGAACGACTGCGAGCTGAGAGGGAGGAGAGGGAGAAGGCTGAGAAAGCCGAGTTTGTGCAAGGCCGGCAGGCATGGAGGCGGTACGCTCGCAAACACCTCCTCGAACCTTCCTCCGGCCCTATCAGAGTCGCCCTCCGTACACCATTCACCTCCGAACGCCACATCCGCCAATTCACCCCCTCCCCCTCCACTCTCCCGCTCTTCACATTTGCCTCCACCCTCCTCATTCCCGCTTCTCACCCCACTTCAGAAGACCCCGACTCATTCCCCTCTTCCCCTGCCTCGATCGACCCGACGTCTGAAGGGCATGAAAAGGGCGAAGAAGGGGAAGAAGGTGATTGGGAGTTCAACCTCATCACTTCTTACCCTAGACACGTTATCAAACCTGTTCGGGCAGGAGGGGAGGAGGTTTGGGACTTGATCAAGAAGAGTGGGGGGGTGTTGTTTTTGGAGAAGAAGGATGGGAGAGAATGGAATGTGGAACAGATGGGAGATGAGGAGGAGGAGGATGAAGAGATTGTCAGTGATGACGAGTGATCTGTATATGGGGTAAGATGTGAGATATGGGAGTTGTATGTAACGAAAATGCATATAGGAATGACATGTTCTTCTGTAGCGCTACTATAAGCGGGAACTCGTATGGACAGGACACGATATAAATCAACCTTCTCTTAAACGTCGTTCTCTATGGCTTCGAATCATCTTCCTTCAGGTGCAACTCAGACAACATGGTGGACGGGCCCCCGTCTTCTCCGTCCTCTTTCTCTTCTTCATCACCATCTTTGATCGCTCGGCTTCGCGGAGATGGGGGGTCCTCGACAGCTTGAGCAGTGTTGTGCGAGACGAACGGATTCTCGATAAAAGTCGGCGGCGCTGACGAAGTGGGCTCTTCACCCATCTCACTATCCTCCGTCCCTTCCATCCCTTTCTCCTGCCCGCCAATGAGCGCACCAACATCCCCAACATTCCCGCCACTGAAGGGGGATTTGGCAGCAGGGTTGAGCGGAGGCAGCTCGCTCGTCGTCATCGACGGTCGGGGAGGAATAGCCGCTCCAAAGTCCATACTCGTCATCCTCACCCCTGGCGAGCTCCCCATCCCCACCCCCGTCCCCGTCCCCATGCCCCTGCTCATCCCCATCCTTCTCCTCCTTCCCCCACTCCCCGACGGTCCCCACCCAGACCCAGGCGACCCAGAACTCTTGATCGGCGAAACTTCATCCCTCAACCCCTTCGCCTCTTCCAAACAATAACCTTGATCCAGGCCTTGGCGCCGGACGAGGGAACCGGGGGTGGTGGGAGAGTTGGAGTGGGAGTGGGAGAGGGAGGGGGTGGAGGGGGTGTTTGGTGTTTGGGGAGCTTTGGAGTGGGTGAATCGGGAGGGGGTAGAGGTGGACGGGAAGGTGCTGGTGAATGGCGTCGAGGGCTGGCTGTATGGATGGTATCGTGCATTTGTGCCCTCCCCAGCGCGGTGGGGGGGTACATCGAGATGCGTTTGCTGACGGGGGCTCGTACGCGTGACGGTAGCAAGGGGTGAATCCTCTCCACCCTCGAGGGCAGACACAGAGCCGAGCTGGAGTTGAAGACCTTGGGCATGTTCGGCCAGTCTGGGTGAAGAGCGCGGGGGTCTGGGGTAGCGGGTGATATCGTTGGAACGCGGTCTGCCTCTGCCTCTCTTGCCTCTACCTCGAGATGAGCGGTCGGGGCCAACGCTCGACTCTGTCTGCTTCTTCGCTCTTGACACTCTTCTCGCCCTGCCCGCCGACATCAGGAGAAGCGCCAGGCAAAGCAGTAGCGGGGGTGCTGGGTGTAATTGGGTATTGCTCTTCGGGAGTGGTAGTACGTGGCGTACCGGGGCTTGGGTCGGAGAAGCCAAAGTATGGAACAATCTCGAAGAGGCTGGTACCGAATTTGCTTAGCAATGGCGGACTGTTGGCTTGTGGAGCATCTCGTCCATAATAAAGGTGATAGCAAAATGGTTCCACGCTGAAAGTCTTTGTTAGCTTTGCGCTGGAGCTGGCTGCGGGAAGAGCGTACGGTTTAAGATCTTCGAGCATTCCCCTCTGCTCCGCCACATCATGAGCCAGGAGCTCCAGCTCGTGGATCATGTCACAGAGAAGAGCACCATTCCACGCTTTGACTTGTCGGTGGTACTCTAGGACGGCCGTCACGCTTTCGGCCTCGGGCTTGCCCGTCTCGGGGTCCATCACTATCACTGGCTTCTCCATTATCCCTGTCGGCGTCCGTCTCACATTGTATACTCTGACCTTGGCCCAATGGATCAATATCGAACGATCCATTCGACCAGAAAAGACATTGTCGAGATAGGTGTCAACGACTTGCCGGGCGGAGAGGGACTGGAGGAATTGCGGACGGAGGAGGAAGGGATCGTAGTAGGGGCGCGGGCCAGACTGATCAACGATGGCACGGGACAGCATGGGCGAAGGCTTTCAATGTGAGCTGGAGAAGGGGCAGCGAAGGGATGAAGAGACAAGGACAAGAGCAAGATGAGAAACAATCCCCTTGTCGTCGAGTGGCGCGGGTCGTGACGTGTTTTTTTTTTGCATTCACGTGTCAATCAACATCAGCCAAGTCTTTCGTTCGTGTTTACTTCTCACCCAAAAGACCCGACGACGCGCCAAGTCCACAGCATCTCACATATCCAGCCTGCCCAAGGACATAGCGGCGCATATCACCAACTTCATATGGCCGGATCTGAAGGCTCTTCGCATCCTGTCCAGCTTGAGCCCGGCCTTCTACACCGAGGTTCTTCCAAGAATCTACCCCGTCTCCCGGGTACGACTGACCCCCCTCAGCATACACCGCGACCTTGAAGGGTTTGATACCCCCTACCAAGATGTACCCTCAAGCCTGAGGAGCTGGCACTTGGTCAAGGATGATGCGAGTAGTTTCGATGACCAGGAGGCTGCCTACTGGAATACCAAGTACTTCAGTACAGCCCTGGTTGAACATCTAGTCATCGAAGGCCAAAATGCTATGGTGGAGCTGGGGACGGTGCTTGGGGGAAATCTTTGAGCGAGAAAGATCAGGGCCCTCGCCATAGGCCATGAGGAGAGATCGCCCAATGGTCGCATCTCTACAGACGCTCGTGCTCGAGTGCGACGACCTCACAATCCCGCCCTCCGATGATCTCCTCTACCTCCTCGAAACCGGTCTTCCTGACCACCTTGTCGAAATCAGCCTGGCCCTACCGCTCGTGTCTGTTCCGCCCCACAATACCACCCTTGCACACAACATTATGCAGGTGGTGATGGGAGCCATCTCGCACATCGACAAGGTCATCTTGCGCAACGTTCATCTCAATTCTCGCATTTGTCTACCCACCAAATGCAATGTCTTGATCATCCACGTTCGCGAAGATTGCCCTTGGGACAATATGGCCGATGATGACGCCATGTCCATGATCGAACGCGAGATCGGGGATGCGTAAGTGTCATATTCGTGTCTCAACGAAGAGCTATGTCTGACATGTATTAGGAACGACAGTCTCAAGGACACGGTCATCCACTTCGTCGAATTCGGCGCTACATTCGACACTGGGGGCCGCGCCAGGCAGTCGAGTTGGAAACGGCGTTTGGGCAAGTTGTCACGACCGCGCCCCAGCTTCCACGTCATCACACGCTCTATTACGTAAATACCTATTGAGCTGGACGCGTCGCGACACTCATCACTCAACACTCGTCATTACTTCCTCGTTTGAGACACCCCTCTTGTTTATTCCGGTACATCACAAACATCATATCGTACCAGGAGCTACGCATATCTAGGGACATTGCTATCACCCCACTTACACAGCAATACATCTCTAAGACAGCAACTCATGAGAAAGCGCAGCAAGCCAAGAGAACGGCTTAGTCAGTTGGGTAGCGAATATGGGAAAGTTGAGTAAGCCAGTAGGGCTCTGGATGTCTATATAAGTAGATAGTTTTACATAGATTCGAGGATCTCAGCGACCTCGAATACGTCTGACTTGCCTATGAACTAGGAATCGCAAGCGAACAGGCCTATTCAAACTATACTATCTAAGCCGACAAGAAGTCTTCAGTCTTAGGTTAGTGCAAGTCCCTATCAAGTCCAGGATAGCCTTGCTAATTGGTCCCGACACGTACGCGTATACTGTTAATTGGAATTAACATATACATAGATAGCCCTTCCCCCTTGTTTGAGACAAGAGATACTTTATACTGCTGAGCAGCTATAAGGGACACTGTGAGTAGGACCTGACACAAGTGTGGCTTTCGAGGCACTGTATACCTCAACGAGAAAGAGTGTCAGTTGGTTTTTCTTTGTTCTCGACCTTGATGAAGATGACATTGCTGACGCTGTATCGCAGTTGATCCGACGTAGACTCTATATGGGGCCCCAAGTACCGCCCGCGCATATAATATCATGTATCACTGCAGCAACACTAATCAACACTACACAATACTACACACCGCCGTTTCACAATTGAGGTCTCTCTCTCTAACAGCTCGTGTTCGGATTGGAATCTCTCATCAGATCTTTCCGTCGATGGGCGGCTGGAGCTGAAATGAGGCTGGGGAGGACTCGGTGACCATCTCGAAGGCTGTAGGTATATCAGGGAAGCGCAAAAGCGGAGTGAACATTAAGTGTCGCAGAGCACTCACTCCCTCGCCGGCTAGGCCCTTCTTCTCCTCCTTCCCCTGCCTTGTCTCCTCCCATGCTACATGCCACCTCAAATTGACTACCGGTATGGGTATATGCTTGATAGTGACTTTGGCAGCGCTCAAGTAAAGACCCTCGTCTCGAGGTGAAAGGCTGACGTGGCTGGACTGGGAATGAGGGAGACTCTTCCTACGGAGATGTTAGCCGATATCATGTCACAGGGAGCCCACAGGCGAGCCATCGTACCTCATCAAGCGACGGAGAGTCCCGGTGAATGTTCTAGAAGAGTAGGGTAGCGTGCTGTTGGCTGCGAGGAGGATATGTGCCGGGAAGGATACGACGATGAGAGACGAAGGGATGGGAGTGATTTGTACTGCGTTCGGCGGTGGACGGCAGCCCGTAGCAGGGAGTCTACACGGAGCATCAGCGTGATCCTTGTATCGCTACCAGTACTGGGATACTCACCTCGCTTCCAGCCTCAAGTACCACTTGTAGCCCTCTCCTTCTCGAAACCCACCCTGCTATCTGATGCCTCTTGCCCCCTTGCTCGGCTCGTTGGTACTGCCCGCCGCACGATACACCTGATAATTGCATCCCATCCTCGGGCGGCATTGACACCCGCTTACCGGTCACTGTGCCATCGTCCCGGAAGCTCCGGCGAGAGAAAAGTCGCTCGATAAGGGGCAAGTCTAAACAGAACTCTCTTCAGCACGCCAAGGGCACTACCCAAGCGTGACAAGCTGTTGCATCGACAGAACAATGGCATACCTATTCGGCTCTACTGCTCTCCCGCCACCTCCGGCACCCCAAATTCGTCCCTTAAGGCTCCGCTGGTGCGTCCGGCGAATGAAGTTGAGTGTTACCCTGCCGATGAGGGGTGTTTGGGCAGGCTCAAAGTGTGTGAGGGCGGAGCCTGGAAGGGTGGATTTTGTGGTGCCGGAGGTGGCGGGAGAGCGGTAGAGTCGAATGGGTGTGCCATTGTTCTGTCGATGCAACAATTTGTCACGCTTGGGGAGTGCTCTTGGCGAGCTGAAGAGAGTTTTGCTGTAAGGGGCAAACACCTTTTCGTTATTGTCGCATATGAAGAAGAACTATGAAAGAAGACTCTGATCTATATATACGGAGAGCACGGTCCCCTATACACACAATTAGACTACTTCGTTGAAAGAACGAACTACACAGATGACTCCTATAACCATGACACAAGTCTACATTCCTATCGCAGAGGGGTCCAGGGTTTTTATCCTTTCTCCTGTCACCGGTAGACCTGAGAGTTGGATAAGCCTCCTCGAGGAGTATGTTTGTGATGATCAGTCCGGTTCTGACATCTTTGTTGTTGTCGTTCAGTGAGCTTTGTGCTTTGTTGATGTTCTGGTGGTGTTGGCTTGGGGAAGTGGGAAACGGGCCAGTCAGCGCCACGGTTGTACCGATATAGACGGATAAAAGAACCATGAACAAGCGTGATTGCAAAAGGCGACGTGTCATTGCCGACTGCTATCACGACGCTCGATTTGCTTTCAAGATCACTATCTTCTGACGGTTACGTGCTCGGTGAGGTCAAAATATGTCCGACAGTAGAGAGTATGTATGAGTCAAGACATTTGAGACAATTTTGGAAAGGAAACAGCTGGTCAGATCTCTATCGAACTGCGTTTAGACCTCGGCGCTTATGACTTGAGCTGGCCCGGCTGATACTGCTCATCTATGGGATACATCGAAGATAAGCAAACAACCCCGAAAAACCTGACCGAAGAAGTGCGAAAATAAAAGTTCCAATACTAGCAGATGAAGGAAAGCCAAGCCGAATATAAACCATCCAAAATAGAACAAAAACCCCGGACGCAAGCAAAAGCAAAAAGCCAGAAAAGACACTATCAAAACAACCCTTCTTCCTTCCAAACGCTCTCAGAACCTAGACTGCCACTCCCCACATAGCTGGATGATATTCTGCACCTCGGGTACGCAGTAGTCGGCTTCGAGCAATGACCGTGTCGTCCAAGCTCTTTGCGAACGCATGATACTCGACTATACGTTTTTATCAGCCACAACCCTCCCGACTCTAAAGCAAAGAAAGACTCACCTGCTGGGCACTGTAATCCCTCACATCCCTATCCAAACTCCCCTTCTCCCCTACCCCAAGTATCCCATCCATAAGAACCTCCAAACTCTCCGCCGGTCCCTCGAGCCTCTCCACAGCGAGCATCGCTTCCCTCTCCTTCTTCGTCCCCCTCCGCCCTGGATCCCTCCTCGACCCCCCCGCGCCCACGCCCGCGCCCGAGCTAGAAGAAGAGCCGTTGGCGACATGGTTGGTAATATTGTCCTGCATCTTGCGGATAATCTTCTTCATCTCCTCCGTGACCCTCTCTGCCTGCCCGAAATTCTTTCTCGACGCCAGCAGCACCGCGCGCGTGATCATATCCCCCGCCAACAGCTCCAACCGCCTCGCCACGATCGCGGGGTCGGAAGGATAGTCGCGCGGCGAGATGGCGATCGTCAACAACTGCGGGTGCGCCAGCCTCGCGACAGAGCGGGAGACGGACGGGTCGCGATAAGCGAGGTCGACCTCGCACACCGGTACTTCGTCCACCGCATCTTCGTACGCATTGTCGGCGACGCTGAGGAGGTCCATACCGAGGTTGGATGACGGCGCCCGGCGGAGAGAAGCGTTGCGGTCCCATGACTCTGAAGAGCTGCCGCCAGAATATCGACTCTCGGGGTTGTCGAGTTCGAGCTCGATCAAGACTTCTCGCTTCTGGCCGTAATGCAGTTCCTGCAACTCCACATCCAGCTCCTTCCCCGCGCCCACCACCACCGTCCCCACCGGCCCCGTGACTTTGACGACCCTAAAGTCATTGTCGACACACGAAACGTGGAGCTTGACATTATCCATCACCACACTCATCATCCCGCCCACCACCCCCGCCAACGTCTCTCTGAGGTGGTACCACTCCTTGACAAACGTATAGTCGCCGTGGGTATGCGACGTCACGATCCACAGCGGCGACGGGTCGTGCGCCCTGCCGTAGCCTATAGCATGCACGGGGATGTGCGCGGCGTCGAGACGGGCAGTGACGAGGTCCATCTGGGTTTTCCGCAGACCGTCGGCCGTTTCGCTGATGACCACCATACCCGACAGCGGGTTCTTGGCTTTGCGCTGGAGCACGACGTCGAGGGCGGCGTTGATCGCCGTCACCACGTCCAACCTTTCATCTCTCCCTACAGGCACTTCAAACTCGTCCCCTCCTTCTTCATATTCTTCAGGACGCCCCTGGCCGAGGGTTTCGATAAACGCTTCGAGCCTCTGCCTCGAGTGCGGGAGGTACGGCGATAAGAAGGGTGTCTTGCGTAACGTCCCGTTCGAGCCCATCTCGCACGACACGAGGGAAACTCGGTCGTTCACCCCGAGCAGCGCGAGGGTAAACTCCAAGCTCTGCCTGACGAGCTTCACTTTCAGCGGGAGACTCTGCCCGGGCGCGAACGCTGACAGCGAAACAACAAGTACAAGGTCCAGCGGCGTATGCACCGGTGCGAGCGGGGTGGTATACGCCAAGTCGCTCGTCGACCCTTGCGTAGAAGAGAAAGAAGGAGGAAGCTCCTGGACCGTCGATGTCGAGGGCGATGACATTGAGAAAGCCGCGGAAGCAGGTGTATACGGCGAGTGCTGCGGCGACACCATATTCGTAAAACTCCCCGGCATCCCCGGGCCCAATATCTTCCCCGCCCCGCCTCCTCCCCTCTTGCCTTTCGCCTCCTCCATCATCCTCCCTATCGTGCTCTTCCAAGTCTCAAACGACCCCCGCTCCCTAAAAGTCAGGACAAACGAATCCGGGTGGTCGTCCCCCATCGAGATATTGAGCGCGAGCTCGGACGGGGTGGACTGGTCGAGCACGGCGGTGACGTGCCGGAGGTAGATCCGGCCTTTGAGGCGGAGCACCATACCCTTGCCGGACTGGCCGGAATGGTCGCTCCGCATCGAACCGCCCCCGCCGCCCGATGAAAAGATCTGCCTGAACCCCGACCTTTTCTCCTCCTGCGCACAGACCAGCGCGTCCGTACACAGATACACGTGGAAATCCCGCTTCAGACTGCCCTTCCGGACGCTGAGGATGTCGAAGAGCTTGAGCTGGCCGAGGGAGGGGGCGTTGAGCGTTTTGGGGTCGATGATGCGGGTTTTGAGGTCTTCGAATACGCGGGTGAAGGGGTCGGCCGGTCCGCCTGTGCCGCTCGCGCTCGCACTCGGCGGTTGGGCAGGAGACCGGAGGATATCTCTCGTCGAAGACGTTGACGTAGGCGACGGCGGTAGCTGCGGCGTGCCCTCACCCATCCCCATCCCCAAACCAAGGCCCACCCCTGGCCTCACCGGCGCCGCATACCTCCCCCTCTCGCCCATCCTCGGCGGCGGCACAGTCACAGTGACCAAACACGTCACCGTCTCTTTCCTTCCTTCTTTCCCTCGGCCATTTTTCGGCATGCAGGGGAATTCGGATTTGATCGAGAGCTGGGGGACGAGGACTTTGACGTTCTTCTCGTGTGGGGCGGAAGCGGAGGAGGAAGGGGGAGGGCGGGAGATGGGGTCGTCGGCTGAGGGGTCGTTGGGCGAGGTTGCGCCCGTAGCTGGCGAGTGCAAGGACCGGGAAGAAGGGTAGGGGTGCGGGTGGCCAGAGGTCGATGTGGTACGGATAGAAGGCGGGGGTAGGGCCCTGTTGCTTGCCGCGCTCCCACCCGATTTCGGTTGACCCATCAACGCTGAGAGTTCTAGAGTATCCCGTCAGCCTTTGGGATCACAATGAGATAAGGAAGGGGGGAGAGGGGGACTTACTATCCTTCTTGGCACCGCCCTCGGCCAATTTCATAGGCTGCCTGCAAACCCCACAAACGCCCAATACCTTCCTCGACCCCTCTGCCGGCGGCGGTCCATACACATGCGAGAAACATTCCTTTACATCTCATCAGCTTTCGCCACCAAACAAAACAAAGAAAAACATACCTCGTGCAAAGCATGTCCACATTCCGGTACGATCGGCGGCTTTTCCCCAGGCAACCTATACGTAGCCCCCATGGGCTCGACACACACCGGACACGTCTCGTCGTCATCTTCATCCTGCGTAGAGACGACTACAGGCTGTAAAGGCGGCATCTCTCTTTGTCTTTCTCTCTGAGTCTGGTGGGAATGGGAGAGGGAGAGGGCGTCGAGGTCGGGCGCTGATTTGGAGCTGGACAAGCCTGTGAGAGGGGTAGGACCCGGACGAGCGGGCTGGGGAGAGAGGAAGGAAGGTTTCGGTTTTGATTTCGAAGACGGGGTGGACGGCGCTGAAGGCCTGACGACGGCGTTTGCGAACGGGTGCGCAGTTGCCGAGCCTGATGTAGATTTCGTCGAAACAACAGTGCCGTGCGATGAAGAAGGCGTACCGCTCCTCTCTCTCTCTTTCTCTCTGCCGTTCACAGATGAAGAAGAAGAAGCGTTATCGCGCAAGGAAAAGTAGTTGTTTGGCACAGACTTGTGTGTGGCTTTGCTGACTAACGAGCTAGTGGACGCTTGGGAGTGAAGCTTTGTCGCGGGGTAGCGCAGACCGCGTTCGGATTGAGAGCCCGGCTTGTGAGTGAATGCTGAAAGGGGAGGGCAAAAGTCGTTGTGGAACCCGGCTCTATCGCCGGGGTCTTCTTCAAAGACGGTCGAGATGTCGGGTTTATCGCTGACGTGCCAGTGCGCGCCTCGGGACGATGCGAGGGTAGAGTACGAGTAGATGCTATCGTCTTCGCCGCCTTCGTTTTCGCCAGTAGACCCCGAGAAGGCAGTATACTTGGCTGAATGTCGGTGGGACGAGCGCGAGGCGAGGGACGAGTGGGCGTACTGCGTCGAGGGAGAGAGGGAGATGGGCGCGTTGTCAGGGGAGGAGAGGAGTGGGAATGTAGATGTTGTGCGGGTAGAGAGCGGGACGGAGGGCTGTTTCTTGTGGTGGAAAGGGTGGGAGGCGGGCGGTGCTGGGTCTGCTGTGTGGTGGCTGTTAGCGAGGGTATGGAGTGTTGGAAGGGATGTGGAAAGGGAAAAGGGACAGGAAAAAGCGGACGGGGTGGGTGTACCCAGGGAGAACAATAGGAAACGGGAACAATAAGAGGAGATGAAACGTACCGAGCCAGTGGGCATTGTCGTAGCTCATCCTGGGTGCAGATGCAGATGAGATATCCCCTGCGAGCGATACAGCGCGTTCGAGCCTCGCCACACAAGGGGAGAGGGGCAGCAGTGTGAGTGGCAGAACGGGCGACGAGTCCGGACACGAAGGGGGCGTCCTGGGCGGCAGCGAGTCGTCCGAGTGTCCTTCTTCCTCCCCCCCGTCCTCTGAAGTGTCTTCAGGCAGCAGCAGCAGGGGCGGCCCCAGCGGACCCAGCGGTGCGTGTCCGGGCGGCGCAGGAAACCACGCGAGCGAGCCGAGCCCATCAATCTCCACCTCGCCGCTCGGGCCATCGAACGCACGCCCCTCCTCCGTAGTGTCCCCGTCCCTGGCTTGTGTATCGCCCGACGAGCTATCCCCCTCCGCTTTGGGGTCCTTCACGACGGAAGGTACCGAAAGGCGTCTGCGGTTGGTGAGCGACAGCGCACGGCGGATCCCTGCCCATGCGCGACCATCGCCCCGTTCACGTTCACGTTCACGTTCCCGCGTGGGGTGCGACCATGAGGGGGAGCTCGTATTCGGCGGGCGTACCGCCGGCGTCGGCACAGGGGAAGGGGTAGAAGGGGGCGAGCGGAAATCGATCCATGATGCTCCCTCTCCAGCGCTCAAGGGCGAGGACGACATGGGAGCGGCCGAAAAAAGAGGGGGCGCAGAGAGCTTGAGTGGTAAGGGAGGATGGCGGCGCCGTGCGTTGGTCGTATGCGAAGGCTCGTGCACGTTCATCGGAAAGGACAGTGGGCACAGCTCGTCTCTTGTGTTTGTGTTTGCAACAGGGGGAGGAGGGAGGATGTGGATCAAGTCGCTTGAACTGGTGCACGCTGATGAACTCTTGTCTCGACAGCTGAACAATAACGATCAGCCACACGTTCCTATGTACCCAAGTCCCTGAAGGGAGATCATACCTGTCTTCTAGAGAAGAAGAAAAAGAATCAAACGATACAACAATCCCGCCTTCGCCCCCTGCCCCTGCCTGCACAACCACTTCACCGCCCGAAGCAGGCGACGGCATGTCGGAGCACCTCTCTTCCCTTCCCCCCCTCGCTAATACCGACGACCTGAGCATTGTCTTTCTTGTCTTGGTTGCTGTCGCAGTGTGGAGCGGTGTGGGGTGGTGCGGTGCTGCGTGGCGTAGTGAAGGTGGCGTTAGAGACGTAAGGAGTCAATGTAGAAACCAGTAATAGAGAACAATAAGACTTTCCCCCCCGTGCCCGTGGTCGGCGTGGGTCCAAAACCCGAAGAAGATACAAGCATGACGGAATGCCCGATGTGCCGATGTGAAACCGTCCAGATTTCTTATTGTTCTTGAGGGATCTTTGACAAGAGAACAATAAGAAAGATGCGCGGGGTGCATGCGTCCTGGGGTCAGGGTTCGAGGGTTGGAAGCTTGTTTTGAGGCACGGCGGGGGTTCCGGCTTCCGGGCTGCCGGGCATGCATGGATGGCGGGGTGGGCCGCCTTTTCGGCAGGGGTTCGGCAAGTGAAAAAGATGGATGGTGCTTGTGGTCAACCCCTGCCCTGGTTTCGATCGTCCCTGCGGCATGTTGGGATTTTGATGGCGCGAAGCGGTAGTTGCATGGTGATAGACGGTCGATCACGAGCTCGGATCAATTGTGATTTCGGTTCATTGAGCGACGGACCACCGACCACCGACCACCGATCACCCGCGTACCTGCTCTAATTTCGGGCACTCGTTGTAGTTGCTGTTGTTGTCGTTGTCGTCGTTGTTGTTGGTGTGGATTGCTAACATCCAACACTCCTATATCTCCTAACCGCAGTTTCATCAGATCCGGTAAAAAGAATCATTACCGTAAAGAGGAATGAAGCTGTTGGATGGATATCAAGAAGTCAACTTTCGGAGAGACGAGAGGGGGAGCGTGCGGGGAGAGTGGTGATCTCGGCTCTTACAAGTACGCTCGGGCTGCCGAACTTTTCTTTTTCCGGCCTTCTCGTCTCTGATCAGCTGCATGCTTTCCAAAAGGTCTACTCGTATAAAGTTCACCAACCTCCATCTACCAAACAGCATCGATGAAGCTAGAAGTATGGCACTTCCATTCATGACGTCTCGTACCCCGTATCCTCAACACCCCGCTCCTCCTCCAATATGTCTCCCCTATTGTATCCTTGCTGCTCCGCCTCTTCCCTGAAAAAAACCCCTTTCGTATACCAAAGCCGAATCCAAATCCATGGCCGACGGGACTCCCAATCTCTCCAAAGACCTGATCCTTCGCAAGCCTTGCTCGTCGTCTGCGATATCGTGCGCGTGAGAGATCTGTTCTTCAGAGAGCTGAAACGCATTTGCTCCTCCACAAGACGGCTGGGTGTTATCGAAGCCCGTGCCGCTCAAATCAAAGTCAAAGTCTTGCCCATTTCCGAGATCGAATGCGCCGTTACCCCGATTATCAGCGCCCATATTCGAGTTTACGAGCTGGCGACGGAATTCGGCCATGTCGTCGTCGTTATCCATGTCAAGCCATTGGAGGGAAGGGGAAGGCGAGAGTCCGAATCTTTGCCCCAACTCGTCGAGAGAAAGGTTTTCGTCCGCAGGATTCACCCACGGGGGAGGTGGGGGGAGCTGTTCGTCTCTCGCCGTATTGCCATTACCTCCCTCTACATCAAACCTATGAGTAACGCCCGACCAGACGTTTCCCCGGTGTGGACGGGCAGAGTCTGGCATTGTGATTGATTCCAAGATGTCGTCCAGGTTTGAAGACATCAAGGCATCCCACATGGGTTGTTCTTTCGCGCTGTCGGAGGTGCCTGAAATGAGAGCATTGATGAGTTCAGATGTGCGAGGGGCGCCTGCTGTGGCGGCTGTTGCTTGCTGAGAGGTATCGGTCTGTGTTGAACTTTGTGAGATGCTGACTTTGTCGGGAGCAGCATGTTGAGAGCTAGTGCGACGTCTTTTAGAGCTGGTGGCTGACATTATGATTTGTTATGTTGTGGCAAATTTGTTTTTAACAGGCTCATGAAGTTTGATGGGTATTTCTTATAGGTAGAGGATTCGTATGTCGACGGCTCAAGAGTGAGCGGAGCTTTGGTCCATTCAAGCTTAGTAACAACCACATATAAGGGGAACCTTTGTGACGCCAACATCTCCTCGCTCGGACGTTGTTCAGTCGGAAAGGAGGAGCATCATTTAGTGATTTGATGCCAATCGCGAAATCTCCTGTAAAGAAGGGGTTGAGAAAGGTGAGTGAGCACCTCGAGACGGCACAGTTCATACTTTCCTTTGAAGACGGTCTCTGTTCTTCTAACGTTTCTAGGCTGCGTTCTCGTGTTTGCAATGTTGTTCAGGCTCAAGAGGCATACGCGCTCCAAGTTCAAGTGTAATAAGATGAATAAATCTCTTCTATAGTCCGATCTCGATGACAGTCCAATACATACTCATCGGTCCACGAGTCAGGCTGCTCGATGGATACTTGGGCACTTGTTGTTCGTTGTTATGGCTTTAGTCTGGGCGCCTCCCACAGTATTCCATGTACTGCGTGCGATGACTGTGTATCGGTACATATCCAGACCCCAGAATGGAGCGCCTTTCTGGAGAGACGAGGAGCGTCACGCAGCGTACTCTTGTTGCGCGAGAGTGATCTCGGCCCTTACAAGTACGCTCGGGCTGCCAAACTTTGATGTTCCGGCCTTCTCGTCTCTGATCAGCTGCATGTCTTCTACCAAAAGATCCACCTTAAATATATGTACATTCACCACCCCATCCAAGAAACAGCAAGGAAATGGGCTATGGGGATCCTCCAATTTATGACGTCTCATTCCCCGTATCCTCGTCACCCGACTCCACGTCAACCCACTCCTCCTCCGCCTTCTGGATAGAGAGCTCTCTTCGCATTCCCCAATGAAAGTCAAGAACGACTGGACTGTCAATATCTCCCACAACCTGATCCTTCGCAAGCTTTGCTGCTCTGCGATATCATGCGCACGAGAGCTCTCTCCTTCAGACTCTCCTTCAGAGAGCTGAGACGCATTGGCTCCTCCATAAGGTCGCCGCTGGGTGTTGTTGTAGCCCATGCTACTGGAAAGAAAGTCTGCATAGTTTTCAAATTCGAATGCACCGTTGCCCCTATTTCCAGAGCTCATATTCGAGCTCATGAGCTGGCGACGCAATTGGGCGACGTAGTCGTCGTTATTACCCATGCCAAACCCTTGAAGGGAAGAGGAATGGTGAAGCTGTTCTCCCTTTACATCAAAGATAAAGCCCGACAAGGCGTTTCCACAGAGCTGACGGTTTGGGTCTGTCACTGGGATTGTTTCCAAGATGTCGTTCAGGTTTGAAGACCACTCGGCATCCGACATGGATGGTTCACGGATGTCCAAGGTCCTCGAAATGAGGGCATTGATGCGTTCAGATGTGCTAGGGGTGCCTGCTGTTGGGGCGGCTGCTTTCTGAGAGGCGTTGGTCTGGGTTAGACTTGGTGAGATGCCGACCTCGTCGGGAGGGGCATGGTGAGAACTGGTGCTACTTCTTCTAGAGCTGGGGGCTGACATGGTGAGATGTTATGTTGTGGCAAAAGTTGTGTGGGAAAGGCTCATGGGATTTTGATGGGTCTTCGCCTCCCTGCACATCTTGTATCTCGATCAGCGTCGAGATGGCGCTATCAATATCACCCGAATTCACTGATGCTCTGGCCCTTGACCATAGGTCGCTTATCAACGAAGCAGCAGCGTCATGGGGCGGCGGACTTGGCGGAAGGTCATCATCAGACTGGTATGATGGACCATCCATCCCCGACTGGTCGGGCGAGACTGGAGGATGGTCGTGAGATGCAAACGAGTCCGCTGTAAGCTGTCGCACCTCGGTTGGTGCATCTGGAACAGCAGGAAGATCCTGTTGGTGAGAGCTTATCACACTGCTTCGTCTGGAATCTGTGGTGGGCGACATATCGGTTTTGTTGTGGGGTGATTTTGGGTTGTAAAGAAACTTGATGAGCTGAGGCGAGGTGCGGAAAGCACTCTAGAGCACGTCTTGCGAAGCATTCGATCTTCTAAACAGCCGTTGAAGCGCGATCCTTTTGTGTCACCCCTCGCACCCGCAGCCACCAGCGTCTTCTGACCGCCCTTTCTCGCTGTGTGTATGGAAGCTTAGAAGGTTTTTTCGGGTATTGACCCCCTTCACGCTATGAAAGGTGTAAACTGGGGAATGATCTATACATAGCCAATCCGTTTTGCATCAGACACCCGCTTGCTGTTGTATGTTTGGCCACTTCCTTTCATGACATCTGTCACGTCAGGCTAGAAAGACAGGGTGAAGGGCTATATGGATGTTCTTCTCCTGTGGACATCGGCATGAACCAGCCTATCTGCAGCGACAAACATGACATACTTCTTGCTCATGAAAATACATGAAAACATCTACCAGATCCATCTATCTACCCCACCATTTCATCTGACCTCATCTCCCCATCGTTTCCAACCGTCTGAAGCTTAAGCAGACTTGGCACTACTACCCTTGGCCGACGACGACTTGGTCGTAGCAGACGTCGTCGAGTTGGCAGCGGCGATAGCAGCAGCGTTGGCGCTACCACCAGTGACGCCAGTCATAGCGGAGCCGGAGGATGCTTCGTCGGTGGCAATGTTGGTATCGAGCTTTTCCTAGGGACGAAGGTCAGCGATGTTGAGCGCGAAGGTCAGAGGGAGGAGACGAACCTGCTCCTCAGCAATCTTGTCCGCAGTATCTTTACCTTGCGCTTGTTGGATCGTAAGAGCTTGCACCTCACCCGTAAGCTTCAACACCCTACGGCAGTATCAGTATATGTCCTTGGTCGTCACGATGGAAAAGATGAACGTACTTGTTGGCTATCTTGCCCGCTGAAAGGGCGTCGGCGGTATCACCGCTAGCAGCGTCGATAGCAGAGTTGAACTGGTCCGTTTCGGCGTCTTCTGCAGCCTATACTAGGATTAGTCTGCTCTCTTCTCGCAATGAGGGGGGAAGAGAACGTACCTCGCGCATAGTCTGGATATTCTTGAGACTGGTAGCATCGACAGTAGACAGGTCGTAGCCATTGAATGGGTCGACGAAAACGGCGTTGGCAGCGGCTTGGGCTTGGCCGGCGGTACCGTCTGAGATTTGGAAATCGCTACTCAAATGCTTTAGCCGAAGATCACGGTAACAATGATCAAGCGGGGATTGAACTTACGCGTAGTCTTGAGCAGCAAAAGCAGGACAAGCGGTGCCGTTCTGCCTTTTGACGGGAGACGCGGCGGCGAGAGCCAAGAGAGGAAGGACAGTGAAGAGGTATTTGCCGAGCATGACTGTTGTGTTATAGATGCTGTTGTTTATGCGAGGAGTGAATGCGAGAAACTATCGATGAGAGGCTGAGTAGGCGAGACGATAGAGCTGGACCGGCCAGAATAAAAAGGCTAAAGTAGACAATAGAAATGGGTGAGCAGCGCAGCTGATGGGGAGTCTGAACGTCAGGGAGAATCAGCGCTTTTATAGGTTGATACTGAGGCCGGGTTGGCTTCGGCCTCGATTCTAGGCGATAGTCTCCGCTCCAAGAAACAAACTCGGAACGCTCGCCCAAAGCCAATCTGTAACACGCTTGGCGTCCCGTCCCTAGCGTTTGCTGTGTCTATTTCGGAGAAGGAGTCGTTCATACATCACAGTCGAGATACGGACCATCCCACGGAGGGGCAGCAAGGTTTGAGATGGCGACGTGTTGAAGTTTGGGCGACGAGGAACAGGTTGTGAGGGCGAGTGACGACGACTGGGATGCGCTGGCAACCACAAGGCAAATCAGCTTGGAGAGTCACTGGGTTACGCTTCGCCCAGGCTGACTTACGACATGCTTAAGGGACAAGGTAGTCGCTTATCACGATGAGGAAATACACGAACGAACTATAAGAAAAGAGACGACAAGTTGCCCAAAGTGATTACGTCCGCGATGCGCGTATCCTCTCTTTCACCAGTACACTGTACATCAATCGATACCTTTGTCAGCTTGGTCTTGCAAAGCCTCAGCACGACCTGACCTCTCATTCAAGACCTTGCATAGTACTTGTAGCACTGATAGAGACGACAACTGGCAAACAGAAAGCAAAAAGATGGTCTCGTCCCGGGATTGAACCGAGGACCACCCCCAAAGCGACTCGAAAATCACCCTAAGAGGGCATGCTACCACTGCACCAACGAAACGGCTATGCCACCGAAGACCAATTATTGAAAGTTTGTTGAACAACAAACCAGAGCCTTTGTTGATAGGCACCGCACCAAACCCAAGCGTTAAGTCACATGCCATGAAGTGAAAATGGGTTTTTGTCGGGCCGGTGTGTACTAAAATAACTTATATCAGCCACTTCAGGGTACGAGGATGACACAAATAGCGATAAATGTCAGATAACGTACGGGACGATGATGCAGCGAGAGGCATCGGAAGACCGAATTACAAGAAGCCGAACCAAATTGACAGGGGATGGGCAGGCCGCAGGCTGACTCAGCGCTTGATTGCCCCTTGTGCATCGGATCAGACCGGCTTCTGACTTTTTCATCTACAGAGCGTCTTCAATCGACACCACATATGCCAAGAGCGAAACCTTTCCAGATGACCCCCCTGGAAGGACTTTCAACAACATCGCCCATGGACGCGAGGTATGTGGGCTATCTCGATCGATGTTCGGTCAGTGCAAGCAAGACATTGATTCACCATGTACTCCCACCTTCCCCGAAGACCTCCCACCTTACCCGGGTGACTCCCCCGAACGATTAGTACGCGTTCTTGCTGAATAACCCAAGCATCACAGTCTCACCGAAAGCCGGAGAGGGATAGCTTTTTTGCTTCTTGAAGGTCACATGACTCTGCTTCTATACTCTTATAGCGGAGTACAAACACCCCTGAGTCCACTTTACCTCCCCTCTCAAAGATCAGGAGCGCCTCCGAAGTCGTTACCGAATAACATTCTCAATTGAGCCGGCATGACTCGACAGCACCTGACTTGTAAGCTGAACCGCTTGCAGTCTGCTCATACTTAAACTCATGTCTTCAATCAGATCCTTTTCAGAGTCTCCGACGCTAAGCAGACCGAAAGATGAAGCTTCTCCAAGCTTTCGTTGTCTTGAGCTTCCTCGGCACCCCCAGCATTGTTGGGGCAGCACCCTCCAAGACGCTCTTCTTCCCCCGCGATCCCAACCCTCCGCCCGCAGCCACCCACGAGATCGCACAAAATTTCGACAGTGACGAGGCCTTCACCGGTACCGGCGCCTGGAAAGGATCCCCCCCTCCCCCCCGCGCCGCCGCCACCGATGACATCTCGCACGTCGTGAAGCGAGCCGATGATCCACCCACGGGCAGCTTCAACATCACCCTTCCAAGCGAGAGAGAGTTTCTGTTGAACGTGCCGGCGGGTTACAAGCACGGAGAGAAACATCCGCTGGTCTTTAGCTTCCATGGTGGTGAGTTTGCAATTCGTTTGATATAGACGCGCGAGCTGACGTTGGGCTTTAGCGAATGGTAACAAGGTCACTCAAGAGCTCATCACCGGCCTCTCCGACCCCAGTCTTCGAATCGACAACAAGCCTTTCCTAGCCGTCTATGGACAAGGTGTCGCCAACACGACCGCAGACAAGACGGCCACTTGGCTGGGAGCTCCTTACGCCAACACCACCGTCGACGATGTTAGTCTCTTCCCGTTGCCTTATACGCTTGCATATGCTGACAGTATATAGATTGCCTTCGTGCACGACATGATCGCCAACATCACCTCCACCTACAATATCGACTCCTCCCGTATCTACGCCTCCGGCAAATCCAATGGCGGTGGCTTTGCCGCCCTCCTCGCATGCCGAAACGACACTTCCTCCCTCTTCGCTGCCTTTGCCCCCGTTTCTCCCGCACTGTATGAAGGCACGATGTCGTTCCACGGATGCCAGACTGACCGGGGTGTTCCCATCTTGCATTCGCACGGGGTCGAAGACCAGACTTGTCCTTTCACAGGAAAGACCCCCGAAGACGGCGGTAGTGGCCCCGAAGAAGACGTGCGTATCTGGCGCCGACAGTGGGCACTCCGGAACGGCTGTGTTGGGAATTACCCGGGGCAGTACCCTGTGCCAAAGGTGAAACAAGTCTATGATGGTGTCTGGGAAGAAGTTTGGGATTGTCCGAAAGGGGAGGTGAGGGCGCTGAGTGTGGAGGGGCTGGGTCATTCGTGGCCGACGACAGAGGGGCTGGACTTGTCGGGCGCACCGAATCAGACGGCTAACTTCAACTTGACGAGTCCGATCTTGGTAAACTTTTTCTCCAAGCATAGACTTCCTTGAGTCTTCCTTTCATAATAGCTGTAGAACCTGATATAATGAGAGGGATAGAGCCTTATACTTAAGATGGTATGTACACATAGGTCTCTGAGGAAGGCGGAGATAGTCTGGAGATAGTATAGCTGCCGGCGGCCGACGAGAACAATAGCCTCGGCTTTCCGCGGTGTTTTTAGGTTCGGGCATTTTCTTATTGTTCTCATCACAATTCTCGTATTGTTCTGTTTTTGCCCTTTTTTCGGCTTCGTTGTTTATCACAAGCACTTTCTTTCAATGTAACAAATTCTTCATCTTCATCTCTATCTACACTGCCGCCAGCATCTACACCACTTTCTTGCCATGTCCCAAATCCACTCCAAACTCTCCTCTCCCCGCGCCACCGCCCCCACCATCCCCTACGACATCTCATCCCTCGACCCTCTCCCCGTCGAGATCCAGAACGTCGTCTATGACAAGCTGCTCGCCGACCCCGACCTTACTCTCACCCTCGCCGGCCTTTCAAAGTCCCACTACATCACTCTCATCCCTCGCCTCTACGAGCGCGTCGAGATGACCGACAAGGTGGTTGAGAGGGGTTTGTTCGAGGGTCTGCTGGCTGGGGACGATCACTTGGAGGCTCCTGGAGAAGGGCGATTGCCGGCCAAGAGGGATCTACTTGAGAACTGCAAGTCGCTGGTGGTCGATTCTTTGCCCGCTTTCGACGCTATCACCGACGCTATTCAGGCGTGGAAAGCACTTCTCGCAGAGCGACGCGAGACGGGTACCGTGCCCGACGAGCTTGACGGCATCTTCAACGGCGTCGCTCACTTAGCTTGGGGGCCCGACCTCATTGACGCCATGTGCCGAGAGGAAACCGAAATTGACGGGAATGGGGTCAATTTTGGAGGCAGGCATCACCGACGTTGCTTGTTGTTCAAGAACGTTTGGAACGTCTGTCTGCGTCTCCCCTATCCTCTCCCCAAGACGACGTGTGACGAAATGATGTCTGTAATCCCCAACTACATCCACTTCGGGGGGAAAGTCGACAAGAGCTTCATTCGCTATCACAATTGCAAGTCGGACCCGCACATGAGGAGCGTCGAGTACCCCCTCCGTGGACGTTTGGCTCGCGCCGATTTGGTGCCCGCGGGGTTCGAGGAGGGTGTTGATCCGCTGATAGGTCAGGCCCGCGACATCGTCACGTATTGCGTGGGGGATATGCATGACTGGACAAACTTTGACTCGGAGTGAGTTTCCTTCCTTGCTTTGGACCAGAGCAGCGAGTCTGATGTCATTTCCAGCGACCTTGATGAGCATGCAGAATATGCGAGGAATCCAATGCATTTCGTCTTTACCAACATTGGCACCACTATCGCCCCCGACGGTACCCTCGCCCATCTTCCACCCGACCTCAAACAGGCTGTCCTTGAGAAACTCCAGAGGAAGGTCAGGCATGAGGTACGAGCGAAGTTGCTGGCATCGGCGCCAAGTCAAGTTTGGGCAGCGGATAGGATCCATCTTCGGGGCCATGAGGAGTGTAAATTCTGTCCCCAGGTCTCCTACTAGGCACAAAGGAAAGGAGAGACGAGTGCTTGCTGTTAGCCGGTGGTGAGTCTTTGCTTGGTGATCTCGTGCTTGTCCGTTGACAAATCGACAGGCTGGTCTTGTATAGTCCGGGCGGTGTTCCTTCCTTCACTGGTCGAGTTGATTACTTCATATTGGCTCTTCTGTATGCCTGTCGCGAATGTATGATAGTCCTGGCATATTGCTCGCGCCATATTACCCTTGTCCGCCTTTCGAGATTGCGCTCCTCTGACCGTGAGCTTCCGCCTCCGGATTAGCAGTTGAGCCCTATGCATACAATGAAGCGCACATGAGCCACAATCCATTTGCTGTCAAGCGCCTGGGAAGAAAGGATTGCGGAGATGGCCGCCATCCACCTGGGACGCCTGTGATCCGTGGGCCACCCACCTGGGGGCTGCCGTCTCCTCGGTGCCCCCCAAAATCTGGAACCACCTCGATGCCAACCTTGCTCTCGCTCTCGTGGGCTCGCTTACCCCCGATCTCGCCTCCATATTCGAATCCATCGTCCTCGATCATCCATCTCGCGCCGCCCGTACCCAGCTAATCCTACGACCCGTGGAAGTCTGTCCAGGCCCTCACCTCTCAGCCTCAGGGCTCTACACCCGTCACCGAGTTCATGACGGCTCGCAAGAACAAGTTCGAGGCCCTCAAGGCTGCCGGGTACGATTTCGATGGATGGATGGGATCGCGGATGAGAGGATTGTGAGACTGAAGTTGTTAGCGGGAACGAGGGCATTCAGTCTGGAGGAAATGGGGTCGTTAGCCATGTCCTGCAGCTGCGGAGAGCCCAAGCAGTGGAATCTGCCTTGCGAACACGTCTGGGCGGTGCTCCTCAATGACTGTTCTTCGAAGAGGTTCGAGAAGAGGTTCGAGAAGAGGTTGAATCCCTTGAGGTAAGCACCTAAAGTATCTGCGCTATCCGAGCACGCGCTGACTTGTGACCACAGATACATCCCAAACTACCACTCCTCCCTTGCGTTCCGCGAGACATACTCTCGCCAAATCATCCCGCTGTTGACCAACAACTTGGAGGAGACTGAGTTCAACCTGGTTGTGGAAGTCGTGTATTTGAGCAAATTCCCCATCAAGGCCCTCAGGATCATGGCAGGCTTTCCGAAAAAACAGGTTTCGTACTATCTTCCTCGATATAAGTGCCGAAAGAGCTCTTGGACCTAGTGTTCCCCTGGGTGGACGGCGCGTGAGTTCATCATGAAACTGATCGGAGGATACTGGTGAATTGGCCTGACATATCACATAGAATCTCTGAACCTTTATCTATTCAACCTTTCAACAGGTCCCAACAGGCATGAAACTGACAAAGCGGAATTCGTCTTTGTCGGTCCCGCCCCAATCAGATCATGTTCAGTCTCTCCGATGTACCATCAGTCAGGACTCAGGAGGGGAGCGGAAGCAAAATTTTGGACCCCAGCTGAGCCGACCGACCACCCCACCACCCGCCCCCCCCCCCTCTGGGGGATCAATCCAAGTTTGACGAACAGGGGTCCCGAGCCCCCCGGAGGGACGCCGGTTGGTATGTGGCTTCGCATTTACTAGCCCTCTTTTCCCGTATCGAGCTGGTGAGTTGACTGTTCGATATATGCTGTAGACACCAGGCAATGTGCTGACAGGCTTGACGGCGTGTAGGGGTCGAAGTGTTGAACAGCAAGGATGCGGCTGTGGGACTGATGGAGTCGTGGTCGACGGGATGTTTACAGGTGTGTAGTAGCATATTGTATACTTGCATAATAGCTCACGGAAAGATACTGATCTATGTTCAAACAGTACCGTCAGCACATCCTACTCCCCGGTTTGCGGAGACATGTGGGCAGGCACATCATGGCCGCAATGCTCAGGCAGAAGGAGAATCTGGTTAAGAGGGGCACTCCGGTAAGACCAGCACATCCTTCACATGTAATGCTGTTTAATCTGGGAACTAACGTGTCGGTGAATCATCAGGTCGACCCCCAGGGTTATCCTTGCGGGTTCTGTGGCCAATCTAGCGTGTGCAACATCGACCTTGTCTATAACAAAAACTCGAAATACGGTCAACCGTCGTCTCAGTGCAAACTGTTTCGGTGATGTGATGTAGTGCTGTGTCATGCGTCGTCTTACAAATGCAGAAGACATGTGAACCATGGGAGGATAACAGGCATCAACCATGGCTATTCAATGACACAATATGAGGAAACAAGCGATAAATGCATCGATAACCAGCAGGTTGCCGGCCTGAGTGCGTGATGTGGCAACCGGTCATTGTAGATAAAGACACTTTCGAACCGGCCAATCTAGATAAAATCTCTACTTGCAATGCACAGCAGTACGTGTCTATTGGTCGCTTTTCTCGCTCACTCGAACCGCTTCTGGAGCTGGATGATGTCAAGCCTGGATAAACGTTGAGCTTGGACATGCGCCCTCGTATACCAATCTGCAGTACTTACCATTGACCTTCATTCCATCCGACCTTCTTCAAACGCCCAACGCGCTCAAAGCCCATCGACTCGTAGAACTTTGCAAGACCTTCTCCCCTTTCCCTTCCCTCTGGGTTGACGACCATCATGGCAATCACATTGACGATGCTATGGTTCTCTCCCCTCTTCGTTCTCCCTAGCCACGATTCGTCGTAGTTCTCCGGGTGGCCAAGGACATCCCACAGCTTCTGCAGAAGCAAACTTCCAATAGCGCGGTACAAATACTCATAATCCACATAAATAGACACCTCGGTCGTACGCGCCCAGCCCCCACCACCATTATACGCTCGCAACTTGGTATACCCCACAACATAACCGTCTACCTCGGCTACGAGGTACGGGAACCCCTGGGCTCGGGAGGCGTGGAAACTGGAGATCTCTTGCTCGAGTGTCCTGGGCTGGCTCATGAATTCGGACAGCGAGTTGAGGACGTACCAGCTGGTGATGTCGGTTTTGCGGCGCATATCGTCGATGGTTGCCGGGCGGACGATGACGGCTGAGGGAGGGAAGGGCTTGGTGTTGGGCACGGTCGCCCGAGTGGCATGGATCTGGGTCATTGTGTTGGTTGATAGCTGAGTGCAGTTTGCTGTACTTTATCGGTGTGCGAACAAGGTGGAAAATCACTGGCACTGCTGTAGCTCAAAAAGTAGACATTCGCTCGGAAGACTGGTTTGAGGTTGACAAAGGATACGGAAATAGTAACATCGATCGCTTTTCGGGGAACTCGAAAGGAGGAGGTGGGTGAAGCAGCCTTACCTTGATCGGAGCAACCGAAGTGCCAGGCTCGTCCGGGTCTACCAGAGCATTAATTTCTTCTGGTCGTAGACCACAGAGTGTCACAGAGTAATGAGAAGATATGCATTCGACACAAACTATTCATAAAGATTACTAAAGATCCCCATCGCTTTCTACCACAATAAAAGCTCTATCACTATATCATAAACACACATATACACATTCCATACCTTCTCCACACGTTCGATCTTCCCCCTCAACTTCTTCACGTGTCGTAGAGGTGCTCGGGCGCATCCGGATCGACAATCAACCTCCCGTTCCTCTTCTTCCCTAGCAACCTCTTCATCTCTGCCCAGATCACTTCTCTTTGCTTTGTGAGGTCGTGGGTTCGTTCAGGGCGATAGCCACTGTCATAAGTGGTCAGCAGGTACACAAATGAGGGAGGATGGGAAAAGGGATACTGACAGTAGAAGGTTGCGACTGATGTTGGCGGCATACAACGAGTTTTCATGCTTGTATTCGGGGGCGCGATGTTCGTTGATGATTCTCTGTCCGCCGCGGTTCTCCAACTCTTCCATAGTAGGGACATTTGCTTGTGGCCAGGCTTGTCGAATGACCTCCCACCCTAATATCACATCAGCGAAGGCTTCGAATCGAGAAGGAGAGAACATACACCAGAAAGAACGCCCGTCGGTCTTGATGTCGGCGAGGTGAGAGACGCGGTAGGAGGTGAGATGTTTGCTGGATAGGTCGTATCGATGGGCAGCCCATTCATCAACCTGGTAGAATATCAGTACGGTCTCGGATGTTGTGGCTTCTAGTACTCACCTCGTCTCCTAGAGGAGCAAGAGCTACAATAATTCTCGGAGGTTCTTTCTGCCCGACACAATCCCACAGGTCCAACAAGATCTCTTTGGCCTCGCGGTATTGCCTCTACGATCAGCATTAGCAAAGCGCAAACACCAACACAAGATAGTCCGTACCGCGTGAACCGCCGCGTTGACAGCAATAGCAAGATTTGGAGGGACAAAGAGCTTATCACAAGGAGCAGCCGGATTCTCGCTCAGCGTCTTCCTCACCCATCTACGCCTCTCATCAGCATTACTCTCTGATCACTCCACGATACTCACCTCTTGTATGCCAGCATCATAAACACGCTCAACGGAAACTCTCCCACCTGCCTCCCCAAACTAATATCCTCCAGCGCCCTCACAAAGCTCTTCTCCTCCATAATCAGCGCCCAACTATACAGCCTCTGCGTCAACAAATCCCACGGCCTCCAACCCCCACTCGGCCCGCTTGCCAAAGGGTCGGTGATGCGGAGAATGTCTCGCCTAGAGGGAGATGGTGAGTCGTTTGAGAGAATGTTGGAGGCTGCTTGAAGGCTTGTCATGGTCTCGAGCAGTGGGGGCTGGGCAGTACTGGTTGCGTTTGACAGATGGGCGGGGAAAGTGGTCGGGTTCGAAGTTTGAGTTGGAAAAGCGGTCGGAGGACGGACGGACGAGGGCGTTTGAATGGCCGTGTGGTACATTGTCCCCTGTCGGCCAGCGACAGTGCCCGTACCTAGCCCAGTCTCATGACCCGACCACATTGGCATGTTCGGATCAAGCATCCCCACTTGCGTAAGGTTGGATGCTTGCGTAGGCACTGGTGGCGGAGGAGAGCCTCGGACAGACTTGGAAGTCTGAGCCTGCTGCGGTAATTGCGAAGGCGAGCCTTGGAAGATGTGCGAAGATTGAGGGTGTTGAGTATACTGCGAAGGCGAACCTCGAGCCTGCGAAGGCTGCACTCCAGGAGCCTTGGTCTTCAACCTCGGCGGCCACTGATCCGGCTGCCAGCTACTCGCGTACTGACTCCCCACGCCAGGCGGGCTCATCTGCCTTGGTACCGTCCCAGCCACCGCGGCCGGCGCGTGAGAAGGAAGATGCGTGCCAGAAACACTCTTCTGAGCATTCGTCAACGCATCAACATGCGTCGGCGTCGAACCCGGCGGCTGACTCTGCTCGCTCTCAGCCGGCTGCGGAGGCAAGTCCTTCTCCTTAGGGTCCGGCAAAGCAGCAGTAGGCAGCGTATGCTCAGAAACAGCATCATTCGTCACCGCATCCATACCACCGCCGTTCCGAAGCCGCTCGGTCTCAATAGACTTTCCCGATACCGTCCTCGCCATAGTCCCCGGCCGAGACTCGGTAGGCTCAAGGATATTTATAATCGGACCTTCGTTGGACCCTTTCTTGGGGCTGGTACCCATCTTGGGCAATTCGACCTCCGAACCCCAGAGCAAATCGCCCGAAGCGTTTCGAGGACCGCCCATAGCGCCGCCTGGGTGGTGCTGGCGCGACATCTGCGTAGGCGCAAGGGTAGGCGCGGTTTGATGGGTGGTGGGAGCATACTGGAAGGGCGCAGCCTGGATAGGAGCGTACTGAGAAGGCTGAGGTTGGCCTGGAGTGATACCCGCAGATACGCTGGGAATAGCCTTATGGCTGTAGTGCGATGGCACACCGCTCGCAGCTCTCTGACTCTGAGCTACACCAGGAGGAACACCAACCCCGATACCATCTATCGTCAAAGGAGGAGCTTGAGACTGTGTGGGAGCCGAACCGACAGCAGCAGACTGCGGAAAGCCGCTACTGGGAAGACCGTTGTAGATGAGATCATCGATCAACCCGCTTGGCACCTCTCGCGAGACTTGCGAGTACGCTTCCCGTCGGGACGAGAGCGGAAGGGGCTGGTCGGTTGGTTTTTGCCCTTCGAGCGCTGTGAATCGCTGGTCGAATGCAGACAGGCGGGCCATAATCTACCTCTTTATCAGCACCCCCAAAAATATCATTCGATAGAAGAAGACTCACATCCTGAGCCCAAGCGGGTGCACCTTCCTCCTTCTCCTCAACCGCCACAGCCGTCCTCGCCTTGTCACTCTTCCCACTAGCCGTCCTTCCTTTCCTGCTCTTCGACCTCCTCCTCTTGTCCCTACTCCTTTCCTTCCCGCGACTTTCACGGCTCTCGTCATACTCTGTAGCCACAAATGTATGCGAGTGCGAGTGCGAGTGCCCATGCCCAAACCCAGGGGTCTCACCCCCCCTCTCCTCTTCTTCCCCTCTCTCGCGCAGCTCTTTGAGCTCGACGACGCGCGCCCTAGCAGCTCGCTGTAAAGCCTTCTTCGCCTCGCCCCCGATGAGGTTGAGTCTCGCCGCATCGAGCAGCTGGCACAGCGTCTCGTCGTGGTACCGACTAGAGTCGATAAGGCGCTTGACGTTGGACAGCGTCGTCGAAGGTAGAGATGAAGGCTGCGAGAGTGTTGGAGAGAGGAGTGATTCGTCGATCTGACCAGACTCGAGAGGGGAATGGTCGACTTGGACTTCGTGGTCCTCCTCCACTGCGTTGTAGGCTTGACCAGGTGCGATAGCCTGACCAAAGTTCATTGGCACTTGGCCGTAGAACGCGGCTGCGAGCTTGTCCAAGTCCAAACCTTGGGGGAAGATGGTGCTCGGATCTTGAGTGTATACCGTCCCGCCTGGCGCTTGCGTCAGCGCATGGGTCGAAGGAGCTTGAGTCTGCAAGCCGCCTGTTGCTTGGGGATGTACAGTCGTTGGCGGCGCTTGAGAGTATGCTGTACCCTGAAGAGGTACTTGGCTCTGGGCGTACCCCGTACCTTGTGGGTGCAAAGAAGCAGGAGGAGCTTGCGAGTACACCGTAGTACCCTGGGGAGGTGCTTGGCTCTGAGCGTACCCCGTAGCTTGACTCTGCAAAGGAGCAGGCGGCGCTTGACTCGGCGCGAACGCATTCTGCACCTGTTGTTGTTGAGACGCCGCAGCCCGAGAAGGCATCATCCCCTGACTCTGACTCTGAGCATACCCAGTACCCTGCGGCTGCAAACTCGGCGCATACCCACCCGCCTGCTGCCCCTGCCCCTGCCCCTGCCCCTGCCCTTGCCCAGTCGTCTGAGCTTGCAGAACCGGGCCCGGTCCCCAAGCACTCATCGCCACAAGAGGATGCTCATGCGCCTCCATCTGGCTGACGTTGGGCACAGCCGTATACTGCGTACCCGCAAACGTCGGAGGCGGCGCGCCCGAGCTCGGCACGGGCACCGACCCCACCCCCGTCTCCGTATACACTGTCCCACTCCCACCCCCATTACCGTTACCGTTGCTCACGCCCGAAGTCTGGTTGGACCCGGGCACTTGGAGAGAATGAGACGGAGGGGGCATGGAGAGGGATGTCCCGTGCGTTGACTGGAGCTGGTTGCGAGGGAGCATACCGCCAGGGAATGTCGAGACGTAGGAAGTAGGCGGTGGGATTTGGGTATAGTCGGAGGTCCCTGGACCTGCCAGGGGTCGCCCCGTACCCGCCTTGCTAGCAGCTTTCGCAGCCTTCTTTTCTTCTTTCGCAGCGGCTCTTGAAGTCTTGCTCCCCCTGACGGTGGTTTTGGTGGCCATGGAGGGCACTTGCGATGCTGGCTTGGGCGAAGGTACGAGAGGGGAAGACGGTGCTCGGGTGGCTTGTGTTGTCAATAGACGCTCGGTGGGGTGGAATTGTGAATGCGAGGGCTGGGCGGATGTCAGCTGTTTGTTCATTTTTCTTTACTAAACAGATGCGAGCACAAAGGGGCGTCTGTGCGCCACAAAGGAATCCGGTGATCACTCAACCAAATACCAAACAAAGGAAGATCCACTTACAGCATAGCCAGCGTCGAGCATATTACTCTCCGTCCTTGCAGCCGCCGGGCTCACAGCACGAGAACGCGATCCCTCCGTCCGCCCATCCGTCCTGAGCGTATGTTCCGGTGAGAGCGCTTCTTCCTCCTACCCATGCATCCATCAGCACCTCCACTCCACCACAACACAAATCCAAGGCGATAAGAAAGACTCACATCCGGCACAGTCTCAACATACGCGCTCCTCTCATCTCCCCGCCCCTGCCCTCCCGCTCGTCCCAGGGCAGCTTGCAGCTCCGCCTCCTCCCTCTCCGCTTCGATGATATCCAGCAACCCCAGGCCCAAGCCCGGGAACGCACCGAGCCCACCGAGCGCACCCAGTCCCCCAAGCCCCCCTAGCCCGAGCGCCCCAGCCCCGCCGCCGGAAGAATCGCGTAAGACCATCAATGGTCTCGAGACGTGCGTCCCGGTGGGGACGCCGAATGGGATTCGAAAGACGTCTGGCGGTGCTGACGTGTGCGCTGGGGCGTGGGCGTGGGCGTGGGCGTGGGAGGAGAAGGGCGGGAAGAAGCCGTCGGGCGCAGTCTGGAGCGATGGACGAGTAGAGATGGGCATCCCATTCTGATGATGAATATGTCCAAACGACGGCACACTTGTGGTCGTGTCAAACGTCTGTCTCGGCCCCTTCTGCCCCCCACCACCACCTCCGACTCCGACTCCCCCGCCGCCGCCTTCAGTAATGTCCATAGACAAGATCTCCCTCATCTGGCCTTCCAGCAGCTCATCAGCATTATGCTGCGCCGCCTCCAGCTGCGCGAGCGCGGCGGCACGGGCATCGGCCATCGCAGAGCGCTGTTTCGCGAGCGCTTCGGCGGGGGAGAAGGGGTAAGGGTGGTGTGGTTTGTGGGGGTGGTATTCTTGTTTGTTGGAAGGCGAGTCGGGGGAGGCGGAGGGGGATGGGGATGGGGGTTTGGTGGTTGCTGGTGGGAGGGGTGATTTCGATAGCGGGGGCGGCTGGTCTCAATTCAGTTATATGCCTCCTAAATTCCAAGATAGGAAAGAGGGAAGAGAAGAGAAAAGACGTACAGTCCGTTGTCCAGGCTTGCCTTCCATTCCAAAAGTCCCCTCCCCAGGGCTCGTCCCACTCTCCCCAGCAGGCGTCTCATCCCCCCTCACCCCCCCTTTCACTCCCAGCACATGCCCACCCGAAAGATCCCTCATCCCTGCCCCCCGACTGAACGCCTCACTCTCCGGCCTCTGCCCCTTCAAACTCTGCGCCTGGTGGCCCGCACCAGTGTTGTTGTTGTTGTTGTTGGCGATGGCAGCGAACGGCAAACTCGGCCTCGAGGCGGGGGTGTACGCACACGGATGCCTAGGTGCCGTACTTGTAGGCTGCTCCACCATAGAAGCCGGCCGCGAGTTGTAGGGACCAAACATGCCGTCTGGGATCGAACCTTCCGAGTCGTGTACGCCTTGGACCCAGGGGAGGACTTTGGCTTTTGCTCTTTCGACAGGTCTCAGCATTCAACTCTTTCATTTTCTGGAGAAGGGAAAGAAGGTGGGGGGGGGGGGGGACTCACGAAGGTGTCTTGGTCTTGATGGGATCGGACGTCATGGACGCGCGGGGGATGGTGGAAGGGCTCTGCGATGTAGATCTGCTTGCTTGCCGTTCCCGATCTTTATCGTTCTTCTCTTTCGCGTGGTCTCTGCCTAGTGATTCTCCGCGCGATTGGTTGAGGCCTTTGGCATTATAGAAGACGGGGGAGGAAGGCGGGTCGTATGTCCAGATGGAGGAATAAGGGAGAGATAGAGTTAGCGATTTAGACATTCTTTAGTTCACAAGCTCCGGCTGGGGAGAACGACGGTCACCAAGCAAGGCAAGGGAGGAGATAGGAAGGAGATGTTAGCCGAAGGAGGCAAAAGAAGCATGGACGGGTGGGTCCTTACGAGGATATTTCGCCGGAAGGGGAAGAACAATAGCGTTTCTTCGAGGCTAAAGGATGCCTGTATTCCTTTTGTTCGACGAAAGCGTCGAAAGATGAAGCAAGCAAGCAAGCAAGCAAGCAAGCAAGCAAGCAAGCAAGCAAGCAAGCAAGCAAGCAAGCAAGCAAGCAGAAATTGCCAAAGGGGTGAACACCGTGTCTGCCATACGGGAAGCCAGATGGCGGTGAAAGGGCAAGGGCAAGGGGCGAGGGGACTCACCAGTATCGACATCGATCCTTTGGGACGTCTGCTTGAGGGGATCCCGACCCCGAGGGGACGAGGTAGTCTGCTGAGAACGAAGGACTTTGACGGACATTATAGACTGTGGGGAGTGAAGATGTAAAAGATGATGGAAAGATAGAAATGTCGTTGAACGAAGAGGACGGCGGAGGGACGCGGGGCGCGGCTTGAGCGGTGGGTGATGGCGACTGATGCTTGCTTGCCTATCTCGGCTCGGGGGTTCGGGACCTGGCTCTACCCTGCATGACACATCTATGTAGCCGTCTGGGTCTTCAGAGTTCAGCATGCATACCGTATCGTCCTCGCTGGGCAGGCGGTGATGGGATGGATGTTTCAGGGACAGTCCGTCCGTCCTTTGGCTTGTGATCCAGCCGGATGTGGTTGTTCTTGAAACTGGGCCATGGCGTGGATCGGTATCGTTCTTGATTCTGTGGGTTGCGTATTGCGCGGAGGTGGCGGGATGTAGGATATGAAATCGGATGGGCGGAGGGGAGGGCCCCGGTAGGCCGAGTTGGATTGGCCGACGAGCGGCGGGACCCGTAACGAACGCAGAAAAGTAGAGCCAAGATGGGTGATCCATGGTATGCATCCTGACCTTTTCTTTTCGACTCCACAAGCATCTATCCTTCGAAATCCACATCCCCCTTCTCCTTCCCCTTCCTGGGGCGGCTGCTCTTCCTCAACGGTCAGGACCCCCGGAAATGAAATTTCGCCAGAGCCGGAAGCGGAAGAGCTACGTACTGGCGGCCGCAGACAAAGTCGCCATGCGAACCTTTCAGCCAGAAAGAGACTCACCCTTCGCCTTCTTGACTGGCGTTCCGGTCCATGAGATAGCCCTGCCGGAGAAGGCAAATTGGTCAGCGGGGCAAGTCATGAATGACAGTTGCATGCATGCCACTTTGGATTACTTCTAACAAGTCACCGTTCTCTTAGAGGTGCTCCTTCAAGAACTTGACGATGAGCTGGTAAGCCTCCACGTAGGCCGCGAGGGTGTCACCACCAGAGAGCTAGATGTATACATTAGCAGCCACTTCGAATGAGGAAGGGGCACTTACATCAGCACGGGCAGCAGCGAAACCGTGCTGCTGGTCGGCGTAGCGCTTGAAAAAGTTCTTGCCGGGGTTCTTGGCCTCGACACCCTTTTCGATGGCGTCGATCTAATCGACATGAGCATGGGTACGAGAAGAGTCAGGGGAATACTTACGACAGACTTGTCTTCACCAGAGGTAGAGAGGATAAGGGCAGGGACGTTGATCTTCTCGGCGTCCTCGGGGGCAGGGAACCTACACTAGATGTCAACAACGCTCTTGTGATCACCACGATCACTCACGTAGGGTGGACAGCAAGGAACACATCAACACCAGGAAGACCCTCAGTAATCACAGCAGCCTTGTAACCCCAGCAAGCACCAAGAATAGCGACCCTGCTGTGGCCAGCAGCTTTCAAAGCAGCGATAGAGTCGGCCAAAGGTTTAGACTGGGTGGGGATAGCAGCGGGGAACTGAGAAATGTATTCCTGTTTCTTGGCTTCGGCGCCGGGGCCAAAGAGTTCGGGAGTAGCGTACTTGCCGACGAGAAAGTCGGGCATGACGACGCGGTAGCCTTGGGAGGCAATGAGGTCGGCACCTGTGCGACTGTCAGCTAGATACGTACATGATGATAAAGGAGTTTTGACCGTACCCTGGAGGATCTGGGGGGAGAAGCCAAAGATATCGTAGGTGTAGAGGACGGCAGCCTTGGCGTCTTCAGGACCAACGACATAGGTCTTGAGGCCAGAGAAGGTAGTGTAGGTACCCTTGGGGGTGTATTCAGCCTGGACGGGAGGGAGGTCGCTGCAGCAAGCTTATGTGGGATATGAGCTTGGCCTGCTGGGCTGTGGAAGACACAGGGAGACTTACACATGGTGAATATATCTGATTAGTCAGATGAAAGTAGATGGGCTGTTGCTGGGGAAAGAGTCAGTGCTCGGACGTTTTGTACTATCAAGTCTTCACTGGAAAGTAGGAGATGTGCTCACGTATACCCGGGCCCAAGGCCCGGGTACTGCGAGGTTGTGCGTGGAAACTGGTCGCTGGTGAAAATGCTGTCGACCAAGCTAAGGCCGGCCTTGTCCGTGGGGCCAGGCGCGCACTCGGGCTATTATTAATCGAGACAGATGGTCAACTGGCCGAGCTCGAGACATCTCCATATGTTCGCCGCTGCACCGCGTGGGTCACTCGTCTCTGGTAGATCATGCTTACAGATGTGTAAATGTGTCCTAACAGGCAGCGTCTACCAACGCATAAACGGCTCAGACATCATACGAGCATAAAGTGAGATGGACGGTGGCGAATGCGCATCGCTACACTTTTTTCTGGGTGGGGAGAAAACAGCTGATAAGACCCTTACTGTGTTACGTGAACAAGGCAAGGAGGGCAACATCATAACCATTCTCATATGTAGCTACTGGATGAATCGCGTACAGCATACAGCATCCACCACATCTCTGACATTGTCATTCTACCAAGGTATCGTCGTGCGCTATGACTTTTACAATGTAGCAACTCAACAAACTCCTGCCATCGAGCAAGTACGTACTTTATGAGACTGAACGTACGCTGGATTAGGATTTCCCTTCGTGATTGAATAATCCTCCCCCTTCTGGACCCGAAACCTCACAGGGTGCAAACACTCATACAAATTCTTCACATGCTGAAAGTACACCCTAAGCGCCAACGCAAATGCAGGCGGATGGTTCTCCACAACGGTGAACGGTACCAGCATATCGAGCTTGCTGTAATAAAAAGGCTCTCTGTTTATCCTGAGATGGGTTCGAGATGGAAGAGGGCTTCGCGAACGTCTGAGGAGGTTGTTTTGATAGATGGGAAGCGCTGGACGACTTGGTACCTACGACTGTGGCAACGAGCACATGAGGGAGCTCTTTGCGAATTCCCGAGGCCGCCGTGGAGGCGTATGTCAAGAGGCCTCGATCTACAGCGGCCTGTTGGCAAAGTTACAAGGTGGGGGCAGTGCCGAAGGTTTACTGATCGTTTGAGGGAAGGATGTGTCCTGGCCTTGGGGTTGATGGAAGAGGGTTTTTCGGGTAAGGTTTGAGGTGATGGAGGACGTCGAATCGTCAGCTGCCAAGAATATGGAGCTGTGGAACCTGTCGCTGAAGGACAGGTAAGGCTTTGCTACTAGGCTATGGTGAGCAGGCGCTAATGGCTTGTATAGGCTGGAGATTCAAAGCCTCTATCGGGAGATACATGCCGTGCGCTGAGAGACCCTTCGATTCTAACGAAACAGATGATGCACAGTACTACAAGAAATCTCAACAATCAATGACCACCCTGACTCGCCCCCATTCTTCCAAACAACATCTCCCCTACCCCACTCCCCACGATCACAGCAACACACCACCAAATATTGAACGTCATCACCACCAACCTATGCCCCCATCAGCTCCGTCTCCACACTATTCCACTGTCAGGAGGAGAAGGAAGAGGAGGAAGAACGTACATCAAGAGATAGTGGATGGTCGTTTGTAAAGCCTGCAGTAGACCCCTCGGAAGATCGACACCCCATCGGAAGGGGCGAGACCACCGATCCTCTCGTCCGGGATCAAGGCCCCTTCGCACAGCTTTCGGCAAATGCGCGTACCCCTCCTCCTCCTTCTTCTTCTTCTCCACCGTCCCCTTCTCCTCCTTCCTCCCTGTGCCTTGCATCTGAGCCAAAGAATACGAAGGCGCAGAAGACCCCGAGCTGGGCTGGGTACCGGCAGTGTAGGGCGTGACCGGCTCGGCGTCGGGATCCTGGTCCTGGTTGACGGGATAGTCTTGGGCGGAGACGGCGTTGTAGGCGGTCTTTTGGATGGAAGGGTTGGAGCTGTGGCGCTGGGAGAGGGTGGAAGGGGATAGGGTGGAGGTGGTTGTGGCGGTGGTCGATGTGGGGAGGGGTCCTGAAGCGGTTGGACGGGCGTAGCCAATTTGACTGGTAATGTATCGTTGTTAGAACAGTAGTCGCCGAAATGATGAGGTCTCATAACGCACCCTTTTCGCCAAGAGACATCACAAGCCCGCCTGAACGCAATCAGATACCGCTCAAAGATAGCCATCATGAATAGCGCGATACAGACGCCGACCGTAGCTCCAGCGGAAGAAGGCATCCACGAGGCGAACCAAAGCACTATCTCTTCCATCAGCATCTGTAATTGCTTGAGGGGGGTGGAATGGGCGTACTGTCAGTTCCTAGGGTACCGTGAAAGTACATCTTCATGGTCATGGTGGAGTTTGAGCTTGTGGACGACACTGAAGGGAAGGTCAGCATCGGGCATCTATATTGTCTTGCGAGCGCCAGTAGCTAGCTTACTATCGTCCATTCCTGACATGTCCATGTCTGTACACAGTCATATCAGTGAGTCATTCAGGAAAGGCGGGGATGTGAAAACTCACTGGGCAATAATAATTATTGTTGAGACTGGCAGATAGATGCAGGGATTCGACGATCAAGCAGTGATCCGTTCAACGTTTCTTGATGGCGTTCTTCTCGTCCAACACCTCGTCTTATAGCTCTGATCGATGGGAAAGCTGTGATCTCGGTTGTCGCTGCGGTATCCTTTCCCCTATGTCAGATATGGCAACAATCTGATGACTTGGATAATTTCCAGGCAACCGACGGCGGACCCCCAGGAGACGTCGCATGCACGTCGCGAGGTACCAGGCGGCCGCCGCCGCCGGCACCGATCAAGAACGAGGCTTTTTGAGATGGAGATGAGGCCTTTATAGAGAGGGGGTCAGGCTGCCTTTATCCGTGATTTTGAGATGGGAATGGTGGCTTCTGTGGCTCTTGACCCGTTGTCGCCATTGGAGAGATGCATCATCTACAACAGCGTGCGCCGAATTGAACTTCTTAAGTTGTACGCGACCAGCGAGTGTAATTGTCGCGTTGTTTGGTTCCACAACGAGGAAGAGGACGCCGAAAATTGACATCTCAGGGTGGTGATTCTGTGTAGCAGTACTCTTATCTCAAGGAATTCAACCTCTTCTTGAACCTTTTCGAAAGATAGTCATTGAGGGGCCCCATCTCCTCCAGACTGAATGCCCCCGTTCCCGCTGACAACTCCAGCCTCACAATCCTCTCATTCGCGACCCCATCCATCCATCGAAATCGTACCCGGCAGCCTTTATCGCCTCGAACGTTCGCTTGCGAGCCGTCATGAACTCGGTGACGGGAGTAGAGCCCCGGGGCTGAGAGTTGAGGGCCTGGACAGGCTGCCACAGGTCGTAGGAGGATCGAGTACAAGAACCTCTGCTCCTCGTCCTCCCCTTCATCCGCTCCCCCGATACTCCTCCCTGCGTGGTCGGTCACCAGCGCTCTGTAATCCTTCGCCTTGCGTTTCTCTGCCGCCACCTTGCGGAAGACGTGTTGGATAAGATCACGTTCGACGAGCCGGGGCTTGACCACAAGCAGATGATGCCTGTCCCGGAAACTCGCCCTGAGGTGATCGTAGATGGTGGAGAAGAGAGTGATGATGTCGTCTCCTCGTGCAACCAGCAACCCGGTGTTACTGGACACGAGATCGAAGCGTGCGATTGGGAAAGCGTGGCAAGCGTAGTGCGCGGTGTCGAAGGTGTCGATGTAATTGCGCGCAGGGCCGGACAGCTCAAGCCTGCCCGTACGTGTTGCAATATAGTTACAACAAGAGCCTCTCCTCATCCAACATAAACCCCCACTCCTTCGGATCACACAGAGTATTTGGGACGTTTTCTTTCTCGCTAAGACCAATCTCTCTTCGTGGAGGAATTCGCAGGATGATACGTGTGACGCTCGGATTCGCTTCTTTACTTTCGAGAGGCAAGGAAGGTGACAGGTGTCGAGCGACTTCGACATTCACAGGCGAGGCGTGGGAAGTCTCAAATAGGCTATCCCCCAGGCCAAGTTCCCCAAGCTCGGTATGGTCTTGATGCTGAAAGACCCCTGGCGTCCCAAAGTCGTACAGAGGCCCACGCTTGACGCCGACTTTCCGGTCTCGAAGTTTGTTCGTAATCTCTTCGAGCTTGGCGTCAGGCCTGGAAACATTGCGGGTAGAGGGGTTGAGAGGCCTGAGGAAGTCGGAGTGGAGCTGATTTTTGTGAAGATCGAACAGGTGTTTCCTGATGTTCTTCTCGGTTTTCCTGCAAGAAGTGGTCAGTACTTGCCATATCATCCGGTAGACCACATACAGGGATTTCCCGCAAATCAAGTCGCGTTGGCTTCCGGCTTGGCTTTCGGCCTCGCTCCGGCGGCGGAGGAATGCTCGCTGGCTTCAACTTGCATAGGACAGGCGTAAGCCCCATCTGCAACGATAGTCAGTATCCAGAATGTGTCAACGTGCTTGCTTACCCTCATCGATCAAAGACTTCAGCCAAGGGTCGCAGCGCAGGTGAGCGGGAGGACATTGGAGATAGCAGAGACGAGACCCTGATGGCAGAGATTATCAGCGATTCGCCCCATCGTCTGTTGAGCTCGCCAACAAAGATACTGCTCACCTTGCCCCTGTCGCTCAGGATCACCGTACCCTCGCTGTCCGGCCCTGCGCGCAATTACTGTACATCGACACCTTCGACACCGCGCACTACGCTTGCCACGCTTTCCCAATCGCACACTTCGGTCTCGTGTCCAGCAAGACCGTCGAGCAGCTCAGCTCCTCCTCTGTACTCGTACCGTCGCCTTGGAACTCTCGGAAGTCGGCAGGGGAAGGTGTCCCCTCGTCCTCCTCCTCATCCTCCTCGGGTGGGTGGAAAAGAGATGTAGAAGCGGTCGATGGGATGGACGGCGAGATACAAAGTAGATTAGTAGATTAGTAGATTTTGGGATGAGGCCGTGCACGGCGGCGTTCTTGCGTGTGTCCAGAGCCAACCCCGTTTGTCGCGCACCTAAAAGCGCTTAGGCACGCTCAAACCGCTCATCCTGGGGATCCTGAAATATCTACGATGACCAGTTCGCTGAGCAGCCTTATTTCGAATGACCGGATACCATACTTACAGCGGGCTCAGGAGGGGCGACTTTGGCCCCTAATGCGCCGCACATTTGTTGGGCGCGACCACATACCTAGTACGTTGAGGCCGGCAGACAAGGCAGGCAATATCGCTTGTACCTTCTCCCCAACCTACATGCATATTGTGGCGTGTCTGAGCTATGCATTGAGCCCCGAAACAGCTCTCTATCTTGAACCATGCATGAGATACAGCTCTTCGCGTGACCGGCTATCTCAGATAATCACTGTGAACCGGTCATCCAAAATAATTCCTCCAGACACAATCATCAGTCTCTTCAAGTGGCCAGTTGTGTTTGCGGTGATGTTATAGAGTTCAGGAATGCACGCATGCGGTTCTCGCTCCTCATCTAGATAGCTTCATATTCATCACTAGCCAGCATACACTTGCCCTACGGAAGCTGATGCTTCGAAAAGAAGTCTACAAGATACGGGCTCGTCAGATTAAAGCTCGCGGTCTGATTCGGCCTCCCCGCCAAATCCAACCCCAACGTACTCGGCCACGCATGCCCCAACCCCTCCACACTCAACGCCCTCACCTCCCCCTTCTCACAATCCCAAACTTCCTCCCACACCCCCTCATGTATCTCTTGAACCTCGGGTTCGGGGTACTGCCCCGGCCACCGCCCGACGCACCCGTTGCGCAGAGCCCACTCGCGCCGCCAGAGTCTGATATCAGGTTCGGGACCGAATGAGCCGCCTTCGGGGGTACGGCCGTGGAAGGGGGTGATGACGTCTTCGACACCGTGGACTTGGAGGATCGGGACGGCGCGGTCTTGTTGACAGCCGTGGAAAGCGTAGACGCCTTGGTAGAGGGCGGGCGAGACGGGGAGGAAGGCGGCGAAGAGGGCGGAAGTGTCGGGGCGGCAAGCGAGGAGGGCTGTAAAGCCGCCACCGTTGGATTTGCCGCAGGCGTAAAGACGGCGGTGATTGATAGTCCAGATGTCGGAGACGACTTTGATCATGTCGTAGACGTATCCAATCTATCAAGCTTATCAGCCCTCTCCTTTATCTCGCCTTCTCATTCCATGTCGGAGAACTCACATCATCAACAGTCTTGTTCTCATAAGGCGCGCCCTTCCAGATATGAGTCATGTTCCAATCCGTATTATTCACCCCTTGAGCATAGACCGTCAAGAACGATTTCCCGGCGATCTTGAGGGTGGGATCGGAGAGCTCGGTGATACGTTGTTGTTTCTCGCTGTATCCTCCGGCTGCCTCTTTATCAGCTCTTTCCCACACGAGCAATGGATAGAGCATGGATACATACCTCCGTGGAAAGAGAACACAACAGGGTGTTCTTCCCCATCTACATAGTCATCAGGGACGTTCAGGAGAAATGTCCGTTCTGTGGACAAGTGGACTTTGACGTTCCCCTTAGGCGGCCAATCACCGTCCTCCAAGACCTCGAGAGTGTACGATGGCTGAGACTGGGGGAGGGAGAGGGGGTGGATGTCGGAAGTAGAGTCTTGGACAACGAGCTGGGCCGAGACGAGCGTGGTGAGGGCGGACAGCGCGCTGAAGAGGATGGGGGAGGGGACCTTCATCGTGGGTCCTTGGTGTTCGGGCTCAGAATGCGGGAGATGATGATGAAAGGGATGATGAAAGCGAAAGAGAGAAAGACGAAGTGAACTGGATGGCGAGGATGGAGAGTTTCGGACATGGCCGATGCGGGGCTGAGCGCTTCGGCCTTCCGTTCGTTCGTGCTGCCCTTTAGCTTCTCGACCTTTGTCCTGTATCTTTGTATACAAGAATGTATGAGATTGGATTGGTACACAAGATAATGCCTGGCAAACACATTGGGCATTTCCAGCATACACAAGACTTTACAAAAACAGCCTCGTATGTGCGCCAGGCCACAGCAGTGAACTTGCTGACACTTCCGCTAATCATGCAACTTGCGCCGAGTGCCTGCTCTTGCCACGTCACGTCATAGGTGTCCATCTTGTTGCTTGGTACAGTATGTAACTTAATGCATAGAAACTCTAATCCGTGTCTACTTCGTCAGACTGCCTCTGCAGCTCCAGATACAAGTCATCAATCACCACGGCAATCAGCCTCGAGAATAAGGCCCACACATCATAATAGTGCCAGCGCTCTGTCACCCCCAAGGTCTCCAGCCCAGCAGTACAGATTTCGTACTCGGCCGGTGTCAGCCACTGCATCTGCCCCTCACGGTAGGCATCTTCGCTCCAGACCTCAAGAATACCGCGGGCCTCATCAGTGAGAGGGATGAGGTGTTGCTCACCGCCAAAGTCTGCAGGTCGTTTCCACACGTCTATCCGCCTGCACCCGGATGGGCCGCGTTTCTCCGGCTGATATCGGACCTTGTGATGATTGTGGATGATGATGAACTTGTTGAGGGAGCTGATGACCAGTGGTACAAAGAGAAACCAAAAAACTCGTCTGAAAGCAGTTAGCTCGCTCAGGCTGATAAGGATTTTGAACAGAGTAATTCACATGTGCGCATCGTTCGTGCTCACAAAACCTCCCTCTTCCCTTCCTTGCGCAATCACCTCCCGGACAGGCTCAACCACATGCTTGTTCAAGCCTTGCCAGCACCGCTTAATCGTGATATCGTGAATGGACGTGAGGTACCGGTGTGGCGTGATCGAGGGCGATACCCCCTGGCCGTACGTTAGTCTGGACATTGTGGAGTAACATTATCAGCACCGCCTATAGTGGACGCTCACCGCGAACCTACCAAAACCACGCGTGCGTCCCCGAGAACTCGTCGGTTTCGTCGCCGCGATCAGTCGCGATCTGGCAAGGGAAGCCTGGAAAGAGTAGCCAGGGAAACATCAGCCTCGTACCATAACGAGCAATGAGGAGGAGACGACTTGCCGCCAACTGTCGGAACCGCCTGCAGAAATACCCAGTGGGCACTCTGAGGACAGCGGTTGTTGGGGAGCAGGCACATGGTGATGATTTGGCCAGAGTAAACATCTTGCCAGCCATAGAAGCAGAAGCCCCAATCGCTGAGCTTGTCATACCCATCGGCAGACCACCGCTCGTTGGCCCCGTTGATGAGGCCGATGGGGCGTTGCGGTATGTTTCTCTGGCCGAGTCTTCCAGCTGTCGCCCTGTCCGCCCCATGCTCGTCGCACCAGCGACGGAAGGTGAATTCCGACCTTACGGCAAAGTCAGCATCAGATAATGTTACGTGCGAGATAACTGCACCCAAATGACCAAGGATATCTATCCTGCTCGAGCCGGGTGTTGATGGCACGCCGATTGGTTATGCCTCGGTCGTACAGGTCCTGGACGAACGCGAGGAGGTCTGGATGGCCAAGGGCTGTGGGGGGAGGAACGTTGGGGGTGAGCAATGGGACAGGATGACAGGCGATGTACTCACGAGCTGCTTGCCATTGGCTGCGGTCTGCCATTGTCGGTGTTAGGAGAGCTGGCGACATTGGAAGAGTTGATGAAAAGTTGGAACCAAAGCGCAAGGGTTATACGGGGGTCACTACTGTGCCTGGGGAGGCTAGCGCTGTGTGGTCCGTTAACGTGCCTGTCCTTGTGTCATCTTGGTCGTATAGAGCTTTCTTATCGTGGTCACTTTCTTCATCTTCATCTCATCTTCTTAGTATTCCTCTTCATAGCTTTTGCTCGTCCCCTCGCCTCACTTTGCCATTGGTTTTTACTTTTCTCACCACAGCCTTTTATCATGACCCGCAGACCCCCCGCCTACTTCCTCCAGGTCTACCTTCGCACCAAAACCAAGGAGGAGCTTCGTGCTGTGCTTTCCGACGCCGGCTGCGGGCTGTCCAGCCAAACAGATAAGGATGGCTTGATCTCTCATATTCTCGAGCATGCTGACACCCCACTCCCGGACTCCTGGGCTGTGGATTTTGCTGGGATTGCCGCTGACACGGGTAGTAGGACCGATGTGGCCCCGGGCCCAGCTCCCGTCACCCCTCCTTCTCCTCCCCTGCCTCCTCCTCCCTCCACTCTTGAACACTCAATGGCGCAACTGCAACAGATGATGACGACATTGGCAACAAAGGTGGACCAGCAACAAGAATACATTGACCAACGATTCCGTGAGCCCATTCCTACCACGTCTACTTCGTCTGTGCCCTTGCCGCCTGCCTTTGTTCCTTCTCTTCCTTCTGCTGTCCATGTTTCTCCTCCTTCTACTGTACCTTCTTCTGCGCCCCCAGCGCTTGCCAACCGTTCCCCGAGTACTCCCCTTCGTGGCGCTGTACCCTCCCCCAAGGTGGATGCGCGGTCCGAGTGGGCCTATATTCCTCCCAGCGTGTTTGACTCTGTGGTGGATGGCTCATTCGAAATCCGGGATCTCTGGATGCTGGATCCCACTCGTCGTCTGGAAATTGACAAGATGGGCAAGGCGGTTACCAGCGGCCGCACCTGGAACAGGTCGGCTGAGCTTTTGCAGAGTACCTCTGCCTTTGCTGTTGCTGAGCAGTCTCGGTCCGCCACCAAGTATCGTTCGATGGACGACATCATTTTGCCGTGGTCGGTTTTTTGCCGTATCCGCGATGTCGTGCAGTCTGGTAGCGGCCACTACCTGTCTGCCCATGTCACGCAACTGTACATAGCCTCTTTTGCTCTTGGTAAAAACTCTCAGGCTGTTCTTCTCTACCACCTTGACGTGTGTCAGAAGCGTCTGAGTCTCGGCGACGATGTCGTTTGGGATGACTGGTGCTCTCTGGACCACGTCGTTCTTGATACTCTTCTTGTCCAAGCTTTAGCTTCTTCTTCTCCTACCCCTTTGGTTTCCCGCCCTTCTTCCATTTCTTCTCCAAGTGCTTCGCGCCTTCAGTCTTTCTGTCTTGACTGGAACCAGGGTGTGAAATGCCGCTTTGATCCTTGTCCTTGGCCTCACATTTGCTCTTCCTGCCTTACAGCCGGGCATCCGTCCCCCGCCTGCGCGTCGGCCTCGGAGGCGGTGGGTGGCACTGCGAAGGGCCACTGAGGGGGGCGCCAGCTCCTATCACCGCAACCTTCGGGGGAGAGGTTGTGGTCGCCTGTCGTCCCCGACATTTCTTCCCCGATTTCTGTTCATAAAGTACGTTACCTGCTCGTCATTCTTCTTGTCTTGCTAATGTTTCTATTTCTTCCTTCCCGGCCCCTTCGGCTGCCCCTTCCTCTTCTTCGGCTCCTTCAGCCCCTTTTTTGTCTTTGCACTACTGCACAGGAGACGTTGAAGGAGTTAACGTGCCTCAAGGTTACTGTCGTACCTCAGGACTCGTCATCTACACCTTGTAATGTCATTGGTTTTTGTAGTCGCCATGCACCACAATGCAGAAAGCATCTGGCCAAAGACACGACGTTTTGGCGGGGGGTTGCAAAAGCACAAATCACATACTTGTATTTCAGAACGTCGTTGTACCTCGACAGCCTTGTTTTGGTCACGTTATGGATCAATTGCGTTCTAGAAAAACATATTCGGTCTTCGGTGGCATAGCCGTTTCGTTGGTGCAGTGGTAGCATGCCCTCTTTGGGGTGATTTTCGAGCTTCTTCTTCTTCTTCTTTGCAGCCTCCTCACGAGTAATCACGCCCAGAATACCCACCACAAACCGCACCTCCGCCGCCGCCAGCCGCCGGGTCGCCTCTCTTCTTCCCATCCCCGACCACACTCGCCGAATCAAAAGTTCGATCAGCGCAAAGCTGCCGTTGGCGCGACGACTGTCCTCCCTCTCGAGCTTGGACATCGCGGACGAGTATATAAGTGTGGCGACCAGCAGGTTGGTTCAGGGAATGACTGATGACAGCCCTTCTTGCTCGCATGCAAGGGCACCGATCTCAGAAGATGGGCATTGTATGACATGAGAGCGGGAGTGTGAATGGATCACATTGCGTCGTTAAAGTAAACCAAGGGAGTACTACGAATTTATGCATTTATTGCACAGTTAATAGTAGCTTCCCAAGTCCTCTCTCTTCACCTTCGCTCGACCTCGGTCTGCCTTAGGCTGCTCGTCCCAAGCCCTAATCCACAGATCGACAATCTCATCTCTGAGCGTCTTGTCTGCTGCCCCTGTCTCGCTTGGACGACTCGCGCTCTTCATTGTAAATAACATTCTGGCGAAACTTATGTGCCATTTCTTGAGTTGACTGTGCTGGGGATTGCTCGCCTTCAGGTGTTGCAAGAGGTGCTTAAAGAGTGTCAGGAAGGGTGGTGCAGACCAAGGCGCGTTGGTTTCCATCGTCTGCACCAACGTCGATGGATGCAGGCCGCCGAAGCTGAAGGTATGGCCTCCGTGCTGCACGTCCTGAATGAGCATTTGAAGCGCGGTGTCGAAGCGCACGATGAAGCTGCCCCGGATCGTTCGAGGACTAATGCGAAACTTGTGAGGGCTTGTGGTATTGAGGAGCTGGACCTGGGATGCGCCTTGCGGTGCAGCTTGAGACGACGCTTGCTCAGTTTGCTGCAGGGTGCTGGCGGCTGGATGGATTGTAGACGATGCCGCTCCGGGAAGTTGCGCGGCGGGGTTGAGGGAGTGTCGAGTGCTACAGAAGATCAGCACGCCGATCGAAGTTAATCGGGGTACAACCACTCACGATATGGAGGTGCAACTGGCGCCCGTTCCTTCCTCCTCAGTTGCCACTGTTCCCGATGGCTGCCCCCTCTCGTCGTCGCCTTCCAGACCACCCTCTTCTTCCATTGATGCCATGGCCGCTGGGGGGTGGGCGACTTGCTACTGCTGTGGGTTGACGACAGTTGGGATCCCCATGAGATCGCCGATGCTAATTCTCTGTCGAGCGGCACTTGGAGAGAGGTGAGCGAAGGCGGCAGGGGGCGGGGTTACTTTGTCGCCCTGAGGGTTGGGGTCGGTAAGGATATGGGGCCAGACAGTGCTACTCGCAGCGCTCTACTCGCTCGTCAGCTTGCACACCCCAGACCTAAGCTTGACAAGATACATACCGCCTCGATGTCGCCCGAGAGAGCAAGTTGCTGCTGATGAGGATGGATGGGGCTTGAGGTAGTCAAACTCGCACTGCCCTGGGCGGCGCTCTGTATGGTCGTAAGTTGAATGACTTCTACACGCTATCGGTACAGCTCTCTCAAAGACTCACGCCGGAATAGAGACGCTGGTCTTGGGGGATGGGGTTTTTGCTCATGTTTGTGTAAGTCTGTCGTCAGTGAAGGTGTTGAAAAGAAAAGCCAAACACGGCAAGTCACACAACACATCACCATCAAGAACCAGCGGCGCAGGCCGGCAGTTGTTGGGAAAAACAGGAGCGCACAGTATGCACGCTGTATCCACCTAAGGTACAGCTCATACACACCCGGTCTTCGGTGGCATAGCCGTTTCGTTGGTGCAGTGGTAGCATGCCCTCTTAGGGTGATTTTCGAGTCGCTTTGGGGGTGGTCCTCGGTTCAATCCCGGGACGAGACCATCTTTTTGCTTTTTTTTGCGAAGTTTGGTTCCATTGCAAACTCGTTCCGCTTTCCGCTTCTCCGGTTGCATACGGATATTCTTCATTCATCACTGCACCACTTCTTATTACCATTCTGCTATGCGTGGCGAAACCTGCCTTCAAGACAACCCCGATGACTTCTCTCTTCTTCCTGTATACGACATCACATCCCTCTCCCTTCTCCCCGCCGAGCTCCAGAATCTTGTATTCTCTTTCTTGGCAGCGGACCCCTGCCCTAAGAACACTATAGCCCTGGCCCGACTATCAAAATTCCATTATTCAGACATTATCTTTCGCTTGTATAAGTGCCTCGTGGTAACCGACAAAATCGTTAGCAGGGTATTTGAGGGTCTTTTGGCCGAGGCAAATCGCTCCGAACCTCGAGCGGAAGAACGCCGCTTGCCCAGTAAGAGAGATCTGCTCGAAATCTGCCAGTCACTGGTTATCACATCTCTGTCTGCTATGAAAGCCTTGAAGGGCGCGATCGCCTCATGGAACATGGCTATCCATCAGCGCCGGCAGCAGGAAGGCGTTGTGCCCGATAGACTCGAGGGTCTTTTCAACCAAGTGGTACATCTGGGGTTTGAGTCTCCCTGTATTGAGGCCATATGTCGAGAAGATGAGACTCACCATGGCGATGAACATGCCTGGCCCCTCAAGAACCTTTCCCATGTCTGCTTCCGTCTACCACATCCGATGCCTGAAGATGTGTCCGACACTATAGAGACTTTTCAACGGTACTGCCCGCGCTTCCGTGTGCTACGCCTACACAATTGCAAGTCCGGGGATTATATTATTCCAGGCTTGGGCCACGGGCTCGGCGGTGATAAGGTCTTTTTTGACATGCTACCCTTGGAGGTCGGGGAGGGTGCGAATAATGATATACATTTGCTGCTGGCGCGTCAAGTGTGTTTCATAGTCGATTATTGCGAGAAGTATATGGAACTTTGGTGGACTTGGAAGAAAATTGACGTGCCCGGGTATGTCTCATTGCAGTAAAGATCTTAGCTAGCCTGCTGACGTCGACTACAGAGAATCAAGAGTTGGCCGACCAGAGATAATATTCACTAACTTGCGTACCATTACCTCTTCTGATGGCGCTGTCGTTTCCTCATTCTCCTCGCCCGATACCAAGCAGGGGATCCTCGAAGACGTCCAAAAGGAAATTAGATGACGGGTACGTGAGGCAATGTTGTTAGAAGTCCCGCAAGAATCGTGGACGGTGGATCTGATACATGTACGAGGCTGGGAATCGTGCGAATATTGTCCGATGGTTCAACACCGGTGGGGCAAAGGACAGTAGAAGCTGCCGAGCGAAGAGAGGGCGGGGAGAGGTTGAGTACAGTGAAGAGGAGAGAGTTTGTTGGCCGGCGGGGATTCATGCGAGGAATTTATCAGCAGACCAAGTGTATGCATATGTCAACGTCACCGACACCATCTATCTGAACATATACTTTGCCTGTTTACTGCTTAGCAGCAGCGACAGCCTCCTCAGCCTTTGCCTTGGGCCCAGGCTTACCCCAAGATCCCTTCGCAGCCCCATCAACCTTGGGTTTGTCCACCGCCGGCGTCGCCTTCAAAGCCTCTACTACAGGCTTTTATTGGACGACGAAGATATACATGGCGGACGGAAAGCCCATCACCTGCAAGGACTGCTTGAAAGCTGGGGGTGATAGAGGAGCCAACGCGGGATTGTGCAAAGGAAGAACGAGTGATTGCAAGTTTGCGTCAATTGACAGTGGGAGTGGTGAGTAGATCGAGTGTTGTTCGCGCTCCCAGACAGTGTCTATCGCGCCTGGCAGATCTCAGAGTCGTCCCGCCACACCCACCCACCCCAAGCACCTCGCGCTACTCGTACATCTTCTATCGTCCCCTCGAGACTTGCCCAAACGTCTACAGCGAAGAAGAGTATGATGATCAAGAGCCTGGAGAAGGCGGTGAGGGAGGTAGGGGATGGAGATGGGCTGGAGTGGGGGCTGGACGAAGACTCTGATGACGGTGGGAGGATGTGGAGGGATAGTAGTGTTTCTGCATATTTTTCTGGATTCCTTGCAGCTGGTGTCTACATACCACAAGCAAAGTGTACACTTCCAACATGTATAAAGTGATATGCTACTACTCTTGTGATCGATGAAGTTTATGATTACAGCTCGTTCTCCACCCCGCTCCTGATGAACCCGTGTTGACTGTGTGTTCATACTTGCAAGTAACAGCATTCTACTACATTCCATACAGTGGAAATACCTGAAGCACTCAACGCTCCTCGTCCGCGCAAACCATCCACCAAACCTTCTCCATCTCCGCCTCCGCGTCGTAGTCCAGGTTCCTTGCTTGGGCCTCGGAAATAGATATCGCGCCCTCGAAATCGATGATTCGTGGTTTATTATTGACCGGATGACAAAGGATATGCCGGGCGTTGACGTCGACGTGCAACATCCCTTGTTTGTGCAGCCTCTCGTAACTTTCTATGATCTGCTGTCTGCAACGGGTAGTCAGGCCAAGTATCGGAAGCCTGGGTCAGGGTCAAACCACGTACCGAACATCAGATGACAAATTGGTCGGGAACGTCTCCACCAAGTCGTCATAGTATGACCTAAGATCAAAATGATCAGCGAATTTCCCAAGTCAAGTGAGGGAATAAGCAAGCAGACTCACTTGTATTCAAGCTCGTCAGACTGGACAAAGGGCATCCCACAGTCTTCCAACATGACACATTCCAAGCGCGACAATTTGTCATTGGGCCTCTGCCACCAGCCCGTCCATCGTCCGTACAATCGGGGGACGATCTCCCCTTGGACCGCTTGTAAGCGGTTGAACGCGTCGAGCTCGATCGTGATCGCTTCGGCCGCCGCCGAGGGGGTTTCGTATTTGTACGCGTCACCCAGCGTGAACATGTACATATTACAGATCTTCGCCACAACGATCTGTGACGGTGATGAGCCAGAGGAAAGTTTGACGCGGTAGGCGTCCCATAATCTCCCGGAACCTAGATAATCGTGCATTTCAACCAACAAGTCCGGGCGTGACAAGAGGGACAGAACGGTCTCCTGGTCGGTCTTGCGCCGTAGCTCGTTCAAGTCCTCGGGCTCCTGCCTGATTGATTTCTTGTCTCCCGTGGTAGAGACAACGGAGCCCACGAACACGGTGGTCGTAGGAGACGTGGGACCAATGGGAGATAAAGGTGGTGTGCCCGACTTGTCGGTCATGAGAGAAGGGATGGACTGAGAGTTGGAAAAAGCCGAGTTATCACTGACATCCGACAAGCGGGTCTGGCACCGAGACACCTGGATGCGGACTGTTGGATCTTCTTCCCAGCGGAAATTCGACATGCCGTTCATGTACAGATGATGGGTCGTGTCGATGCTCTGGAACGATTGCAAATCTGCAGCAACGGCCGGATAGGGAATCATCTTGAAGGCTGTGCCACCGGTAGCCGTAGAACCAGACTGGGACGTATCAGTCGTGGTCGTCGTCAACAAACCCGTCGTCCGGCCTTGTCGCGGTGGAACCTTGCTGGTGGGGCCAGTCGCACTTGTCTTCTTCACATCACCCAGACGCTCCTTCTCTCCATCCATCCACATTGACGTAGTGCGCTTGCCGACCGGCAAAACCAAACCGGCCACAAGCACAGCAAAGAGGCTATGCTGCGCGACCGTCTCCCAAGGCTTGTCCTCCAACAGCATCTGGACAGCCGCGTTCCCATCCGTCTCGTCTTGTATACCGGACAAGATGAGGTTGAGCCCGGCCTTGGACAGGATGTCCTGATTGGCAGTGGCGGGATCGCGAAAGACGATGCTCAAGACGTGAGCGGTGTTGCGGTCCATGAGCTGGAAAGTGACGCTGAAGTCGTGGACGGCCAAGTTGATATATTCACATCGGTTCACGTGGAACTCTTGCGCCAATTACATCCCTTGTAATCAGCCTCGCAAACATGCGAAAAGCGAGGGAAGGCATGAGACTGACCTGAGCGAGAATGGCAATGATAGCAGCAGACAACATTCCCTCTACTTCTTCCAATACTTTGACGGACTTCTTGCCGTTCGAGGGGTCGACCTTGACATCGATCTGGCCGTGCAAGAGGACGTAGAAGAGCACAAACAGGTCCCTGAGCGTAATGTCGAACTTGCGTTCGATGCCGAGCTTGGTCGAGATGGTCACTTGGAACTTCAACTTCTCCGCGTCCCCATCCGGATCAGGCCGAGCAGCGAGGTCCAGGACGCCAGAAACCACCGGCGGGGCGTACTGATAGATACGACTCTCTAGCTGAGACGAAGTCGACAAGTGAGCATCCGCGAGACTGATGAGGTGTTTGGCGTAGATGTTGGCCGCTTCATATTCGCCCGAGAACGCCAACGCTGTCGACCCTTCTTCCTTCCCGCCATGGCGTACCAGCCGAACGACATCGCTCCCTTCTTTCTTGTCCCGCTGCTCATAAGTGGCAAACCCGAGCGAGGGGTCGCCCTCCTCAAAACGCTTCAACACCCCGGGAAGGAAGACCGAGTGCCTGTTTTCGAGGTGGAAGAGGAACGGAACGAGCTCGTGGAGCGCCAGCGAATCGTCCACCCCCAAAGTAGTGAGGTCGTTGACGACCTTTCTCAGGCCTCGGACCACTCGAGGGACAACCTCGGCATTATATCGAAATCTGACGTGCGGTTCATCAGCTATCACTCGTCGAAGAAAAGCGAAAGTCCCTCACGTGAAGACTTTGAGGATTTCCCAAAAGTGCTTGGCGTTACTCGAGTCGGGCCCGCGTTGACCGCTCGAGTCGGTCCGTCTAGCCGAGGCGTGGAGGGTTTTGTTCTTTTCAACAGACGGATGCTCGGGCCTTGGCCGCTTCGGGGCAGGAAGAGAAGTCGATGGGCCCGCATTGGCAAAGGGGAGGGCCCTGTTTTGCTGTAGAGACGTATGCTCGAGCCTCGGCCGCTTCGGGGCAGGAAGAGAAGCCGATGGACCCGCTTCGGCAGGCCGCTTGCCCGTCGTCGACGGATCGCTCGTCACTTCCTGATCGTCGGTGGTTCGATCCGCCGAATCTTCCAAGTCGAGAGATACATGTCGATTGACCTGCGTGAGATCGGTTTCTTCCGCCTCCTTCTCCGTGTTGTAGAAATGCCTGGGACCGAAGGTGACGCGCTCGAGGGCGTTGGCGATACTAGTGGGGATGCAGGCGGGGGGGATGGTGGATGAGCGATAGAGCGGAGGATCAGAGGAGGGCAGGAAGGAGGAGAGGCGCGTGTGTTTGTCCATCCTGAGTGTATATGGATGAGATGAGATGAGAGAGAAGGAAGAAAGAAGAGATGTGAGACGAAAGGTCCCCCCGAAAGAGGCGGCCCACCCCCGCCATGCATGGTCCCGGTAGCCTAATCTGGCTCGCCATGCATGGTCCCGGGCCGCAGCCTACTCCGGCTCTAACCCTTGAACTCTCTCTTGTCCAAGATCACTCGAGAACAACAAGAATTTCCTCCAGGTGACGGATTCACATCGGGGGCTTTTGCGTCATGCCTGTGTTTTTATCGTTGTGTTCAGATGCAGAGGAGAGAGGTGTCGGTACGTTTCAACTCTTATTGTTCCCATTTCCTTATTTTTTCTTTGCACCTTGTATTTTTAGACGTATGTATTCTTGTTTCGTGTCTTTCAAAACATGACACCGATACTCACCGGTGACACTGATACATGCATAGGTCAATATACTTGTACGCCAACAAAGATGCAACAAATACCCAAAATCGTCCCAAACACCTCACTCAAACCCTGGCGTCCCGGCCCTACTCATGCTCCTCTGCGCCAACCCCAACTCATTCAGCCCGACCCTGCTCGAGTTCCTACTCAGCATCCCCGCCAGCCCGTCCCTCGCTCCAGTCTGCAAGCTCCCATGATTCGCCGTCGGCGTCAATACGCCCGCCGCTGGAGGGCTCAGAGGATCCGACGAGCCCGATGAAGTCGCAGCAGTGGGGGTAGACAATAGCATTGACGAAGGTGGATCGTTCCACCCGCCCGAAGGAGATGGTGCTGGTTGTGGGATGTGGTAACTATTCTGCCGGCTCTTTAACGGGCGCCCGTAGTTGAGTGTCGATCGGGACATTGAGGGCGGCGAGCTGCCGACACTTGGGACGGGGGATATGCTACTAGCCGAGGCGACCCCAGACATGGTATCAGGTGTCAAGCTGTTTCTCTCCCTCCCTCCTATGGGCGCTGCAGCCATAAGGCCGTTGGTGTACATGGTCTGATGAGCCGGCACAAAGAAGCCCATCGACGTGCGCGGGGATGAAGGTGCAGAGTATGCGGGAGAGGGTATGAATTGTGACAAGTTGGCTGATGATGGCCGAGACCGAGGTTGGCTGAGGCCGTAAGAGGATTGATGCTGTGGGGGAGACAGGAAGGGAATGTGTTTGAAGAGGAGGTTGGAGAAACGTCGGGTGTAGAGACGTAGTCTGCCCGGGCCACTGATTAAGCGTTTCCCGGCTGGGAGCATAGGCTCGATCGGGCCATCTTCCACACTATATTCGGGCTGCGCCCAGAGCGAGAAAGGCCACATCCTTGTCGTATTCGAAGATGACCCATAAGGATCCGATATGCTCGGTTTTCTCCTTCGCCCTGGCGTCGAGGTATACCTCTTCTTACGCCCAAATGCACAAGCCAGCAGAACGAACGCCAAGAAAGCATACGCCCATACCACCTGTATTCCCATATCCTCCAAGCGATCTTCCAGCTTTGCCGGAAGTCCCAGCCCAAGCTTCTTCGTCCACGCCCCTTCCCTCAACGTATCCCTCGGCTGAACGGCCTTGCTCGCTTCAATCACCATTTTGCCGAGCGTCCACGAGATCGCCGTCTCCCCAATTTCGTCAACACTCTGGAAATGGTGCTTGCCGTTCCCAGCTCCTTCCAGGAGACCTTTTTCGCGAGCGCGCCGTTCGGCTTCGGCATTGGTGTCTCCGACGTCCCCGCCGGTGAGGGTGTCGTTGCCGCCGACGTCAAAGAGACGGGGGATGCCGATACCTTCGTGGAGGACGTTGGATATCCAGGCGCCTTTGAAACATTGCATTTCGAGTCTTGTCGGGTCCAACTGTCGATTTATCAGTATTAGATCAAGCTAGAAGAGAGTCAAGACTCACGTCAACGCCCTTGAATCGGTCTTCCTCCATCTCCTCAATCTCTCCCCATTGTTTCCCACAAAACTCACTCATCCCCTTCTCCCACTCGCCCCAATCCCATACGCCTCCCACCCCGAGGATGTGCTCCATAGTATACCAATACTCGCTAATCCCGATAAACCCTCGCTGATCATGTCGTTCAAAGTCGATACGCGGGGTGGGTTGGCCCGCGAAAAGGCAGTGCTCTGTAGGACATGGAGTGGAGTGTTCGAGTAGAGGGACGAGAGATTCGAGACACTGGGAGAAGGAGCCGGTGCCTATCAGACCGGGAAGGTCGGGAGACGTTGATGGTGTTTGGAGGTTTGAAGGAAGGCAGGGATCAGGTAAGGGGGTGGAGAGGTCTTTCCCAGTCGGGTTTGGGTGGGCTTGGGCCCAAGACTCGAGAAGGGCAGTAGTGTACCGTTCTCGAGCTCTGTTGGTTCCGAAACCGAGCCAACTGGCGACAAAGACGGGCCACTCGACCTCTTCCCCACTCAACAGCTTCAGTCCCACCGTCCGCAGATCTTCCACCGGGAACCCGGAGCTTTCCAGCTCGCTGGGGGAGGGCGAAAATGCCAGTTGGGTGGATGCGCCGCCCATGTCGAGGAAACCGAATGTAGGAGAATGGTGGTTGACGTCAACGGGTGTAACCGAAGACGAGGAGGAATCGGGTGGTGGGTCGGCGAGAGGAGCGAGGGGCAAGAGGTTGTCGGATGACGAAGAAAGCGTTGGGGCGTGGCCGAAACCATCCATGAGATAGTTGACAGCCACCCATCCCCACATACCCTCCTCTTCGCCCGATATCACCCTCACGCTTTCTCCACAAGGCCCAGCGTCCGATGGCCCATCCACTTGGAATGGGTAAGAGTCGCGGAGGTTGTCGCAAGTCGCTTTGAGGACGGCATCTCGCCGTTCTTGGGGTATCAGGCGCATTCCGGCGGTTGCGAGGAGGTATATCGGGGTGTTGGCGTGGGCCGAGGGAGGGATATGTTGGAGTGCGTGTGAGAGGAGGGGGGCGAGGTACTCTATGATATCATCTGGGTTTACAGTAGATATACCTGTTCACCGTCAGCATGGCTCTCATGGGGCAGAACCCGACATACCAGGCTCAACCCTCTTCACCCAATCGTCTCCTTCCACCCCTTTACCGACCCTAACCAGGCGCCTCAAAGCCTTCTCCTCCATTTCCCTTTCTTTCCCCTTGCCCTTTCCAATCCGATACCCATCTTCACCACCCCACCACCATCTCCCTTTACTCTTCTTCCCCTTGCCCTCCAATAATTGCGCCTCTTGTACTTCCCGCAAGATCTCGGCGCGTTCGAGGTCGGGGTCGCGCCAGGAGTATATCTGCAGCCTCGAGCCGGAAGAACCAGCGTCTATCACTAGGGCGTAGTGGGTAGTGAGGGGGGATGTCGAGGGGGGCATGTTGCGTTTGCGTTAGACTTTTAGGGGATGGCGCTCAAGTCGCTACGAGCGTGATCAGTACACGTCCAGATTACCTTTTGTCGCATGCTCACGTTCTGGTCTCATCCAGCCTCTCGGAGGTTTCTATTCCTACAAGTGGTTAGCATTCCGCACGCCGTTGCCAGGCCATCATGACGCCTACCTGGTTTCGCGAGTGGATCTTTGTTCAAAGCTCTTTCCGCCCTCGTTTTTTCTTCGCTCTTCCTCTAGCAGAGTATCGTTCTCAATAGTGCTGACTGACGACCCGCTTCTAGTAGCGTTTGATCTTTACAATAGAACCCTTAACGTGCCAAAGAGCAAGACGTGGCAATGGGCCCCTCCAGCGCGACGATTTACGCTCTGCCTTCTTTTCCGATGATTTTGTCGGGGTCGATGTACGCGTTCCTACGCCACGAGTGTTGCTGATGCTATGGCTGTCGTTGTCGATGCTTGTATACAGGAAGATGTGCGAAGCTCGGAGATGTTCGCAAGAGGATGAAAAAAGACGCGCCGAGAAAAGCAAAACAAGATCTCTCGCGGAGTGCGCGGAAAGCCGTCCATAACCAGGCTGCATCGCAAACATCGTCGACTTCGAGTATGTACCGTACCAGGGTTGGGGCTTTCCGCATTTCCGCATAGATGGTGGTATCACGAGACCCTTGTATACATCAGCTGTCTTTCCGGCGTTTCCTTTGAGAAGGTATGGGACTCTGGGCCATGCATTCGCTGTCACAGGCTAAAAGCGGGGAAGGCCGCCGGTAGATCTCGTTGATACGGAGGATACACAGCTGTCTTCTCGTCGACAGATCCTCGGCCGAGTTGTCAATGATCGGCATGATCTGAATAGTTTACTGTGACCATAGTCCATGACCCCATGTAAAACAGAGTCATTCGTCACCAAAATCGCGTCAAGGCCATGAATATACAAAATCAGCTCTACTTATACAACATGCTTTTGTACCAGTACAAATTCCTTTCCCCTGATGATCTTCTCCTTAGAACCTGCCCGCCTCATATCCTCTTCTTGCTCTTCGACCCAGTCACCACCCCCGCCTTCGGTCTCCCACTCTTATCCGCAAACATCGACAGTATACTCTGCTGCGCGCTCGTCTTGTTGACCGCTTTGGTCGTCGTCGTTGATCCTCTCGCTTTCTCCTTGCCTGATAAGGAGGAAGGGTTTGAGCTGGGGATGGAATCGGTACTGGGTTGAAGGGATCGGGAGGACAGTGGGAGTCGGGCTGTTTTATGGGAGGCGGGACGATGCTCAGATCGGGAAGGAAGGGTCGATTTTGAAGATGCCGTATCCTCATACTCATCCAACAGATACGTTCTCCCCTTCCCCTTCCCTTTCCCGTTATCCGCCTTCTTCGGCGGACTCGGCGACTCATCCACCCCATCCCAGGGCGATACATTCTCGCGCACCGGCGGAGACGACGGTGGTACCAGCACATTCGTATTGGGAGGAGGCCGGGATTGGCTCGGTAAAGAAGCTTGGACGGGACGAGCGGGGGTAGCACGAAGATCTTTGTTTCTCACGAATGGGTTGGATGAAGATGATGCCCTTGGAAGTGGCGGGGAAGAGCTTGGCAGGGTTTCTGGTACGCGAAAAGAAGGGGATGATGGCGCGAGCGAAGCTTCTGGTAGACCCGTGAGTGAGAAGGAGTTGTTTCTCTTCCGCTTCAAGGAGAGATCGGAAATGTCGTCTCCATTCTCGCCGGCCCCGAAATATTTACTCTTCTTCTCCTTCTTACCCGCAAACAACTCGGACGAAAAGGTCTTTGCTGTAGCGCTCCGCTGCGGTGGCACGCTTTGCACCTCTCGCGAAAAGGAATCGTGGAACGACGGCATGTCTATCATCAAAGACGACTCGTCCGCTGTTCGGTGGTTGCTCGAGACCCTCCTAGGCGGAGGGGCGGGGCGAATATTGGAAGGAGCGGTATCAGGTGGCGGGACCCACATGACTGATGAATCGCCTTCAGCCCAGGAGAGGTCGTGTGTAGCTGGATCGGGACGGGATGCTAGTTTAGCTTTGAGGGCGGTGATCTCTTCGGCGAGAGTGGTGTTTTCGCTTTTGTATTCGTTGCTCTTCTTTTCCAGCTTTTCGTACTATTCACCGGATCAGTGTTTGGAATATAAAGAAAAGAGGCGACGCACTTTGTCCATCCACCGTTTGAGCTGCTTCCTCTTGTCCCCTTCTGATTCCTCAGCATCTTCTTTGTCTTTTATGTTCCGTTTCATCTGACTGACATTGATCAGCCGTAAGCAAGTTCGCAAAATCATTGAGACTCACGCCTCCAACCTCTCCACCTTCTTCCTCATCTCATTCGTCCTCTCCATCGCCAACTTGCCACTCGCATTCTTCTCCGCCATCGCCCTCCCCAACTCTGCCTTCACCTGATCAACCCTCTCCATCTGCTCCTCCACCAGCTTTACAGCCTTCTCCTGCTCTTCTCGTCTTGCGATGCGTACTTCTGTTATGAGCTTCTGATTCATCTCGGTTTGGATACGCCGCATGGTGAGGTGGGCAGAGTCGAGTTGGGCGCGGAGGGCCGTGTTTTCGTCGCGGAGTTGGGGGGTGAGGGGGTAGTCTGTTATGGTACTGCGAAGGTTGTTGATAGATGCTATGAGTCCGCCCACATGGGTCTGCTTTCCATCAGCCACGCGCCAAAGCCTGGTGAGAGATACTCACCCTGACGGCAGATATAGACTTTGCCGAAACCTCCAAATCCTTCTTCAACCCCTCCACCCGTTCCACACCTCGTTCAAGCTGACTTCTCGTACTCTCCGGCCCAAGCTCATCAATCTCGCTCTTCATCCCCTTCGCCCTCCTCGCCATCCCCATCAACCCTTCATCAACAGGCTCCGCCTTCACAGGGGATGACCTAACCTGACTACTCCCCTGTTCATCATCAAACACAGGATACAGTCGGTGTATCAGGGGCTTCCCAGTCTCCTCGTCGGCGTAGATCTCGCTCCTGCATTGGGGACAGGTCGCGACGGCTTCGTCGCGGTGGTCGATCTGTTTGTTGGCGAGCTGGGCGTCGGCGGACAGTTCGATCCAGCGGAGCATACAGTGTTCGTGGATCACATGACCTATAGGGGCGTTAGTGGTGGAAGGTGAGGGGGGAAGGAGAGATCACGTACCGCACTCGGTCGCGACGGCAGCTCTGGGCTCGTTCACATCGTCGAGGTCGCCGAAGATGGAAGCAAAGCAGACAGAGCACCTGGCATCCTGGGCACGTCGGCCCATGGTATCGTGTTGATTTTTGGCGTAATCCCAGCGGTGAGTATAGATGAATGAACTGACGGCGCGAGAAAGACGCGTTTATGACTTTTGACGCGTCGGGGACTCGCGCGCCTGGCCGAAATATGTAGGCATGCGACGATGATTGTGATGGTGTTGGATCAGCGCAAAGACGTTGCGGCTTGGTTCGTCTTCTTGTGTATTTCAGAGTATGTTATCACGTTGCCTGTACCGTATGTATATAGCTCTATGATATGTAAATGAATAGTTGCAGCGGCATGCATGGCGACAGAATCAGTTGATGGTACATTTACGTAAGCGAGTCATGGCCGCGGTGGAGGTCTGTTCGCGTCGAACGGGCCATGGACTAACATTCTCACTTCCAAATACATCCATTTCAAAATAATCCAGTTCAAAATATCCCCCATAGGGTCAACAAGTGCCGCTGAGATCACGACTTGCCGCCAATAGTACAAACCAGCTCGCCCACACGCTAGGACAGACTCAAGCCGCGTGTCGATCCTCTCGTCGAGACATGCTTGGGCGACTCGTATACGACCCTACTTGTCTCTCCCTTATTCTCCCCTGAAGGAATAATCGCCTCTTCCATTCCGGCTTTGTAATCTCGGACCCAGGGTTCGAAAGCACGATAGGATGGTATACGCCCCTCAAAGACGCCATCTAATGGCCTCCGTACGTCCCTCCTCCATATCAGCCTTATCAAGCTAAATCCCCTTCTACAGATGTGCGGTACAGCCCTCCCCCTCGCACTCTTATCCCATCTACTCCACCCTTCTCTGATCATCCTCGGCTTCCGCTTCCTGTGCCATTTCCAAATACAAGTCATCTCCCTCGTACCAACCAAAGGAAGAAGTCTAAGATGGCTAGTCGGGATGATGACGGGGGGTACGATAGTGGTGCTGCTTGTGAGGTGGTTAGAGTATGGAGGGGAAGGTATGGGCATGGGTATCATGTTGGATTTCATTGGGATCGGTGAGTTCCTCCTTGGTGGAAAGGTGGTGTGGCGGCTGACTGAATTTGGGGTCAGACGAACAGCCGAGTCTATTACATCTCATCCTACTCGACCTGACTATATACATCCTTCATTTCCTCGCACTCTTCATCGCATACCTCAATAACCTTCCGCTCACTATCGATGTACGGAAGGTATTTCCCTTTGACGATATCCTCCTGCCGCCTGCGCCTACGCCTGTTTCATCGTCGAATGAACGGGGAGAAATCGTCTTTGACGAGGACGAGGAAGAAGAGGGGGGAGAGGGAGAGGGGGCGGAACAGAGTGGAGCTCGGAGAAGAAGAGGGAAAGGGGCAAAGTATAGTCGGGTTGGGGACGGGAATGAAGAAGAAGAAGAGGTGTGGCTTGATGATGCCATTCCACCGACGTCTGGTATGTCCTCTTCTCTCTTCAATACATTATTTCCTCTTCTTGTTCCTTCGGTCTTTTTCTTCCATATCCCTACCATCTGGGACAACAATTTGAACTCATCACTGACGCCCAATACAGCACTCCTCCCAACAATCCTCGAACCACCCCTCATCGCCTCCCTCCCCTTCCTGCACATACTCCAAACCATCTGGCGATTACCAAGTCCGAAAGTAGAACGCTCCTTTGAGGGCGGGACGCCTGCGCATACGCCGGGGGGGTCGCCTAGTGCGGGTGGGCGGGGCAGAGAAGCGGTGGATGGGTTTCTAGAGGAGGGCGGTTCTGGTTCGCATGGGGGGAATGATGGGGTACGGCAAGGAGATAGTGGGGGCGGTACGGGTGAAATGGATGAGAGAACGAATGGGCGGGAGGGATGGTCCGGATCATCTGGAGCATCTGGGGCATCTGGAGGGAGCGGGAATGAGCGGAGGGATAGGGAAGGCGTGGGTCGTATCCCGGGAGACTATTGGGTCAGTCGGGATTGGTAGCATTTGCCTCTTGTGTGAATGGGATTCATGCATCATTTGTAGGTTAGTCCTCTCCATATATGCTGATATGTGTGTTCACTCTCCATATGTGGCGAGGTCTCACGTTCAATGATGGGCCCTCAGGCGCAAGGATGACTCGGGCGCCTGGCACACCTGATGTTCGATGTTCAGCCCGCACAAAGAACAGACATACCGTCATACAAGCATAAGTCAAGGTGGATCATTGATCATCGGGAGGGTTCTGATGGTGCCAAGTATCATCACCCCTCGACGACGGCCTGTTCACGGCGGTCAGCAGGATGACCCCTACGCGCTTTCAACGACTTCCAGCGGTACCGATGTGAGAGATGCCCGTGTAGCTGGGAAGAACCAAGAAGGTTGAAATCAAGAACAAACAATAAACACAGCACAGTCTGAACGAGTGACAGTCGTTCAAGTCATGGCAGCCTCATGCATAGGGTCTAGATGTATATTGTTTGCCTAAAATATATCCGGTCTTCGGTGGCATAGCCGTTTCGTTGGTGCAGTGGTAGCATGCCCTCTTAGGGTGATTTTCGAGTCGCTTTGGGGGTGGTCCTCGGTTCAATCCCGGGACGAGACCTTCTTTTTGCTTTTTGTTTTGTCAGCACTCAGTCAGCTTTTTCTACCTTGGTGAGCGGTCCATGATGCAAGGTCACACAGTGTAAGCAGTCGTCTCCACACAGTCGTACTGCCGCATACTGTACGAGTACTCTGTGCTGCTCACTGAGGTGATTGCTTTGTTCGGTTCTTCCACGTCATGACTTGTTTTTTCAAAGCCACATCATGGTTCGGCCTTTACTGTTGCTTTACTGACGATCCCTGTAGGTTGCCGTAGCATAGATCTTCCCTCTTTGCTATCAGTTCAATCCAGAACCCACCAAAATGCCCAGCGTTGTGCTCCCCCTCGTCCAAACACCCCCTTTCTCTATCATCGCCCTCGCCTACCTTCAGGGCATTCCCGTCTCTTGGGATACTACCTCTGGCGAGACTGGCCAAGCTTCTTACGGCGAGGTCAAGGGCGCCGAAGCTGTCCGTGCCGAGCTTGAAAAGGGAGTTGACGGCAAGGAAATTCCCCTCCCTCCTTTGCCCACTCTTTTGAGCTCCACCAGTACTTTCCAGGATGTCACCGCCGTCCTCGATGCGCTCGATGATTACCTTGCCTATAGGTGAGTGTCCCCTGGTCGGGTGCATGCACTGCAAGCTCAATGCTGACAAGTTATGCAGGACCTACTTTGCCGGCCCTAAGTTTGGTTTCGGTGACGCCACCATCTGGGGAACCATCCGAGGTAACAACTCTGCCATCGGCTCCATCAAGAAGCCCGGACGCCCTCACCTCCAGCGATGGTTCACCCACGTCGAGACTCTCGACGTTCCTCAGCAATCTTTGAAGACTTTCAGTCAGGCGAAGAGTGAGCAGGAGAAGGGCAAGAAGACCAAGAGGTTGGAGAGTGTCGATGTCGTTTTGCCCAATGCCGTCAAGGGGAAGGTTGTGGTCCGATTCGGTAAGCTCAGAACACCCTGGGGATGTACGTATGCGGGAATTGATGTGTGGTATAGCTCCCGAGCCCTCTGGTTATCTGCACATTGGCCACTTGAAGGCTGCTATTCTTAACCGATACCTCGCCGACCAGTACCAGGGCAAGTTCATCCTTCGTTTCGACGACACCAACCCCCTCAAGGAGGAGGTGAGTCATCATTCTCGACCCATCAGCTTCCCAGCTAAGATTATCTCCAGGGTGAATTCGAGGAGGCTATCCAAGAAGACCTCAAGATGATCGAAATCTCCTTCGACAAGATCGTCCACACCTCCGACCACTTTGACAAGATCCGCGAGTACACCATCCAGCTCATCAAGCAGGGCGACGCATTTATGGACGACACTGACGGCGAGACTGTCAAGGAACAGCGACGTGCCGAGATTCCTTCCAAAAACCGAGACCTCAGCATTGAGGAGAACTTGAAGAGGTTTGCCGACATGTGTGAGGGTACGGAGGAGGGCAAGAGGTGGAGTTTGAGGGCCAAGATTGATTACCAGCACAAGAATGGTACTCTGCGAGACCCTGTCATCTACCGATATGTCGATGCCGACCACCACGTCGTTGGGTAGGCGTATCCTATCACTCTCTTGTGTATCGCTGACCTGTCTTGTAGCAAGAAGTACAAGGCCTACCCAATGTACGACCTCGCCTGTCCCGTCATCGACCACCTCGACGGTGTCACTCACGCCCTCCGTGCCAACGAGTACTGGGCTCGACACGAGCAATACCAGTGGTTCCTCAAGGCCCTCAAGTTCCCCAACATCGAGATCTTTGACTTCTCCCGAGTCGACTTTGTCAATACCGTTTTGTCGAAGAGAAAGCTCAAGTACTTGGTTGACAAGGGCGTTGTGAACGGCTGGGATGACCCCCGATTCCCTACCGTCCGAGGTACGTCCATCTTCTGCTTACCAGAGCACTGCTCATCTCTTCTAGGTATCCGATCTCGTGGTATGTCCGTACAGGGCCTCAAGAACTACATCCTCTCCCAAGGCGCGTCTCAGCAAGCCGTCCAGCTCGAATGGGACGGTATCTGGACTACCAACAAGAAGGTCATCGACCCCATCGCCCCTCGATACTGGGCCATCGCCGAGGACAAGATCGTCCCTGCTACTATCAAGGGTCGAGAGAGCGAAGCGGTTGAAGTTGTCAAGAAGCCTTTGCACAAGAAGAACCCTGAGGTGGGAGATAAGGAGATGGTGTTCTCGAGTGAGGTGCTGTTGGAGCAGGAGGACGCGAAGACCTTCGGTGACAACGAGGAGGTGAGTAGTACTGTTGATTAATGGAGCGAAGTGCTGATGAATCTAGATCACCGCTATGGACTGGGGAAATGCCTTTGTCTCCAAGAAGAACCTTACCGCATCTGGCGACGTTGCTTCCCTCGAGCTCAACCTCCACCTCGCTGGTGACTTCAAAAAGACTTCCAAGAAGGTCACCTGGCTCGCCGCTCCCACCGCCGAAAAGCCCCTCATCCCCGTCGTCCTCATCGACTACGACTACCTCATCACCAAGAAGAAGCTTGAAGAGGACGACGACCTCAACGAGATTATCAACCCCAAGACCGAGTACCGCACTCGGGCGCTCGCTTCCCGTGAAGTTGAGGGGTTGAAGAAGTGGGATATCATCCAGTTTGAGAGGAAGGGATTCTACATCTGCCAGGGTACCAAGGATGCGGAGGGGAGGATGGAGTTTGGGTTCATTCCTGATGGAAGGGCGGCGACTGTGGCTTTGAAGGCGACGCCGGCGGTGGAGAAGCCCAAGGTTGCTGGGGCTGCGAAGGGATCTTGGGGTAAGCCTGGGCCCAAGGCGAAGGCTGAGGAGGCTGTCGCTGCTGCTCAGCAGTAAACAGGCAAAGTATCTGTGCACATAGATGGTGTCGGTGACGTTGACTTATGCATACACTTGGTCTGCTGATAAATGCCCCGCAAAAATCCCCGCCGGCCAACAAACTCTCTCCTCTTCACTGTACTCAACCTCTGCCCGCCCTCTCTTCGTTCGGCAGCTTCGACTGTCCTTTGCCCCGCCGGTGTTGAACCTTTGGACAATATTCGCACAATTCCCAGCCTCGTACATGTATCAGATCCACCGTCCACGATTCTTGCGGGACTTCTAACAACATTGCCTCACGTACCCGTCGTCTAATTTCCTTTTGGACGTCTTCGAGGATCCCCTGCTTGGTATCGGGCGAGGAGAATGAGGAAACGACAGCGCCATCAGAAGAGGTAATGGTACCCATGTTGGTGAATATTATTTCTGGTCGGCCAACTTCTATCCCTCTGTAGTCGACGTCAGCAGGCTAGCTAAGATCTATACAGGAACGAGACATACCCGTGCACGTCAGCTTCTTTCCAAAGCCACCAAAGTTCCATATACACCTTACGATACTCGACTACGACATCCACTTGACGCGCATCATTCGCACCCTCCCCGACCTCCAAGGGTAGCACGTTAAAGAAGACCATATCACCGCCGGGCCCGTTGCCCAAGCCTGGAAAGATATAATACCCGGACTTGCAGTTCTGTACGCGTAGCACACGGAAGTGCGGGCAGTACCGTTGAAAAGTCTCTATAGTGTCGGACACCTCTTCAGGCATCGGATGTGGTAGACGGAAGCAGCCGTGGGAAAGGTTCTTGAGGGCCCAGGCATGTTCATCGCCAATCTTCTCGACACATGGCCTCAATACAGGGAGACTCAAACGCCAGATGTACCACTTCGTTGAAGAACCTCGAGTCTATCGGGCACAACGCCTTCTTGCTGCCGGCGCTGATGGATAGCCATGTTCCATGAGGCGATCGCGCCCTTCAAGGCTTTCATAGCAGACAGAGATGTGATAACCAGTGACTGGCAGCCTTCGAGCAGATCTCTCTTACTGGGCAAGCGCTGTTCTTCCGTTCGAGGTTCGGAGCGATTTGCCTCGGCCAAAAGACCCTCAAATACACCCCTGCTGACGATTTTGCCGGTTACCACGAGACACTTATACAAGCGAGGGATGATGTCTAAAAAATGGAATCTTGATAGTTGGGCGAGGGCGAGAGTGCCGCTGTCAAGAAAAAGAACACAAGATTCTGGAGCTCGGCGGGGAGAAGGGAGGGGGATGTGATGTCGTATACAGGAAGAAGAGAGAAGTCATTGGGGTTGGCTTGAGGGCATGTTTCGCCAGGCATGGCAGAATGGCAATAAGAAGTGGTGCTGTGATGAGTGAAGATTATTGTATTCAATCGAAGAAGCGGAAAGCAGGCCAAGCAAGATGCGGACCGAGTTTGCAATGACGGATGGATTCATACTTCGCAAAATGCAAAAAAAATTGGTCTCGTCCCGGGATTGAACCGAGGACCACCCCCAAAGCGACTCGAAAATCACCCTAAGAGGGCATGCTACCACTGCACCAACGAAACGGCTATGCCACCGAAGACCGGATATGAGTTTGATAAAAGGCAAGTATAGATGTCGTGCAGGCTGTGCGCGCCTGTTTTTCCCAACAACTGTTGGCTGACTGCCGGCCTGCGCCGCTGGTTCTTGACGGTGTTGTGTTGTGTGACTTGCCGTGTTTGGCTTTTCGTTTCAACACTCTCACTGACGACAGACTTACACAAACATGAGCAAAAACCCCATCCCCCAAGACCAGCGTCTCTATTCCGGCGTGAGTCTTTGAGAGAGCTGTACCGATAGCGCGTAGAAGTCATCCAACTTACGAACATAGAGAGCGCCTCCCAGGGCAGTGCGAGTTTGACTACCTCAAGTCCCGTCCATTCTCAGAAGCAGCGACTTGCTTTCTCCGGCGACATCGAGGCGGTATGTATCTTGTCAAGCTTAGATCTGGGGTCTGCAAGCTGACGAGCGAGTAGAGCGCTGCGAGTAACGCTGTCGGGCCCCATATCCTTACCGACCCCAACCCTCAGGGCGACAAAGCAACTCCGGCCCCTGCCGCCTTGGCTCACCTCTCTTCACGTGCCATTCGAAAGAGGATTAGCATTAAACGTCTCACTGAGGATGAAGAAATGAGTGCTGAAACCTCCACATCGCGAGTGGCTGTACCCCGATTAACATCGATCGGCGTGCTGATCTTCTGTAGCTCTCGCTCCTCCCACACCCCCGCCGCGCAACCTCAAGCTAACCCTCACGAGTTTCGCATGGCCCCTGGAACGATCAAGAACCCCTCCTACAATCGCTTCCACCCCAATCTCGGTACACTCCTCGGTTCGGACGGTGGCCAACGTCCTAGTAATAGAGCGCCCGAAAGAATGATCGCGGCCCGCACCTCTTTGATTTTATTTGAGGCAACTGTAATCAAATCCAAATCCAGGAGTTCCCAGGGGAATGTATGCAGCTTGTCGGCGAACGCTTGCCACTTGTATTCTTTTCCACCTGATCAGTACTCCAATTGATCATTCAGGACGTTCAGAACGGAGGCCAGAGCTTCAGCTTCGGGGGCATACACCCAACGACCGTGAAGGAGACTATGGAAGTCAACGCCCCTTGGACAGCACCACCCTTCCTAACATTCTTCAAGCACCTCCTTCTATACCTCAAGAGCAGCAATCCCGAGCGCCAGAACCTCAAAAATCAGTACACAAGCTTCCCAAGAATGTTATTCAAGTTGAAGAGCGCGAGTCGTCCGAGTGAGACAGGGGCGGCAGACAGGGCGCTAAGAGATGAGATTGTCGATCTGTGGATTAGGGCTTGGGAAGAGCAGCCTGAGGCAGACCGGGGTCGAGCGAAGGTGAAGAGAGAGGACTTGGGAAGCTACTCATCATTGTATAATACATGCATATATTCGTAGTACTCCCTTGGTTTACTTTAACGACGCAATGAGATCCATTCACACTCCCGCTCTCATGTCATACAATGCCCATCTACTGAGATCGGTGCTCTTGCATGCGAGCAAGCAGGGCTGTCATCAGTCATACCCGAACCAACCTGATGGTCGCCACACTTATATACTCGTCCGCGATTTCCAAGCTCGAGAGGGAGGACAGTCGTCGCGCCAACGGCAGCTTTGCGCTGATCGAACTTTTGATTCGGCGAGTGTGGTCGGGGATGGGAAGAAGAGAGGCGACCCGACGGCTGGCGGCGGCGGAGGTGCGGTTTGTGGTGGGTATTCTGGGCGTGATTACTCGTGAGGAGGCTGCAAAGAAGAAGAAGAAGAAGCATGTTGGGCGGTCAACTTGACAAGGCAAAGACGGGCCAGGGTCCGGTGTAGAGATACCTTGATAAACTGTACATTCAGAACAGTCCTATGAGGAAAGTTGGGCAAGACGGATGCTATGCTATGCAGATGATGTTGATGTTGATGTTGATAAAGACAGAAAGAATAAACGAAGGGCGATACTGGTACGGAGCCCGAGATGGCTCAGAAACCTCCGGGTACATCGTCGTATAGATCTTCCAAACTCCATTTCGGACGAAGGTCCAGGGCGTAGCCGTCCCCCGCCCACTGGTCTGGGTCTGATTCTCGTAGATGTGCTGTTGGTGGTGTTGGTGATGATGATGAAGATTGTATGAGGGGAGAAGAAGAGGGAGAGAGGGATGGAAAGGAGGATGATGAGGTGAGACGGGCGTCGTAGCGTAAAAGGGCTGTCCACGCTATCATTGCCGCATTATCTACACCCCCATCAGCTTCTTTCTCCTCCCCTTTTCCCAACCCGAAACACAAACGAAGAGAGATGACTCACCAGTACACAAAGAAACAGGCGGATACCAAACCGCCTTCCCCTCTCCCAAACTCCCTCTCAAACACCACTCAAGCTTGGCGCGAAGGAACTTGTTGGAAGCCACCCCGCCGGAGACTGCCATCCCGCTCAGCCTCTCCTTCAGGATGGGAGAGAGGGAGGAGAGGGTTTGAGAGAGTTTGGTAGTTAGGTGGAGGGTGGTTGCGTGTTGGAGGAGGCTGGAGTATGCGCGTTGGTGGGATTCGCCCCACCCTGCTGCTTCTCCTTGGGGGTTGGAGTGGTGTTCCTCGACGCGGCGAGAGAGGGCTGCAAGGAGGCCGGCGAAACTCCAGCCTACGACGTGTTTGGCGCTCCCTTGCGTCAGCGGTATCGGCAAAGGTTTGAGTAAGGGAGGGGTAGAGGAAGAGGAAGGGGAAGGGGCGAAGGGAGGGAGGGGAGGGAGGGAGGCGTAGTGTTCGAGGGTGGCGCCGGGGGAGAGGGAGGGGGACGGGGGGAGGTTGAGGAGACGGGCGGACTTTTCGAATACGTCGCTGTCAATCAACAGGGGTCAGTTCAACGTGGCACCCTTTGTCGTAACCTCTCGTCATCCGACACCACTCTCGGACTCGGAGGACTCGCGAGGGGAGAAAAGACGTACCCGATTTTAGAGTCTAGAGTGTCCATGAGGATTTTGAATTTGAATACACTTTCTGCGAGGACGAGCTGCGTATGACCGCCTGATAGCAGCAGGACGAGGAATGGGAACTCGGGCGGGGTGTGCTCAGTCAGAAGCGGTGTGAGGGCATGTGCTTGCTACCAAGCATCAGCAAGACCCCTAGGGAGGTAGAGAGGACATACCATATGATGCACCCCGACGAGCGGCTTGCCCCAGCCGGCAGCGAGGCCCTTTGCGACCATCTCGCCGACATGCAAACATCCCCTCATCCCCGGTCCCCTCGTATACCCCACGACATCCACGTCCCTCCATGTGATGCCCTGCTGCCTGGCATCCCTCAACACACGCTCGACGGCGAGGGGAACGTTTCTCGCGTGGAGGGCCTGTGCTTTGAGGGGATGTATGCCGCCGTGCTGAGCGTTCTGGGCGTGCTGGGAGATGGTATGCAGGGAGAGGATGCGGCGGGCGGTGTCGACGATGGCGGCGCTGGAGTCGTCGGCGCTGGACTCTATGGCGAGGGCGAGGCCTGGGCGGGGGCGGGGGATGCGCATGGTCGGCGTCGCAAAAGATGGATCCGTCCGCGCGCGTCCTTTTCTCTCTTTCAATCCCACCACAACCCCTCCCGCCGCCATCGCCGCCCCCCTCGCCGCCATCCACCATGGCCGAGAACAAGTACCAGATCCGCCACCCACACCAGAACTGTGAGTGATGTGCATGCATGGCAGAGCTGACGAGCGCAGACACCGGCGCCACCCCGGTATCGCCCACAGACCCGCCCGCCCGCACTGTAGAGTACCACCGCCCAGCACGCAACTCTGCCCACTACCCCGCCGGCACCGACCTGGCGCTGGGCATGGGCCCGTCCAGCACGCCCTCCTCGACGTCCTCCCCGCGCCTGCCATCACAACACGCCCCCTCGTCCTTCCGCTCGCCCCTCGACTCGCCCCAGCTGTCCACCCCCTCAGGCCGGGACTCGTCGTACACGTCTGCATCCAGCTCGCGCGGGCTCAGCTACAAAGGAAGCCCGAATCCGAATGCGCGGTTCTCGACGGGCGCTGCAGGGGGCAGCAATCCCATACCTCCACCCCGTCCTATGCGAGCAGGCACCATGCCGCTGGAGCTTCCTTCCAACAATGTCACTTCCTGGGATACCATCCCCCTTCCTCCTTCCAAATCCCCATCGACCCCCTACCCTCCAGGGCAGACACCAGCGCTCCCCTCGCCGTCAGTGTACACGCCCATGAGCGCAAACGGCGTCAACCCGTACTCGTTGGAAAAGAACATGGAGGATGTCAAGCTGGCGGGGCAAATTGGTCTGCCTATGGGCGTTGCTGAGCCCCGGCATGGGGGCGCTGTGGCTGGGGAGAAAGAGTTGCCTAGGGAGCCTACGAATGGGGGCAGGAGCCGGAGTGGGACGGGGAGGAGCAGCAAGGACAAAAAGAGCATGTTTGGCTTTGTGTCTGGTACGTGGAAGCATCCTTTCGCCTGCATCGAGCTGATAGAGGGGGTAGATTTGTTGAATAAGGAGGCGAAGCCGCCATTGATCTCGAAACCGTATGACCCAGTGCATGTTACCCATGTCGGATTCGACTTTCAGACTGGCAAATGTACGTTTTCCTCTCCCCTCCTTTCTTTCCCACGACACTCATCCCATGTACACAGACACGGGTATGCCTCCGAAATGGCAACAAGTCCTAGACGACAATGGTATCACCCAAGACGAGCAGGCCCAAAATCCCAACGGTGTCATGGCGGTCGTCCAGTACCTGAAGCATCAGGATGAGGATGAAGACCCGGAAGAAGAGATCTGGCAAAAGATGAGGCATGCGCAGGCGCAGCAGCAGACGCCGGGTGGGGGGCAGGTGTTGGTTGGGAGTGGGAGTGTGACGCCGGGGGGGAGGGATATGAGTCGGGAGCCGAGTGCGAATGGGGAGCAGCACGATTTCACGACTCCGAGGGCGGCGCCGGCGCCGCCGCAGAAGCCGGGGTTGCAGAGATTCCAGTCGGAGAGGGGGACGCCACTGCATTCGCCCGGGATGCCTTCTGCCTCGAGACATGCGCCGTCCGAAATCACCACCCCTGCCCGGCTCGCGCCTGCCCCCGGCCAGCTCCCACCTCAGCAACAAGGTCAGAGAGACCTCGACAGGTCATACTCCCAGCGCGCGCCAGCACCAAACAAGACCAAGATTCTGGATCGGGCGAATACGACCCGTGCCCAGGGGTCGAGCAGCAAGAGCACGGGCGGTTATGGTGGGCCGGGGTTGTACAAGTCTCAATCCCAATCTGGACACCATCGGCTCCCCCCAGCGTCGTCTTCTGGGGCACCGCCCCAACCTTCTGGGTCGTCTATAGCGGCACAACAAGCCCCTGGGGGGTTGACAAGGTACCATACCCAAAATGCTGGGTCTTCGACGCAGAGGCAGCAGCCTGGGCAAGGGGCTGGCGCGGGGCCGACGCCGAGGAGGAGGGAGAAGGATAAGAAGGAGAATGAAGAGGTGATTAGGCAGTTGAAGATGATTTGTACGCCCGGGGACCCGAATTTGGTGTACAAGAATTTCAAAAAGATTGGTCAAGGGTGCGTATCTCCATCGCTTTTGGCATGGGAAAGGGCTAACGTGAATTGATTGCAGAGCGTCGGGCGGAGTATACACCGCAACGAACCCCTCCAACCTCCCAGTCGCCATCAAACAAATGAACCTTGAAAAACAGCCCAAACAAGATCTCATCATCAACGAGATCCTCGTCATGCGCGCCGCCGCGCACCCCAATATCGTCAATTACCTCGACTCGTACCTGCACCAAGGCGATCTGTGGGTGGTGATGGAATATATGGAGGGGGGCAGTTTGACGGATGTTGTTACGGCGCATTGTATGAGCGAGCAGCAGATTGCGGCGGTTAGTAAGGAGGTGTGTGAGGGGTTGAGGCATTTGCATAGTAAGGGGGTTATACATCGGGATATCAAGTCGGATAATATCCTCTTGTCGCTGAACGGCGATGTCAAGCTTAGTTCGTCCCTTCTCTTTCTCTTCTTTGGGGGTCTTGCTGACATTGGGGATAGCCGACTTTGGGTTCTGTGCGAGAATAGCCGATCCGAACACGACGAAGCGGACGACGATGGTCGGGACGCCGTATTGGATGGCCCCAGAGGTCGTTTTGAGGAAAGAGTATGGGCCGAATGTGGATATCTGGAGTTTGGGTATTCTCGCTATCGGTCAGTCCTTCTCCTTCTTTCCATTCTTTCCCCTCTTCCTCTCTCTCTCGTGATTACAGGGCTGACGAGCCATGACAGAAATGCTCGAAGGCGAACCACCCTACCTGACCGAAAACCCCGTGCGCGCGCTGTACCTCATCGCGACAAACGGCACACCGCAGATCAAAGATTGGGATAGACTCTCTCCCTTGTTTAGGGATTATTTCAAGGCGACGCTTTGTGTGGATGCGGCAAAGAGACCGACGGCTGCGCAGATGATGAAGGTGAGTTTTAGTTACCCGGCAAGAAAGGGAAAGGGGAAGAAGGGGCATGGGCTGATATGAGTGATAGCACGACTTTTTCCAGGTGACGGCGCCGTTGACTTCGCTATCGGCCATGATCCGGTCGTCGAAGAAGAACTAGTCCTTACTTTACGCCACCGGCAAATCGCCATCTATCCATCCCATCCCCTCCATCTCTTCCGGGCTTTCTTCTTGACTTTCCGCTCTCGTTCTCGAATTATCCTGCATACTGTCAACAAAAACACAAATCCTTCAAATCCATCTTGCGATATACAATTCGCGCTTCCCGCCTTCCCATTCTCATTGTAAAACACCCCGCCATGCCCCTTTCTGTCATTGAGCTTGTGGCTCGGTCAAAAAACAAAATATCAGTAAACCCTCTCCACCTGTAGATTCAGGCGTTTCTCTCTCACTTTCGTTGTTTATATTCGACATCCCGGTTTCTGTCGCCCGGCAAAGTCGGGGCGGGGCTAATGGGCAAAAGAGAGGAGAGGAGAAGAGGTGTAAGAGTTGTTTGGTCTTGTGCTACCCCTTTACCCCTGATTTTTCGCATGACTTATAGATCTCCTTCCTCTTTTCTTCATTCTTTTCTGGTCTGCTTTCTCTCTATCTTATCATGTGAACAATATCTTTCAAAATGGCTCTCTCTGTCCCTTACTTTCTCCGTATTTTTCAACGAAAAGAACATTTCAACTGTCTTATACTTCTGTCCAAACGTTTTGGCTTGGCGTCCCGGGGCCTCGGAATTCGGGACTCGTCCTTTTACATATATGTGAAATGTGATCCTTGTGGACCATGGTACTGAGGATAATTGATGTCTACCGATGCATAGGTATAGCCCGAGAGAGATCAACATGCAAGACACGTCGTCACTAGCCGCTTTGACATCATGAATGGGTCTTTCGCTGATGCTGCGTCCTAAATTATATCTTACTGTTCCGTTGATCTCTCTGCGGGCATTGATCAGTAGCAACGGTCTTGCTCTAATCGATCAAACGTGCAGATCTATTAAGCTGGACGGCGAGCGAGAAGACGACTCAACTCGAAGTTTGCAGGAGAGCATCTGCTTCGAAGACTACAAGTAGTTGTACACCGCTGTCGAGCCCGTCTGGCTGAGGTATCTGATATGTCTATAGATCATACATTTTGATTAGACAGACAACACGATACTACTTTGGATGTTTCGTTTTCGCTCTGCACATAGAAGAACAGAAATAGACATGGATGAGAAATACAACCTCCGATACGATACAACCACCGAGAAAACTTCTCTTCTTGCTCACTGAACCCACACAGCCACAGACTAGACAGACCTAGCTCTGATCGAGCTCCATAGCCGCCACATGGGCTAACGCATCCAACCACCCTCGAGCGTCATGCCCACCATAGGCCTCTGACTCTGCTCCTCGGGAGCGAGCACGATGCTGCTTCTTTCTCGAGTGAGTGTTGTCGCGATAGGGACGAGAGAGAGTCGGGAAGGAAGACGATTTGAGCATCTTCCAATCTCCGTGAGGGCGCTGTGGGCGGGGCATATGAAGGACGGGAGAGTCACGAGGGGGAGGGCGGGGAGATCGTCGGTGCTCGTATGGAGCGTATCGTGCTCGCTCGACGAGGCTCGTCTCGTGAGCGTGAGCGTGCTGGTAGGGTTGGGGAGGAACGTGGGGCCCGTAGTAGATGGCCAAAGACTGCTTGTGCCCCCCGCTAGACGAATGAAGGCGTAAAGCTTCTGGGTCATTGGGCAGGGTACCGCAGAATAGGCCGGTGTAAACGCAGGGCTTGCATTGGTAGAACTTGACTGTAGCTGGGGTCAGTGATGTTAATGTGGGGTCATATTGGAAGATACTCACTCTCGGAGAAGGAAGAGTCGGAGCAGGTGGGAGAAGAAGCAGAGGTGAGAGGAGGAGTAGGTGAGAGTACCGGCAGTTTGTTGTTGGAACCAGGCAGGGGGAGGATCATGCGCGGGTTCTTGACTTGTGTTGGAAGCGTGGCTCGTCGAGACATGCCTGGACCGCCATGGGCGCCCAATACATTGGACACAGTGGGCGGATAGATTTCGGACAAGGAGCGTCGCATGGGGACAGATGTCGGGAACGGGACGCTCGGGGCGGGAGGAGAGGCAGGAGAGAGGATTGGGCTGTGACTGAGCCAAAGGCGCGCACGCGAGAGAGGATAGGTGGTGCAGAGCGGCATTGGCGAGACCGACATCTCCACTTCGTCCTCCTCCATCTCTGCGTCCATAGGGTCGAACGTGGAGACGGTATAGAGGGAGGAGCTGGACAAGGTAGGTGAAGGAGTGGGCTGGTTGTACCAAGGTGGAGGAGGAAGAATACCTGGAGTGTTCGCCAGAGGCGAAGGAGCAGGAGCCGGAAGAGGCGAGGGAGAAGAAGTCAAGGAGGGAGGTTCCGAGGCAGGCGGTGTTATATGCCTCTCTACCTTTGCCTCTGCTACAGAGACACTCTCCAAGTGCCTCGAGCTGAAGATGTGGCCTCGGAGCTCGGCGATCTCGAGAGGTAGGACCATGTGACATTGAGCAGCAATGGAGCAGGGCTGGCAGCCGTAAAAGATGGAGAGGGACTGGACCTCCTGTATCACCGCGATACCTGTGGCAGAGAAGTCAGTATATGGCTCTGTAGTCGGCGAGGAACAACAAGGCACATACCAAATGCGAGAGGAGGAGCCGATTCGTGTTGGGACAAGGCTCGGACGATTCTGAATGATGTCTCGCGATCATACACCAACGGGCCGGTGGGTGGCCTGCCAGAGTGAGCAAGGATGATGGGCGCGGGAGGCATTTTAATGGGTTTCGTAAAGCTAGAGACAGATGTATAAACACTCAGATGCGGCAAGCAAAGGTCGGGAGACGTACACTGATCAAGATAATTTTGGGCTATTTCCGCGTTTGGCGAATAAAAGTTTAAGACTGTAGTGATACAGAGGGCGATGTGACTCGTAGTATACAAAGATCAGATGTCACGGGCGAGCTTGAAGGGATGGGAAACGACGAAGATGGGATATCAACGCTGCCGCCCCGGGGCTCTTATATGTCTTCATGCGTGGGAAGAGAAAGAAAAGGCACTTTGTCGATGTCGGTGCTAGCAAGAGAGGCATGGCGCCTTCGGTCTCGCGCTGGCGCATACATACTCTTTTTAACGCGAGGACAATAGGAAAATCGGGGCAGAAGCTTACGAAACTTTTCGGTCGGATCCGAGTCCCCGAGCAATACGGACGGGTTGTTCTTCGGTGTTCCGATAACTGTAGATACGTACGGTGGTCGTCTGAGAAGGGCCGTAAGGCGTAGGATCGCGTAGGATGCAGCAAGCCCCAAGCTCCAAGCTCCAAAGAGCTCAAAAGATGGCGGTATGGACTATGGACGATTTGACCCATGCGGTTCTCTCGCCCAGTCTCGACCCACGTGTGTAAGAATGCCCAATGAACAGGCGGCAAGGCGGCAAGAAAGTTGGTTTTGGCGTATTCTGTTGTCCTTCCCGGCGTTTGCTCTTCGGTGGATTACTTTGTGTTACCGCATTGCGTGAGCATGGCATGGAATGCTTCTGGCGTCGGATCTTCGTTCTTTGGGGTTAGCGTAAGAGGACAAAGCCTACCTCGTACCTCTAGTGGCTTTGGACGATAAAAAAAAGCAAGGAGTGATTTGGTAGTGTCACGTAACCGATTGCCCCACGCCCCGAAGTCCTGTTGCAATTGTGCATAATCTCCGCGTAACCACCGCCTGCACCGGCTGACGAAAATAACGAGGCGTTTGAGAGTACATACTACCATGTCGGAAAAGGAATCTGGCCATGTATTCGTCATGTGGTGCGAGGAAGATAAGAGAAAAAGAGTACGACGCTGTACGCTGGGTCGACGAGGCAAGCGAGGCCCGCTACTTTAGATGCCGCATTTCTGAGACATGAAACAGCAAGTGTCGATCATAGTCTTTGGCTGCATGTGAGGCCTGCGGTCTACCCCACTAGCGTGTTGAGTGATCAGAGACGTAGAGGTAGTTTGATTTGATGCCGCTCACAAGTGCGGGTACTCATTTTTTCTCACGTACCACCAGCCTGGATCGGTATCGACGACATCTTTGTATTTATCGGTACCGGTTTCGGAACAGACAATTGCGAGTAAGGTTCTGGCCCCAAGTCACCCTTTCAATTGTGCGTTTTTCTTGCATGGGCCTGGCACCACGAGTGCACGAGGATTTACTGTTGTCACCAGTGTCTTAGATCTAGGGTGTTTGTTAGTTTGTCAGATCTGAACATGTCAGTTTGTCAGATCTGACGGAACTCCTCATCTCCCCACATTGTACCAGTGATGTCCTCACATGACAGTCGATCTTCTGTTGAGGCACCAATGCTCGTAGCTGGGGGAAGAGGGCTCCCGAGCCTTTTGTGGGGAAGGAGTAACGTCTCTAGCCGTCGAGCTGTAGCCGCCGGCCTGCTACGTTTTAGGCCAAATCGGGGAAGTGCACTGTACTGTACTCGAGTATGTCTGTATCATCATGGAATAGTTGAGAAGACTTGAGTAATCATGCATAGTTTTCTATAAGCGACGTTACATACAACTCATTACAACGTCATGTTCATGAACTACAAATGTATTCTACACCTCGTTACAATCCGAATCACCTCCACACATTCCGTCCACAAAGAGTCAAAGAGTAAGCCCCTCAAGCCCAAATGAAGAACACTCCACCCCTCCCGCTGTCAGAGCCTGGTACACTAAGCCTAACTTCCGCCTTGCCGCCCTGAGGTATCCAATGCAGAGCCCCATCCGCACAAACCAGCCTCGCCCTGTCTTTGTCCACCCCTTCCTCCTCCTCATCCCTCTTATCTTCAACAACGCCTGACTGAGAGGACAGCGGTACCCAATCAAACCCTCCGCATCGAAACAGCTCCACGACGACCTCGCCCTCACCTTTCACCTCGCTCGCCCAGCCTTCGCTGCCCACCTCTCCAGCAGCAGAGGCAGGGTATGTGAGGCTGATATGGGACCCGGCGTGGTATGCTTTGGCGAGGACTTCAAATGCGCGTTGGGACCACGTGGCGGATCGCTGAGGAGGTGAAAGGGAAGAGACGAATGGGTCGCGCAGGGGGCGGAGGATGGTGAGGTAGATGTACTGGTTCTGGTTTTCGAGCGATGTGGGTGCAGGGGTAGCTGATATGGAAGAAGATGCGGGAGGGGAAGGGCGAAGGGATGTTTTGGGGGAGATGACGAATGCAGGTTCGAGTCTGTCCACCGAAGCGGTTGAGAGAAAGTATGCGAAAGGGCCAGATACTGTCCATTCGCTTCCAGCTCCTTTGTGTTCTCCGAGAGTATAGGGTGTGATCCAAGAATCTGTCTTGGGGTCCCACTGCTCGACATTGCCTACGCCGCCTGCGGCATGGACAGGAAAGAGGGTAGCGTCGGCATTGAAGAAGATGTCTGCGCTCTCTTGGGCTGCGACCTTGAACCGCGCGGTACCGGGGTGGGAGGCTCGTAATTTCTCGGAAGTGTCGAGAATGGCAGCGTGGAGTGAGGTGGAGAGTACCACATGCGTAGGGATGGCCTTTGCTGGAGGCGCAGAGGCGGAAGCAGGTGGATTGAGAGTGGTAAGGGTTATGGGCAATGGGAAAGGTTTGGCGTCTTTCTTGGGGGAGAGGTAGGCGATGAGAGGCAGAATCTGTTTGATCAAATCTTCGGAGATGGGAGTTGATAAAGAGGATAGAAAGGTGGTATCAGGCAGCGGCGAGCCCGGGGGATACAGGGAGGAGTATAGCGCGTTCGCCTATGTCCGAGTCAGCAATTCATATCACGGCACGATGATTAGACTGACCGTTCCAAATGGCAAGATGAGCAATTCCCATCTGGCTGATCCCTTTCCTTCATCATTTACACTTCCTTGCAGACCTTCAATGAGCTCATGTGTCGTCCCATCGCCACCGACGACGATCACTCTAATCGGCTCCAGAGTCCCGGCCGCCTGGTGGGCAGACAAGATAGCAAGTCCGAGATCCCCTGCGTGCGCTGGTGCTTCAGTAGTGTGAATCTGGAAGGGGACGTTGAGATGATCGAGGAGGGGTGCGACATGGTTCTTGATGACTATCTTCAAGTCAGCTTGGCCGGGTTTGATGGGGCAGAGACGGACACTGTGGCCCATTGCCAGCGCCGGCGGCGGGGTTGACGATGATGTGGAGCGGTGGGGACATGGATTGTGCTCTGGAAGGAGGGAGATTGTTGAGATGCAAAAGAGAGATGAGGATGCGAATTGAGAACGTCTTATTGATGCTTCCTTGCGTGCTTCAGCCCGTCGGCCACGGAACCAAATCGCGATTACAAAAAGAGTTTACTACAAAAGCTAATCCTCTCTTTCTTTGCAAGAACATGTCTTTCGTTGCTGCATAAGACTGGATGTGACAGTCACACTCCTGAGTCCTGCATGCTCATGAGCATACCAGTCGAGTTGAGCAAAAAGTTCCAACAAAAACGACGGCACCCGGGATTCCCAGGTGGTCCCCCACCCTGGTACTAACCGAGCGCTCTCCTAGTTGACTTCGCGGATCAGACGGGACGCGGTACTTTGAGGAGGCTATGGCCGTCGATACTAGTTAACGACTGGTGTCTTTGTGTCCCAATACTGGAACAACCCGACGAATGATCTAAAGGACAAAGGGTTGCTGCCCCACCAGAGCTCTTGCTGGAAGACGATGTGAAGAGCAAGGAGATGCTCCGTCTTTTGTTGCAAACTCCGATTAGAGGAAAGCCTCTTCTCGTCGTTTCAACGCCAGTAATGACTCATGATTCTTTTGAGCTGCGGTGCTATTTGACCTCCAAGGTCTTCCGACCGCCCGGGTGCCCAAAGTTGGCAACAAGTGATAGCGCGACCATTTATAGAGAATCATGCTCTGCACGGCATGCGCACTCTATTTTCCCCGCCATCCTCACCCCTTCCTCCACAAACCAAGAACCAAAAGCGATGTCGTCGTTTTCTTCTTTCAGCGTTGGCCCTATTGGCCCTGCTACTTCCTCTCGTGGAGATACCCGACAAAACCGTGGCGACTACTTGAAACAAGAGGATAACCCCACTATGACAGCGAAGAAAATTTCACGATAGATCTCCAACTGAGTCGAAGATCCGAGCAGACGGTGGTTATCCCTCCCACAGTTCCTCCTGCCGGTACACGCATGCCACCCGGCTACCCAGCTAACGTCAGAGGCGATACTTACTGCCACAACCAGGCTTTGAACCCTGATACCGGTATCGATCGACCCCATGACGCCCGAGGTTGATCGACAGACGTTTTGGAACAAGACTTCGCGTGTCACGCGCCGGCCTGGCGATGCTGAGAGCACAGTACATACTATGCTGTCGGAGTATAAGGACTGGCTCAATGACCAATCTGATATCGCAAGGACGGCTTTTACAAGTCGTATCGTAGAGGTGCAAGATGCGCAGCAAGCAGTCGATCAAGCCAGGACGCGCACACAGATGTTGGACGCCGACACTCATCTCGCGCTTTCAGAACTTCAAGAGTTGGTGGAGCGAGGTGCCGATAGGGCGGCTATGAGAAGTGTTTTAAAAAATCTGAGAGGGGTGTCAGAGTCGTTCTCTGTGGCAGTAGATAGGGAGCGGACAGCATCGCGAAACCTGGATCACCTGCAACGGGCGCAGGCTATCACCTTGAAGAGCGGCTGGAGGATGGTCAAAGAGGCTGACAACGCCAAGACGTTCGGGCCTAGTTATGATACTGCTTTGGAGAGTTGGTGCAAGTTTGCGATAACGTGTGATTGCGGACGTAATCCTCATGACCCGGACTGTGAGCAAACTCTTTCTCGTTTTGAAAGTCGAGCTGATATGATCGACTCAGGCTTGAATGAGAACCCGACGTACTGGGACAAGTACATGATGAAGCACAGTATGGATGATCGTGGCCAAGAGTCAGCATTGTACGACACAAGAATGTCTGCTGGGTCTTCTTCGTATGGTGGCAGTCAGACAGGAGGGCGCGGGACGGAGCTGCCAACGCAGGGCCGAGCGCGATCTTCAACAAGACGGTCGGGTTTGAGAGAAGCGCAGTATCGAGATCCGTACCATTATGGTATCTGAGATGGTAGCAGTAGATAAGGTGCTCTCAATCAGTCGAATCAGTCATAAAGTGATTTGATTAGGACATCCTCAATGTAGGACATCCTTTATGAGCTTCCGGGCGGAATACACGGAGCAAAAGCTGGGCAGCCAGAGGGTAACTGCAGGTATCATATCATGCATGCGCCGCGCGGTATCTTTAATACTTCATCCATCGTCTCTCCTCCTCGCCAACACCTGATTCCTTTTGTCACCGGGGAGTTTCGGTAATCCTTTGACCGGAAGAGGGTTCCCTAAGAATATCTTGAATCATTTCAAATGAGAAAGAATTCGAAGGATAAAGCTGTGCGATGAGCTCAGGATGTACAAGATACACCCGCCGAGTCACGCATGACATGAGCGAGCTCGAGACAGTACGAACACAGTGCTATGAACAGAAATGGTGTTATGAAAGCGCCTAGATGTTGAAACACTGGACAAGCGTATAAGCACGTTCCTATCTGGGGAACGTTGTCCTGAACAACACGCTCACTTGATCCCTCCAGCTAGTAGTAGCCTCATTCAAAGGATGAGTACCGTAATAGCATCCTGATACACAGCGGTCTACCGGGCGGAAGCGCTGCTGGAAGCACGCTGATGAGAAAGGGAAGAAGTACTTCTATCTCTTCTCATCGTTTCAGCAGGTGAAAGGTTTCCTTTGTGTCCGACTTTGCCATATCCGAACAACACAAAAGGTCGAATGAAGTTTCGGATTAGGAGCTGCATAAGTGCACTATATAAAGAAGAGAGATTATATTCTCGTACAGCACCCTCGATTCATCCCCCCTCTTCTTTTCCATCTCCCTCCACAGCAACGATGTCCTTCAACATTGGCCCTCTTGGCCCTGCTTCCTCTGCGCGTAGTAGGAATACCCGAATCATTCGTGGGGACTACTCAGGCGAAGGCCACAGACCTCACTGTGACGATGATGATGATGATATCGCGCTGGTAGAACGTCGAAGATCTTCCGAACGATCTCCCACCCGTCCATCTGCGCCATCGGGTACACGCATGCCATCCGGTTATCCGGTCAACGCTCGAAATGATCGCTACCACCATAACCAGTCTCTCAATGAGCAGACTGATCTCGACCCTCGAACGCCCGAGGCTGAACAACAAAGGTTTTGGGACCAGACCTCAAGGATTACGCGCCGGCCTGGAGATGCCGAGAGCACAAGACATACGATGGAGTCGGACTATAAGGATTGGCTTGATGAACAAGCTGATGCAATCAGGACGGTGTATACGGGATGGATTGTCAAGGTGCAAGATGCTCAGCAGGCACTTGAGCAAGCGAGGACCCGTACGAAAAAGCTGGGCGACGACAATCGTTCGGCTCTTTCAATTCTGCAAGCACGCACCGAGCGAGGACATAATGACAGGTCGGATTTGGAAAGCCGCTTGAACACTTTGAGTGTCCTATCCGAGTCTTACACTGTGGCCGTGGAAAAAGAGCGAGCGGCACAGCAAAACCTGGATCATCTGCGGGAGGATCAGGCTTTCCTCGCAGAGAGCGGCTGGAGAATGGTGAAAGAGGCTGCGGACGCCAAGACATTCGGACCGAGCTTTGATACTGCTTTGAATAGTTGGAGCAAGTTTGCGATTACGTGTGATTGCGGACAGAATCCTCATGATCAGCGCTGTGAGCCAGTGTCCCTTATCGTCTCTGACTTTGTGATGCTAATGTTGTCTCTTTCAGGCTTGACGGCGAACCCGACGTACTGGGACAAGTATATGCAAAAGCACAGTAGGGATAGTCGTCGTCAAGAGTCAGCAGCATCTTATGATACCAGAACTTCGGCTGGACCCTCTACTTATGGGAATCAGAGAGGAGAGCGCGAGACTCAGCTACCAACGCGAGTTCGAACCCGATCTGCAGTAAGGCAGTCGGCACCGAGAGGAGAACAGCATTGAGAGCATCACCCGTACCGTTATGGTGTCTGAGATGGTAGTAGTTGTGGATATACTTCCCTTGACTGAATATGACACAGTATGATGATTGTGACATTATTCATGGACTCCTGGGCAGAATGTGCCGACCGAAAATAGTTAAGAGTATATGATTGTAGACATCATGCCCCATACCCGTGCATTGAATGCTTCATCGACTGTCTGTCCTCGCTGACACCTGATTCTTTTTGTCGCCGGAAGAAGGTGGCTGATCCTTTGATGTGATTTTACCACCGAAGGGTCCTCTAAAAATATCTCATATTGTTGCAAGTGAGGAGGAAGTGAAAGGGAAAGCACCACAGCGAGCCCAATATGGTCAAGCTATACTCGACTAGTCGCGCGGGACATGAGCGAGCTCGGAATCGATACTATGAACGGAGATGGCATTGTTCTGTTGGATGTTGGATCACCATATATAGACACCATTTTCTGCACAGCACGCCCACTTAGCTTCATCCTTCTTCCTACTGATTTCATCACCTCTTCAAGCACAACTACTAATCAGCAGCTATGTCCTTCAACATTGGCCCCCTTGGTCCTCATCCCTCTTCACGTCGAGACTCTCCACTCATTCGTGAGACTCACTTCGACGAAGACGACAGACCCTACTATGATGATGACGATGATGATGTCCTGGCAGAAGTTGAAAGTCGAAGAGACCGTCGAACACTCACCCAGTCTGGTGCCCGTTCTGATGCCTATCCTATCGAAATCAGAAGATACAGTAGTCACCAGTCTCAGAATCCTGAGAGTGGTATAGGCTCTCGTGCGCCCGAGACTCAGCGAGAACGATTCAAGGACACTGCCCCTACCTCTTACGCTCAAAATACTCAACTACAGAGCCGGACAAGGTATGCGAGTGACTGTGATTGTGGATATAATCCCCATTATGATGACTGTGAGCGAAGCCTGCCCCAACCATGGAGACTAGCTGATGATTTACAGGCTTGACGGCTAACCCACTGTACGGGGTTAGATACTACTCGCGGAAGGAGCGCAGTAGTGCAGCAGATGACGATCACCGTCAAAATGCAACGTCTAAATATTCGGGAAAATCGCTCCGGCACTTGTATGTCGATCAGGGGGAAAGATACGAGACCGAGCCACCATCAAGGAAGCATTCTTCGAGGCAACCGGTTTCGAGGAAAGAAGAGTCAGGTCATCATCGAGAGCGGGATCCATATTACAGATACTAGGGCCTTATTGGCGGTGAAATGAGTAGGAGTGTCTCTATGTGATGTAGATATACGTGCTTGGATCTACCGAGGTCTTCACCTATCAAGGTCGATGATCTGCCAGAGATGTTCGAGTAGTAATGTCTCGCTCCTCGCGTCCATAATCCTCTCAGGACTACATTTGCTGGTAACTCCGGACGACTGCCATTCCTTTCAGCTGTGATATATCGTGGAGTAGATGTGAGACCAATGACCTGAGCGACATGTATGGACCCAGAGGCAGACATGGCAGGAATCATCCCAGGGGCTGTCCTAAATGTACATTGTCATACTACGATGCATATACAGTACTTTGACTGTCTCTCACCGCGAACAATACTATGGAATGAAATAGTGGGACGAATAATGGTATCAGTGTTTTGATACAGCTTTCAGTAAGCCAACATCGCTAGCCAAGCCGTCTCCTCCTAATACTCATCCAGCTCTGGTCTTCTATCTGATGCAGGGCGTTTCCTCACAGTATAATGGGCGTAGTAGTGGATGCGAAGCGACCGAATAATACGGACAATGAGTCTTTACATTTCTCTAGATACATTACAAGATCATGATCGATCAACCCCAACAAGATATAGCCCCCATGACATCTACCAATCCAAAAAGCATCACACCCCTTCCTCCGACACAGCACTCTCCTTCTCCCGATAGAGATCTCTCGCCTCCTTCTCCAAATCTAAACCCCCACCCATCAGCAATCTCCTCTCCCACCACCCTGTCCAGTGGATAAGAAGAAAACTCACACTTTGCACAATCCCTCTTGGCTCTATCCGGATTCACCAAACACAACAACAGCACCCCCGCGAGACCCGAAAACACCAAGAACCAAAAGCATGCCGAAGTGTTACCGCCGGCGTCGTCGATGATGGCGGAGGCGATGAATGGACCTACGAAGGCGGACGTTTTCTATACCTTTGTCAGCAGCTACTCCTGTAGTTGGGCGTTGGTCGGCAGCCGGCGGGATGTGAGGTGGTAGGGCGGAGAAGGAAGAAGAGGACTCACGCCAACGATTTGGAACAGCGCAAAGAAGAGATACATCTTTGGCGCGGGGACGACCTCGGATATCATGGTATTCGAGTACGTATACCACCCTCCAACACTGCCCTTCATCAGCAACCCGGTACCCTCTCTCAGAACAAAATCAAAGAACGTACGCTAGACCGAGATATGCCTGCCAAGCGTAGAATTCCCAAGCTGGTTGTTTTGTCAGCGACCTTTCTAGACATTTGAACGTGATGAAGTGGGAAAACGCACCGTTATGATACCCAATCTTTGTCGTCCACAATCCCAACAACCCCCAGAAATTACTATACCCCACTATTAGCCTTCTACCCACCTTGTCCTTCTCTTGTACATAGCAGGCAAGAGCAATAAGACTCACAAGAATACGATAGCTCCTCCAGTGACGATAGCCATGAGCTTTGCCGACAATCCCCACTTCTGCTGCACCCAGTTCATCACAAAGATTCCGATGGCTTCGGTACCGAAAGCGACCATGTAGAGCCCGACGGATTTCTTGGTGTCGAATTGAATCACGCTGGATCAGGTCGTCAGTAAGGAAGCGGGAAGAGGGGAAAGAAGGGAAAAGACGAAAAGGACGTACTTGTTTTGGAGGATACCGATAACGGTGCCGCTTGTATTCAGCGCTACAAAATCAAAAGTTAGCTCCCTTCCCCTCCCTCCAGGAACAACATCAAACCGACCATCATTCAGCAAAAAGAACGCCGCCAGATAAAGCATCGTCTCCCTCAACTGCCACGCACACTTGCACCCCTCCCAAACCTGCCTCCCCCCGACCGTCCACCACCTCACCCCCTGCGGCACCTTCTGCCCGGGCCTGTACTGCTCTTTCCAGAACCACGGGACGGCACAGATGACCCAGAAGGCGGTAAAGTACCCGACGAGGATGGAGTATGTTTTGGTGTTTTGGGTGGTGTAGGAGGGGGAGGAGGGGGAGGAAGGGATGAGGGAGAAGGGGATGGAGAGGCCGAGGGCGAGGATGAGGGTGGCGCCGGCGGCCGAGAAGATGAGGGAGAGGTTGGACAGCTGGGATCTTTGTCAGCCTTTTGTCGATCGTCGAGGGGAGGGGAGGGCAGGGGGGGAGGGGGGGTGGACGTACCTTGGATCGTTCGAGCATATCCAACTTTGCATGCTCTTCGGCATCTTTCCGCCCTTCCAACACTTCTCGCTCACTCTGGATGACCTTTGGCAGATCACGTACGAGGCCGGGGAAGGCGGCAAAGTAGAATCCGACTGCTACGTTGAATGCTACATTATCGGTCAGATGTAGTATAGTAGATGAAGGGCAAGAAATTGGACGTACCAAAGTATCCCAGCATGTAAACAGCCGTAGCAGCTTTCCACTTCTCTGCGCTCTCTATACCCAGCCACGCGAAACCGGCCGCCCAGCTGATTAACGTGAAGACTGCCCTCGTTCAACATCAGCTTTTGTCTTCTTGCCCAACGGAGGAAGAAGAGAGACGCACAGATGAGGATGTAGGGCCGCCAGTTGCCATAATCCGAGTAAGGCCCAATGAGCAAGAAACAGAGCGTCTGGATGGCGAATGTGATTCCATTGATATCCAAGATGAACGCATCCACTACACCCCGAAATTAAGCCTTTCCCGTACAAGTGACAGATGTAGAAAAGAAGAAGAAGATAAACGTATAAACGTACAAGTCTTGGTGCTCCCCGCCCACCTGATAGTCTCATCCGGGAAAGCCTGGTACATGAGATTCTGGAACTGCGCTGCTGCAAAGTTGAACGGTCCTACACCACTAGCTCCTATATCTGTACTCCCCATGAGCTCCGTACCATCCATCTCATGCCCCACCGAAAGAAGACGTACAGAAGATACAGTACCCCCAATATTCCCACTTTGTCGTCACTTTCCGCTCGCCCGTGAGCGGGATCGCGCGGCCCTGCTCGAGGTAGGCTAGGCCTGCTGGTAGGTTTTGAGAGATGGAGGCAGAGGCAGAGGTAGAGTTTGGGAGGGTGTGTGGGATTTGGGATGGGAGGGGATGGAGGTCGGACTTTTCGGCGTCGGCCAAGGTGGGAGCGGGGTGGGAGGGGGATTGGGGTTGGAGATGGGGAGATGAGGCGGTCATATTTTGACGATGGGTGGTCGGATTCTTTGTTGAGGGTATGTCGAGAAAGAGAAGTGGCCGCAGTTGAAAGTCTCCTGTCGTCTCGGACGACTAGGATCAGGACCACTTGATGAAAGACTGTAGGTCTGTACGTAGCTTTAACGTAACGTTGCGAGCGAGATGAAAGACAAGGACTCACCTATGTACAAGTATTATGTACACCTCTGTCGAGAAGGAGCTTCCAGGAAGATGGTTGAGCAAGTCTCAAAGCCAAAGTGAAGGTTCCAGTCGCGCTAATGGGATCGCCCTCAAGGAACAACCGTAGTGTTCCAAAAAGGTTCCTGCCCAATTCAGGACGGCCTGCCGAGCTAGTGTGGGGTTGTGCTGGAGACGCGCAGTTGGGGAACGGACTGAGCGGGCTGGGGAGAGCGTTGGGTGGGGAAGAGAAGAGCGGAGGGGGGAGAGGAGAGGCTTGATACAGGGGACGGGGGAGGGAAGCACGAGGAGCAACATGTACGTAGCATAAGAGCACCTGGGATAACGACGCTGCGGATACGCTTAATTGTCGGATCACGGATCTGCGCGCCCGAGTGGAGGGGGCCGCAGCTGATAATCTCGAGGCATTCAGTTAGTATGGCAAGTCATGGCTGCCTGCATGTTATTGTTGCATTGCATCTCATTTTGGTATGTTCATGGCGCTTCAGTGTACAGAGGGCCCTTTTGATTTCTATATGCATTATTCATTGCTGAGTCGGCTATTCATTCCTGCTGGGCCATCGTTGGCAGGGCCAGCTTCGCTCGGGTTCCCGGCCCTTTCAGGTGTGTAATGCTTGAGGGAAAGATGATTGCGGCTCGCTCTGTCAACGCCTCAGTCTCCACCCTCTACGTCCCAATAGCTTGGTGCTCCGCCACCTCAGTATTTCGACGCAGCAACAGGCAACCCGACATACGAGATGCCACCTGTTTTCTTCCGCAAAGCCGTGAGCCCAGTGACTAGAGACGAGAGAATGCCGGAGCTGACAAGCCTCAGGGGTCTCTAACGTCTGAAGAGATACGGGACGTCACATCTTGGCTGGAGACTCAACTGCAAGAAGCCAACGACTACAATCAACGTTCGGTTGAACAAGTTCAACTGCGAGAGCTTAGAGAACTCATGCAGCATCTATCCGACCTCCGGGTGGATTTGATCCATTGTGAGACGATGGTGTCCATTACTAATTGGGATGGATGGATGCTTCGCCTCAGCCATATTTGGACCTCGACCGAACCCGGAGGGAGTACAAGTACATCCACGGTTTGGGTAACGCTCTCGCCAATGGCGCTGCCTTGACCGACGGCGCCGTCGCTTAAGAAGACGATCGCTACGATATTAGCTCGGAGTTCTCTGAGTTCTAGGAGGACGGAGTGGGGGAGGATGGCGATGACATCTCGAGTATGAAGATGACAGGCCAGTGGAGCTTATATTCGCTGAGGCAGCTCAAGATGAGGCGGAGCGAGCTCGGCGTCCCCGAGGACGCTATTAACGAGTGCTACATACTGTACGAGTAGTCTACTGTAGTCTACTTCGGACATGTGTAGGGATCCAGTGGTCAGGTCCCGGGGCGCGAGTTGACAAGTCCAAATACCAACATATGCATTGCGATACCGGGGTTGGAATCACATGTTTGATCCCGCGCTCGAGCCTTCGTTGTTGCCACTCCGCGCACGCACCTGTTTGTTTCGTTGTTCTCTTTTTATTCTCTTTTTGTTCTCTTTTTGTTCTCTTTTTGTTCTTCCTTCTTCCTTCTCTCTCATCTCATCTCATCCATACACACTCAGGATGAACCAGCAGACGCCCCTCTCCTCCTTCCTGCCCTCCTATGACCCTCCGCTGTATCTCATATCCACTATCCCGCCCGCCTGCATCCCCACTAGTATGTGCAACGCCCTCGAGCGCATCACCTTCGGTCCCAGGCATTTCTACCACAAGGAGAGGGAGGCGGAAGCTACCGATCTCAGCCAGGTCGATCAACCCGCATCTCTCGACATGGGAGGTCCGGCGGATCGAACCACCGACGAACATGAAGTGACGAGCGATCCGTTGACGACGCGCAAGCGGCCTGCCGAGGCGGGTCCATCGACTTCTCGTACTTCCCCATCAAAGCGGCTCAAGGTCAAGAAATCGTCTCCACAAAAGAAAAAGCTCCACGCCTCGGCTAAACGGACCGACTCGAGCAGTCAACGCAAGCCCGACTCGGATACCGCCCTGCGCTTTTGGCAGATCCTCAAACATTTTACGTGAGGGACTTTGGCTTTTCTTTGACGAGTGATAGCTGATGAACCGCACGTCAGATTTCGATACAGTACCGACGTTGTCCCTCGACTGGTCCGAGGACTGCGAACGGTCGTCAACCGCCTCGATACTCTTTCAAGGGAGAACGAATCGCTGGCGCTCGACGAATCGCTGGCGCTTTACGACCTCGTTCATTTCCTCTTTCAACTCGAAAACAGGCACTCGGTCTTCACTCCCCAGACGTTGACGCGTTTCAAGGAGGGCGACCCCTCGTTCGGGTTTGACACTTATGAGCGCCGGGACAAGAAGGAAGGGAGCGATTTCGTTCGGCTGGTAGGCTATGGCGGAAAGGAAGAAGGGTCGACAGCGTCGGCGTTCTCGGGTGAATGTCAAGCGGCCAACATTTACGCCAAACACCTCTCTCGTCTCGCGGCCGATTACTTGTCGACTTCGTCTCAGCTGGAGAGTCGTATCTATCAGTACGCCCCGCCGGTGGTTTCTGGCGTCCTGGACCTCGCTGCTCGGCCTGGACGCGAAGAAGGGGCAGTACCAAGTGACCAACTCGACCAAGCTCGGCATCGAACGCAAGTTCGACATTACGCTCAGGGACCTGTTCGTGCTCTTCTACGTCCTCTTGCGCAACGATATCGAGCTCAAGGTCAACCCCTCAAGCGGCAAGCCGTCCGTCGATGTATTGGAAGAAGGAGATGCCGAGTTGTCCGCTGCTGTCATCGCCATTCTCGCTCAGGTCAGTCTCATGCCTTCCCTCGCTTTTTGCTTGTTTGCGAGGCTGATTACAAGGAATGTAGTTGGCGCAAGAGTTCCACGTCAACAAATGCGAATGTATCAACTTGGCCGTCCACGACTTCAGCGTCACTTTCCAGCTCATGGGCCGCAATGTCGCTCATGTCTCGCGCATCGTCTTCCGCGATCCCGCCACTGCCGCGCGGGACATCCGGTCTGAGAGCGAGCTCACCAACATTTTGTCAGGTATACGATCCGAGACCCAGAGAACTGAGGCGGTTGAGATGTTGTTGGAGCACGAGCCTTGGGAGATGGAGGCGAAGAATAGCCTCTTTGCTGTGCTTGTGGCGCGGTCTGGTTTTGCCGGTTGGCAAGCGCACTACGTCAATGTGGATAGATGGAGACAAAGAGGGTTTGGGTGATCCTCCGGAGACGAGTGCGACTGGCCCCACCAGCGAGGTTCCACCACCACGAGGCTGGACGGCGGGTTCGTCGACGACGACGACCACGACTGATACGTCCCAGTCTGGTTCTACGGCTACCGGTGGCACAGCCTTCAAGATGTTCCCCTGTCCGGCCGTTGCTGCAGATTTGCATCGTCTCCAGGGCATCGACACGACCCATCATCAGTCCATGCACCGCTTGCCGTATTTCCGCTGGTTAGAAGATCCAACATTCCGCGTCCAGGTGTCCCCTCCTCTCACAACTGACAAGTCGGGCGCACCGCCTTCATCTCCCATTGGTCCTACGTCTTCTATGACCGCCGCGTCCGCGGGCTTCGTTGTTTCTACCACGGAAGACAAGGAACCAATCAGGCAGGAGCCCGAGGACTTGGACGACCTCCGGTGCAAGACCGACCATCAGACCGTTCTGTCCCTCTTGTCACGCCCAGACTTGTTGGTCGAACTGCACGAGTACCTAGGTTCCGGGCGATTATGGGATGCCTACCGCGTCAAACTCTCCTCTGGCTCGACACCGTCACAGGTCGTCGTGGCAAAGATCTGTAATCTGTACACTTTCACGCTGGGCGACGCGTACGAATACGAGACCCCCTCGGCGGCGGCCGACGCAATCGAGATCGAGCTCGACTTGTTGACCCACTTACAAGCGGTCCAGGGGGAGATCGTCCCCCGATTGTACGGACGATGGACGGGCAGGTGTCAGTTGCCCAGTGGCGGGACGGTGCGCTTGGATTGTGTCATGTTGGAAGACTGTGGGAGGGCCATCGTCCCGTCTGACGAACTTGAAACCTGGTCAGTCCCGGTTGCTCATTCCCTCACTTGACTTGGGAAAATTGCTGATTGTTTTTGATCCTAGGTTATACGATGGCGACGAGGTGGAGAGGTTCCCGACCAATTTGTCATCCGATGTCCGGTACGTGGCTTGACCCTGACCCAGGCTTCCGACACTTGGCCTGACTACCCGTCGCAGACAGCAGATCATAGAAAGCTATGAGAAGCTACACAAACAAGGGATCTTGCATGTCGACGTCAACGCCCGACATATCCTTCTTCATCCGGTTGATAAAAAACCACGAATCATCGATTTCGAGGGCGCGATATCTATTTCCGAGGCCCAAGCAACGAACCAGGACTACGACGCGGAGCAAGAGATGGAGAGGGTTCGGTGGTTGGTGCGCGCGGACGAGGAGCGTTGAGTGCTTCAGGTATCTCCACTGTGTGCAGTAAGTGTCGGGGATGGGAGAGCTGGGTGCTGGCTGTTCAGTATCATGTAATATATTGACGATCCTTCCTTGTAGCAAGCATGTAATCTATGGACATTCCTTCACTCATGGATATCAGGCTTGTCCGATTGCAGCGTGGACGCGGCGTAGAAAGACCGTGCGCGTGGATTCGGCATCGACCTCAAGCGCCTGAAGTGTTTTACTATGGTGTCGGGGTCTATGGCCGAGTCTGCCCACAGATGCGACATCTCTAGGTTCAAGTGTTGGGCACTACTCGAGAAGCAGTAGCCAGCTCGTGAACATGATGAGTAGAGAAGCTAAGTTTGCACAAATCGTTCCCATGGTCTTTATACAGGTTCTTCGACATGTCTGTACCTCTATCTGCCTACTCGCCCTCCCCCGCCCCTTCAGCCCTAGCTCCCTTCGTAGGAGTCCCAGCAGCAGTACCCCGTCTTGCCCCTGTTCGCCAGCAAGCCCTGGAACTGTCAAGTCTGTCAGCCAGACGTTTCAGTACGTTCGGCGTGGGACTTACAAAGTTGTGCAACGCTTCGTTAGGCATACCATCCTTCCTCCCCAGCCTCGCAAACTTGTCCTTCGACTCCCCCTCCTTCCCATCATCTCCATACTACTGCGCCATTGTCTCTTCCATCCTCCCACTCTCCCGTATCCCATACCATCCCCATCCCCATCCCCATCCCCATCCCCTACTTCATCAGCGTGGGCAGAGCCCCCGCCAACGCACACCCAAAGCCCATCCTCCCCTCCTTCGCCGCCCTCACCCTCGACCCCTCCCTCCATTCCGGCGCCGGTCCGACCGTCACATGGTGGGTACTTGCATTCATCATAGTGATATCGCTGATGGCCTATCCAGATACCGACCTACTCTTGTATCCATTCACTCGCTTCCGTCCCTCGTTCAGCGCGATTCATTTCCTGAACTTGCTCGTCCCCGAGCTCCGATTAGACGAAGCGCTGCTGGTCAGCCGCAAGATCGCTCTGCTTCAAAGAGTCTTTCTCAAAAAACTGCCCATCGCATTGTCGCTGCATAGTCTGAGCTTTGCAAGTTCATTTCAGTTTCCCATACGCCCAAGCTGACATGCTCCCAGGTCAACGATCCCAAAACTCTGGCCCGGTGCCCTCAAGTCTCCCACTACTGGAATGCCTTGCTGCAAGACGCCGCCACCTGGCGCTACCACTTTTCCCTGCACCATCTCCCCGACGGCCCCGCATCTCTAGCAGCCCTTCTCATGGAACACCACAGGGGCATCGTCCAAAGCGTCGGGACTGAAAAGGAACCTAGGCATGCTGCCAGGCATGCGGTCAAACTCGTCCTCCTCGTCGGCATCCCCTCATCCTTCGTCGCACAAGAGTCAGAGCAAGAATAGGAAAAAGCTGGAACAGTCGTTGAGTCGGCGACGCCCGAGTGTGGCGGCGGGCTTGTCTCTGCGTCCAGCAACAGGGAAGCGCGTCGCGTTTCTTCTCTGCTGGTGGTGTCATAAGCAAGAGTAGGTGTGCATGAACAATCCAACTATTCGGAGGCCTTCGTTGCCAGCGGCAAGACGGTCGTCGTTGTGAGAAGACTGAGTGCTGCGATGTCGGCTGCAGGCGGGACTGTCTGTCGTAACGTCCGTACCATACCTAGTCATACCGACTGACGTAGTACGTACTTATGTATGTACATCTAGCCAAGTAGGATTGCCAAGGGCAGGACAGGTCAATCAAAGAATGTAATACGGTTGTTGGAATGCACTTGAAAACGACGAGTGCGAAGAGAAGAGATCAGTGAGATTGGTAGCATGTGATACCCCTGACGCGCATGTGCAAGCTGATTGACCTGCCCCTTGGGCTAAAACAGTCTCCAAAACCACGACGTTTGAAAGGCATGCGATGAGTCATAAGGCCCATCAGACCAGTCCCAGTCCAAAGCAGGCACAAAGAGAATCCATGACACGTATAGATATGTATCGTTCACCCTTCCAATCCCCATCTGTAAGAACCGACGAGGTCACCGAGCGAACGGCGGAAGACTGCTGAACGAGCCACCGTCTTAGAAAGAGGGAGGGGTGCGTTAGTCTATGCCCTTCCGAGCACCTGGAGGTCGTGGAGAATATGCGACACCCAAGCGACTCTATAAGGAGGGGCAGATGAAGAAGAAAAGAGAAAACAGATGCGACCTTTTCATAAGAAGTTTGGTGGGCGAGGGGTGACGTGGCATTTTCCGTGCGCCTCCACCGTGGGCATCCACACTTTCCTCACTTTTCTGGCAGACATCTATTTCGCTCGTGACACTGCATCTCTACAATCTATCTTGCTATCCCTGCTGCCACTTCGACTCTTGCCAGCGCTTCCCCAGCGCAGCTTCCAGAATCCGCCTCCTGCGCCACCCGTCCCACGGCGCCCTGCGCCGACTCTCCACCGCCCCATCCCTCGCCGCCCGCCCCATGCAACGCACAGAGACGTACTCGCCCAACTGGTTCGTCCGCGCAGTCACAGCCCCCGGCCCCGACACGGACCTCTGCCTCCACGTCTCCTTTGACAATGCCAAATTCATCTTTGGCGCGGGAGAGGGGACGCAGAGGGCTTATGCGCAGAAGAAGATTGGGTTTGGGAGGTTGGCGGGGGTGTTTGTGAACAGTGGAGAGTCAAAGGGGCGGGGTGGGTTGCCTGGTAAGCTGAATGGTATCTTTCTCGAGCTGTGCTGATATCCTATAGGCATCATCATGTCTGCAGCAGACGCTGGCATCAAGACCATCAACGTCGTCGGACCGCCCGATCTTACCCAGTACATTGGCACCCTACGGTCTTCTGTTATCAGGCAAGTCCACCAAATTTGACGTTATCACCATCTAATCCGTCCCACAGAGACTCCCTCACCCTCAACGCCTCCCCATACCCACGCGACGCCGAACCCGGTACACCCATCAACCTCTTCACCTCCCCCAACATGACCGTCCGCTCCATCGTCCTCTTCCCCCCACCTCCTCCCCACCAACGCTCCCCTCCAACGTACGACCCCTACACCCCCCTCGGTCCCGTATTCCGTCCCTCCCGCCTCTCCCCGGTGGACCTCCAGAGATGGTGCGGCCAGGTCGTCTCGGACATGTTCCAGAACAACTCCACCGCCCGTCTCTCCCAACGCGCCCCCAGCCCGCCCTTCTCCCCGGGGAACGCCAGGACGAGATCCGAATGGGCCAGCGCGAACGTCTATCTCTCCCCGGACGGCACCATCAACGCCGCCCGGCCGGATACCCGTGCCCCACTCCCAACGCCGAGCGAGACAGACGTCAACACGCAAATGGTCTACATTCTCGAAACGCCAGATGTCAGGGGCAAGTTTGACAACAAGAGAGCGGGTGAGCTCGGTGTGCCGAATGGGCCGCTGAGAGGCAAGTTGACGAGGGGGGAGGTGATAGAGTTTCCGGACCCGGAGATGGAGGGTGTTTTGAAGACTGTGAGGCCGGAGGAATGTCTCGTGGGCGGGGGGCCGGGGGCGGTCATGATTCTGGTCAGTTGTACGCTCAAGACTTTGCCTGATCTACTCCGGAACAAGACTTTTGCAGAGTATCAACCTCTGCGAGAAACGCCTGGGCAGAGCGCGAGAAAGGTGCATCTGATGGTCCATCGGATACCGAGAGAAGTTTTGGCGGATGAGGGGTACAAGGAATGGATGCGAGCTTTCGGCCCAGAGACTCAGGTATGCCTCTCACAACACATGGCTCTGTCAAAGCTGATAGGGTGCAGCATCTCATAGCAGACACCACCCCGACCACGTCCCAAACAGTATTCAACTCTGCCGCCTGGGCAACGCTCAACCTCTCCCACCTCGACTCTTCCATATTCCACCCTCCTCTCCTCCATCCGACCCCTACCCCTACTTCCTCCCTTTCACTCTCACCCTCGCTCGCGGGCTTTTTGGACCTACCGCCCAAAACCAAGATCCTCGAACCCAACCATTTCTGCAGGATGCATCCCTTATCGGACATCACTGTATTCCCATGGAACGAGAAGGATGTGCCCTTCACCGTTGGGCCGGAGGAAGTTCGAGGCAAGGCGAGGGAAAGGGTTGAGGGAGAGTACCCCGAGTATGCGGAAGCTTGCAGAAAGGCGCAGGAGGCCGTGAGGGCGGATCCGAGGTGGGAGGAGGTAAAGGGTGGAGAACCTGGAGATGACCTTGTGATCACCACCCTCGGTACCGGATCTGCCATCCCGTCGAAGTACCGCAACGTCTCTTCCACCCTCCTCACCATCCCTCCCCCGCCCACCGCCCCCGACGCCCCCGACACTTCAGCCCAGTCGATACTCCTCGATGCCGGGGAAGGTACCCTCGGCCAGCTGAGGAGGAGGTTTGGGAAGGAAGGCGAGTTGGAGGGAGTGTTGAGAGGGTTGGGAGCTGTGTTTGTGAGTCATATGCATGCGGATCATCATTTGGGGGTGAATGCCATTTTGGAAGAACGATTTAGAGTATGTCTCCTTCTTCTCCTTTCTTTGCTGCTTCGTGAGGTACTAATGGAAAGGGCAGATGGGCATCACCACCCCTCTTTATGTTATTGCTCCTCAATTGATTGCGCTCAATTTGAGAGAAACGGCGACTTGGCAGTCTGGAGCGTCGGATGAAGGGCTCGGCAATGTCAAGTTTATCGCTATAGAAAGACTGGGGGAGAGGGTGGCGTTGGGAGATGAGTTGGAGTATGTCGGGCGGACGACGTCTTTTGCTGTCGAGCCCTCGCCCCCGCACTCGCCCTCGAGCCATTCGCTTGCAAGGGCTGGGGCCACATCACCTTCGGTCTCTCCTACTAGACTCGCCAGGAGAGATAGAGAACGCTCAGCGTCTTTGGAGAGGAAGCCAAAGGAGCAAGGGAACAAGATCACTTGGCCATTTGAATCTATATTCGGCCATTCTGCCGCTCTGTACGTCACCTTCCTCCATCCCCCTTTTCATTCCATTTACTTTACTTAACTACAAACGTCCACAGGGCGACGACCCAACACGCCAACATCCAATCCTTCCTCTCCTCCCTCTCGCTCACTTCCCTCCACGCTCCTCGCGTATGGCACCGCGGCCGCGCGTTCGGTCTCGTGCTCCAACACTCTTCTGGCTGGAAGCTTGTGTATTCAGGCGACACCAAACCTTGTGCGCCATTGGTAGAAGCGGGGAAGGGCGCGACGGTTCTGATACATGAAGCGACGTTGGAGGATGATAAGCCGGAGGTGGCAGCTGTGAAGGGGCATAGTACGTTTGGGCAGGCTGTGGATGTTGGAAAGCAGTGAGTACTTCTTCTTCCTTTTCTTCGGTGAAGGTGAAGGAAGCATTGAGTAGAAGGCTGATGGGAAGAGCAGGATGGGGGCAAAGTATATCTTGCTCAATCACTTTTCGCAACGGTATCCGAAGCTTCCAAAGATGCCTGGGGTGGTACCTCTGGCTGTGGCGGAAGAAGCGAGCGAGTCTGCTCGTCCGACAAGGAAGGAAGGTGTCCCGGAGGAGATCTTGGGAGAAGCTTTTATTGAGGAGGACGTCCTTGAAAACTCTTCGACCGAAACCCTGGCACCTCTCCCAGAGAACGTCGTCCTCGATGCATCTTCCGAGCCTAGCGATCCGCCCGTCCTTCCATCCGTAACCCCGACTGCTCCCACCATTGACGACACCTCCTCAAATCTACCTCCGCCCTCAACTGCCCCACCCCACGTTTCCATCTCATTCGACTTTATGTCTCTCCGTCTCGCCGACATGTGGAAGATGCCGTACTACATGGACGCACTTTCGATCCTGTTTGCCGAACCTGAAGAGGCAGAGGTGGAAGATGGGGCGGGTAGTGTTGGAGAGGGTAAGGTGAATGGGGCTGGGACTGGGACTGGTGAACAGGGAGGTGTGACGGGGGCGGGAAAGGGGAAGAGAAAAAAGGCGGAGAAGAGGGAGAAGAAGCAAGCGCAGAAAGCTGCTGAAGGAGAAGCCAAGAGTCAAGGCCCGGGACAGGGGCAGGGGGGGGAAGTCAAGTCGAAAAGGGCGTTGAAGAAGGAACTGGCCAATGCACAGAGAGAGAAGCAGGCGCGCAAGTCGGGTGAGGGAAAGAGGGACAAGGGGACTCTGACAGGATCGGAGCTGGCTGTTGAGAGTCTTGTCGTGGAGGATGTCGTTGTTGAGGAGGCCGTCGTCAATGAGGTCGACGCGAAGGCGATGGGTGCGATGGAGATAGAGGAGAAGGAGGCGGTGAAGGAAGTCGGTGAGAAGAGGGCGGGTAGTCTGGGCATCGAGGAGCCAGAGGCGAAGAGGAGATCTGTCGATGATCAATAGAGAATTTCGTCTCTCATACTAATGTCTTACATACCATCATCATTAAAATCACTTATGCATTACCAACGTCACTCATGTTCCAAACCACTTACAATCTGTACAAATCTCGACTGGCCTCGAGTGGGGTGTCCGGGATGATCTACCGCATACTGTCGTTTCGGTACGACCTCTGTAGTGCCCAAGCCATTTGCAGCTGTCTCGGGACCCTCATATCATCATTGTATTGTTTCCATGTATTGGGCGTTACTCGTGTCAAGACATGAAGACTTCTATAGCTAGCTTTCACCGCCCCGGTAGATGATACAACACTCTATACTTGGAAAAACAACAAAAGCCCAAATCGGTCTATCTCGTCCTCCCTTATTCTATTTCACAACTCTTTCCATCTAACCTTCTACTTTGCAATCCAGTTCAATACCCCCGCCCAGCCATCGGCATCCCATAATCCATCATCCACCCAT